GTACAAATAATTATTGCTGTAATGATTGACAATAACAAAAAACAAGTGTAAAAAATAGAGAAACAAAAAGCAAATGGATTTGGAAAGATTTGCTCGATCATTAAAATTTTAATCTGACGTTTGAAAATTTATCGGATTTTTCATCTTTGTAGTATACTTAGAGCGGGAATTCCCTGATCTTTGCCCGAACGGATATGTTTACTGAATAATACGAAATTAATGATGGATGAGAATAATTGTAGTTACCATATGGAATGATTTGTTTCTTGTAGTTCAAATACTTTACTACTAATAAAGAAGCAGCAAACTAGTAAAGTACTCACTACTTTACTGTCGTAATGAAAGAGTAAATACCAAACTAGTAAAGGTGTACTAAAATACTAAAAATATTTCGTAAATATTTTACAAAAGAAAGAAATTAAAGAAATGAAAAATTCGCTTTTTTGGATGACAATAATCAAATATGTAGTTTTTCTTTTTTTTCCTTCCTTCGTCGATAGGTCGTTAGATATAACTATATATAGTAATGCCAATTGGTTCCGTGGATGTGATGAGCTATCATTCAAAAGATAACCCTTTGCCCTAAAGCTAAGATCACTCATTATCGTCATATTACCCGCACGTTGCAATTCTTCTTCTGGCAAAATATACATGTTTATAACTCAAAAATTCATACATGCCCCAAAGGAATTAAATTTCTAAAAAAAGTTTCCACTAAATGCCGTAATTTTTATTTCCAACTTCGAAAAATCGGAAACTTCTGTATTCGGATTTTTCCGCAAAATAAACTAATAACCCTTTTGATCAATTACATTTTAAGGCAAAAAAATTTGATTATCTAATATTGTATACGAAATTAGTTATTAATTATTATTACATTATTAGTTTATTCACTTGCGGAACATTTAATTTTCCGACACTAGAAAGAAAAAGAAATTGGTGTATTAAATTCAGAAATGAAATTGTTTTATTGAGCGTAATTTCGAAACACGTGTAGGTCAACTGATATTTAGACTGATTGGAGGGATAATTGTATCATTTTCAGTGCCTTATAGTATACAAGGCAAGTTTATTAAACACCCTTTAATTCGATATGCTTTTATTTTGATAAGCTCAATGTAACACTATATATACATAAAACCCCTTTTGCTGCACGTGTGCATTGTCCTAATTTTGACCGAATCATTATAAGGAAGGAAAGTGTTGCTTCTTAATTAAAATGATGCTCTAGAGATTAATGCTGTTTTTTTTCTTTTAGGGGAGTTTCACTAATATATGCAAATGACGAAAACTTTTTTTATTTTTTTGCTTATTCTATTTTGTATTATTTGCCATAAAATATAATACAATAATTATTCCGTGGAGAATAGTACTTAGGTAATAATTATTCCGTAGAAAATAATACTTCGGTAATAATTATTCCGTAGAAAACAATAATTGTAGCATAATTATTGAAGCTACAAAAATTATCGAAGCCAACATTTAATGAAATCATTAATTACATAGCAAGTAATAATAAAAACGATCACAACTTAAAATCAATGCTGGTACCAGGGCTCGAATCAGTGAAAGTATTTAAAAATTCGGATTTTACGGACAAAAAATCAAAAATTACAGACCATTTACGGAACAATGACAAAAATATAAAGACCGAGTCAAATAAGAGAATATTTTACTTAAAAAGCTATAAATTAAATTTTTCATAACAATTAAATCGATTATTTTAAATAATTTTCGAAAAAGTTCTTTGACAATTTTCAATTCCATTTGTTTACAATATTCAATTTTACGAAATTTTAATTATTCGTAGATTCTTCAATTAAATAAATATTAGAAAATAAAAACTTAAAATATTTAAAAAATTCAATTCAACTTTTTCAAAAAAATTAATTTCAAAATTCAATTATTTTTTAAAATTCACGCTATATTGCTTATGGGTCAAAATTCGTGAAGTGGGCAACTAATTTTCAGTTGGTCAATATTTTTCATAAAATTTATGTTTTTCTGTTTGAAATAATAAATAAAAAATACAAGTTGAACAGTTTAGCAAAATTCGTTTTTTTGTTGTACATATTGTTAAACAAACTTTTTTGCCCACTTCACGAATTTTGACCCTTATCTAAAATTTTAACTGAAATTCATTTTTATGAAATGAAAATCAATTTTTATTAGAAAATTCTACTAGAATTCAATTATTTAAATTATTCAATGCAAATTAAAAATTTATTGAATAATTGAATGTTTCTTAAAATTCGATTCCCAATGAAGAATCGTTATCAACAAATTTTCTAATAATTGAACTCTATCAACGAATTTTAATAAAATTTATAAGAATAATTTCATTTTTCGAGAAATTCGATTAAAATTGTATTAAAAATAATTGAAATTCTGTGATGAGTTTTATTATTTATTTAAATAACTAAATTCTTGTAAAAAAATTAACAGCAATTCAATTATTTTAAAAAATTTTAATAAAATTCTTGGCATAAATTAAAAATAACAAAATTCTTAGCAAATCTTCAATTACTTTCAGAAATTTTAATAAAATTTTTCGGAAGAATTTAAATATTTTCGTGAAATAATAAAAATCTTTGAAGAAATTCAATTATTTTCAAAAGTCTTAATAAAATTCTTCGCAAGAATTCAATTATTTTCAAAAATATCAAAATTGTAGCACAAATTCAATTATTTTCAAAAATTTTGATAAAACTTTTTTTGGTAGAAATTTTAAAACAATTTTAAAAAAATGTCTCAATAAAATTCAATTATTTTTAAAATTTTAATGAAATTCTTCGAAAGAATTCTATTATTATAATCTAAAATTTTAACTGAAATTCATTTTTAAATCAATGTTTATGAGAAAATTCTACTAGACTTCAATTCTTTAAATACAAAACTAAAAATTTATTGAATAATTGCATGTTTCTTAAAATTGAATTCTCATAAAGAATTTTAACTATAAATTTTTAAATAACTGAATTCTTTTGACGAATTTAAATAAAATTCTCAAGAATAATTACATTTTTCGAGATATTCGATTAAAATTGTATTAAAAATAATTGAAATTCTACAATCAGTTTTATTATTTATGAAAATAATTGAATTCCTAAAAAGAATTTTATTATTTAGGAAAATAATTGAATCCCCATAAAAATGTTATTATTTATGAAAATAATTCAATGATTGCGAAGAAATTTATAAAAAAAATTTGTAAATAATTGAATTCCTCTGAAATTTTTACAATTTTTTGGAAATAATTAAAAGTTTGTGTCCAATTTTATTAATTTTTTTTTAAAAATAATTAAATTCATTGAAAAAATTTTATGAAAATAGTAAATTTTGAAAATCGCATTGAATTGAGGCAAAATTTTTGAAAATAATTGAATTTCGGAGAAGAATTTGATTACTTTCGAAAATAATTGTAATTTGTCAAGAATTTTATTAAAATTTTTGAAAATAATTTAATTTCGGAGAAGAATTTAATTATTTCTAAAGATAATTGAAATTTTGACAAAAATTTCTGCAATCATTTGTAATTTCTCTAAAATTATTCAAATCATATTGTTCAATTTACGAACTTTTCATTCTTTTTGAATCAAATTACGGACTTTACGGACCTTTTTTTAAAAAAACGGACTTTTACGGAATTTACGGACCAAGTTTGAGCCCTGTAGTACCTATGAGCTAATTACTACACTGGAAAAAAAATTTATTTGATTCAAATAATCGATTAATTGACTATTATCAATTAAATATTTAAATTTGAATCAAATAATATTTATTGGAGTCAATTAAATGGTTTAGTTCATATTTGCTTCAAATACTGAGAAATTATTGGTTCAAATATGAATTGAACCATTTAATTGACTCCAATAAATATTATTTGATTCAAGTAAATATTTAATTGATAATAGTCAATTAATCGGTTATTTGAATCAAATATTTTTTTTTTTCAGTGTAAGGCAATTAAATGCTATCATAACCGTCACTATACTTAAAGCGAATAAAAATAAATAAGTACTTAAATGCTTTAAATAAATGAATGGAAGATTAAAAAAAAAAGATTTTAAAAACTGAAAATTCTACTTGAAAGATGATTTATCCGCGAAAGTAACTTCAGTAGGTGTATTGTACTAATTTAATCGCGAGGCGGTCGTGTATACATATCTATTCTATTCTATTCTCGGGGAATTCATTTGTCAAAAATCACGACTTCTTTAACACCATAGAGACATATAGAAGTTAAGAAAAGAGAATGTGAGTAAACGGCGTGAAGAAAGATCAGGACGCAGGCTCTCGCGGTATATCATGCGTCCCTCGTCCTCTATTAATTCTCTCTTTCTCTCTCACTCACTCTCCTTTATTCATGCCGCACCGTCGTTCCCCTTTTTACTTAAAAACATATTCAAGAGTCACCGTTCCGTTTTATATATAAATTATTATTAGAACACAGCCTCTCTCACTTAAATTCAGAGACTATTCGAATCTTCTTTTTTTTTTTTTGGTAAAAAAAAGAAAGGAAAAATAAACTGTTCGATATTGACTTCTCTTTTTATTGATAATTAATTGAAAGACCACTATGACAATAAAGTCATTAATATTAATAATTCAGATTTAATTAATGGTACAAAAAGTATCAAACTATCAAATGTATCAAAAAAGTACCAAAATGCAACGAACTGATACCAAAAAGTATGGATCAAAAATCAAATCATTAATTAATCTAAATTTTTGCTATCAATCCGTTTTCGTATTAATTTGATACACTTTCAAAAAAAGTGAGTTATTTCGATTCGAAAAATGTATGGGAATAATTTTTATATAATGAAATTTATATAATTATACGTTCGAGAGTATCTTTGAATGATTTCGAGATTGAAAATGTGTTTGTATATTGCAAAATAATTTACGATCAGTGTATTATCATTCTTAATAGGCTTAATGTGTTTATTGTGACATGCAATTTTGAGAAATTGAAATATATGTATATTTATAAGTACCTTGATGAATAGACGAATATGCTAAAGTGGGAGACAGCTGCTGCGGTTCCTGTTTTATTTTAACGGCACGAAGTGAATCCTGCAGCATGCAGAGAGCCGAAGGACTGAGATTGCCATTTCCTTGTTGCATCTCCTAAAAGCGAAAGAATAAAAAAATTAATTTAAAAATTAATATGTATTTTTATTATATACCCACTAATTATTTTAATTGATAACTAATTATATAATTCAACTAATTCAATAATTCAACTAGTTAACTAATTAAATAATTCAACTAGTTAACTAATTAAATAATTCAACTAATTAACTAATTAAAATAATTCAACTAATTAATCAGCTAATTAAGTAATTCCGAGAATTTAACTATTTAACTATTTAACTAATTAAAATAATCAGCTAATTAACTAATTAAAATAATTCAACTAATTAAGTAATTCCGAGAATTTAACTAATTACCTAATTAAAATAATCAGCTAATCAACTAGGTAATTAGAATAATTTAACTAATTAACTAACTCTTTAACTTTGAATTAGTGACTAACTTTTTGCTTATGGATTTGGAAATTTTAACTAATACCTAAATTTGTAGAAATTATTATTTATTAGTAAAATTTACTACAATTCAAAAGAAAAAAGACAGTCACTAATTCAAATTAGTTAAAATTTTATTTACGAATTCAAATTTAGAGAGAATTACAATAATTTATTAAATTAACTAATTACAATAATTCAACTACAGGGTTGCTACAAAAATTTAATTTGGTTTTTCCCTGACTTTTCCCTGATTTCCAGAAAAAATTTAGACTTTTTCCCTCACCCTAAAGAATATTCTGATTCTCTCCAAAAATTATTAGATACTCAAAAATATGTTCCACTAAATTTATTTACGAATTTTTTTAAATGTAAAATTATTCAAAAACATCAATAACTTCTTTTTTAAATAAATATTTAATAATTATTTTAATTTAAAATTTTAACTGAAATTCATTTCTTAATCAATTTTTATTAGAAAATTTTACGAGAATTCAATTATTTAATTACAAAAATAAATTATTTATTAAAAAATTGAATTTTTATGAAGAATTTTATAAAAATTTTTAGAAATAATTGAATTCTTTCGTCAAATTAAAAAAAATTTAAAAATAAATGCAATTTTCTATCATTTTATTAAAAATTGTATAAAAAATAATTGAAATTCTACAATAAGTTTTGTTATTTATAAAAATAAGTCAATTCTTGCAACGAATTTTATTAAAAACTTTTTTAAAGAATTTAATTCAGATTTTTATTCAAATTTTTTAAAACTAATTTAAATTTCTCAGAATATTTTAAAACTTTTTGAAATTAATTAAATTTCATCGAGAAATTTCATCAAAAAGTTGAAAATAATTGAAGTCCGACGAAGAATTTTATTAAATTTATTTTTAAATAATTTAATTCCTGTAAAAAAGTTTATTTTTGAAAAAAAAATTAAATTCTTGTGAAGAATTTTATTAAAATCTCTTAAATAATTGAATATTGCTTCGAAGATTTTTTTTTTGTTACGAAAATAATTGAATTATTTCGAAGATTTTTATAAACATTTTTGACAATAATTGTATTCCTAGAAAGAATGTTATAATTTACGAAAATAATTGTACTTATCAATTTTATTATAATTATTCAAATTTATAAAGCATTTTATCAAAATTTTTTTTAAATAATTGAATTCTCGAGAAAAATTTTATTATTTATGAAAATAATTGAATTCCTGAGAAGGATTTTATTGAATTTTTAAAAGTAATTGATTTCTTTCCTGAAATTTTACTGAAAATAATTGAATTTTTGCGAAAAATTTTATTATTTATGAAAATAATTAAATTGATGAGAAGAAATTTATAGAAAATTGGTAAGTAATTGAATTCCTGTAGAATTTTTATTAAAATTTTGTTCAAATAATTGAATTCTTTTAGAAAATTTTCGAAAATAATTGAAATTTTTCCAAGAATTTTATTAAATTTTTTTGAAAATAACTGAATTTTGGAGAATTTTATTATTTATAATGATAATTGAAATTTTGACAAGAATTTAAAAAATTTTTTGAACATAATTGAATTTATGCGAAGAAGTTCATCACTTTTGAAAATAATTGAAATTCTGTAATTAGAATTTCTTTCTAATTTCCTTGACTTTTCCCTGAATTCCCTGACCTGTGACAACCCTGAAATAATTAACTAAATACAATAATTTAACTAATTAATTAATTGCAATAATTTAACTAATTATCTAATGAAACTAATTCAAAAAATCCAACTTTTTAAGTAATTAACTAACAAAAATAATTTAAAAATTTAATTAAATAAGTAATTTACAATTTAAAATAAATAAACAATTAATTAATGAATCTAATTTAAATATTAAAAATAATAATGGTCATTATTAATATTAATATTGTTATTAGGTTTTATTATTTTCATTTTACTTATTATTTATTTATTTACGCAAAAATACACAAGCAAATTCTATTATTATAAATAAATAATTATAAAACTGTCCCGTTTATAATTAAAAATAAAAATAATAAATAATATAATTCATTGCTTATTATTTTTAAACAATAACTAATTTTTGAAGAAAAGGATAATTTAAGAGTAAAAGTGGTAAAAATGTTTCAAAAAAAAAAAAAAAAAAAAATCCGAGGAAAAGGGAAGGAAAAAGGAACGAAAAAGGAAGTGGAACATACGCGTTGGGGCCAAAAGAAGCTCATCATCTATACTTGCTTGGGAATTGTGTTACGAGCTTGTGATGTTTGAAGTCTCGTCACAGGAAGCTTATAAACAACGGCAGAGTGTTGTGACATCCGTATTATGTCATGCGAAACTTACGATCTTGGTAGATCGTTAATTTGCGATTTGGCTTTTATATAGATAGTTATATAATTCAGATAACAAAATTTTTAGAAAAAAAGGGAAAGAAGAAAGCAATTCTAAGGTGTTAAGATATATTTATAATTATTTTCAAATTTATCATCTGAAGGAAATATTTCTTTGATTTGAAACAATATTTTTTATCTGAAGAAAACATTTTTAATATATATGAAAAAATATTTTTGTCTGGAGAAAATACTTTTCTGATTTGAAGAAATATTTTTTGTGTAAAGAAAATATTTTTTCAAATTTGAAGAAATATTTTTTGACTGAAGAAAATATTTCTTTGACTTGAAGAAATATTTTTTAGTCCCAAGAAAATTTCTTTAATTCAAAGAAATATTTATTGTATTAAACAAAATATTAACCCCAAGAAATATTTTCTGAGAAGAAAAGAAATCTGAAGAAATATTTTTAAATTCAAGAAATATTCTTTAACTTTTGCATAAATATTTTTTAGTCTCGAAAAATAGAGTTAGAGAAATATTCTCAAACTTAAAGAAAAATATTTATTTCCTAAATATTATTTTAAATATTATTTTAAACAACCTATTAATAATTAATATATTTTTTTGGTTAATATATCAAATTGATGATATATGTACAGCAAAACATTACAAGATTCATGTGAAATTTGCATCGAGCTACCGAAGAAGTGCATCAAGTCGTCGACGCTGAGAAATTACACAGTCGTTTAGCGCGACCATTAAATTAAAGCGCATTTGCTTTTATATTATTCACTATATACACGACTACACACATTGTGTTTCCAAGAAAGTAAATCTAACTATAATGGACATCAAAAAGAGAAACAATAAAAACAATTGTAATATACCTTTCACGTTAAATCAACCAGTACACCAACAATAAACTCTCTCTCGAAAAAAAAGAAACAGAAAATTAAATCAAAGAATCGGAAAAAAAATTATCAGAAATAAATTCGACTAAAAGAAAATTACTTAGAGAATTATTTTTAGTTTCAAATTTTTTAATTTTTTGAAAAAAAATATATATAATTTATTTATATATTTATTAATTTACAAACGTCATCTTGAAGTTCTAAGTGACCATAAAGAGAATATAAACCATAAAAATATGACCATAGAAATATAATAATAAAACAACTAAAAAAATAAGAATATAAATGAAAAAAAAAAAATTCACTCGAGGCAAGATTCGAACGCTGCACCTTATTTCAAGCTGACTCCTTACACCCCGCAGCCAATACACTAAACAAAAATAACGTTTGCGCAAAATTTCATTGATTTAATTATCATAATTTTCAATTAATGCTTTTGAAATTTTGTATATGTGTAATTAATTAATAATGACTAATTAATAAATTAATATTATTAGTCAATATTAATAGCTTTATAAAGTAATTTAAAAAAAGCAAATTAAAAAATCTAAAAAAATCTAATAACAACAAATGTTTCGTATTGGCTACGGGGTGTAAGGTGTTATATTGAAATAACAACGTGCAGTGTTCGAATCCTGCCTCAAGTGAATTTTTTTATTTAATTCAGTAAATAAATCGATATACTAATTAAGTTAAATAAATAATATACTAACAGATGATGATGAAAATAATAATAATGAATTTATATAAATTAATATTATTAATAATTATTTATTATTATTATTAATAGTATTAAATATCATAGTTATTCATTTAATTAATTAATTAATAAATTTTAATTATTAATTAATTAATTAATTAATTAATTTCTTCCGCATAGAGGTAAGATTGTATTTATTTATACAATTATTATTTTAATTTATAAATTAATTAATAAAATTCAATTGTATTATTTGTATATTGTGAAAATATTCAGATAGAGCTTTCATATGCGCAAGAATAAATAAGTTCAAAGGAACTTGAAGCAAAAGGCAATTTGATATGAATTGATTTTTCCAAGAGTGTAAGATTAAACCTTCACAATCTGACCTTGGCGATTATACTAAATGATAATTTATTATGGATAACCTATATACTTTCATTCATTTAATTAATTTTTTCTCCTCCGAATTTATTTATATTGTATATTGTATATAAAAAATCTCTATTCTAAAAATTATTAAAATTGTAATAACAATTTTCAAATTAAATTTTTAATCATTTCGTAATTATTTTCTTCTTAAAGAAAAGAAATTTCACTACCTAGTATATAGATAAGAAATAACAAATTAATTTGTTATGAATATTTATATTTTATGATGAATTGATGAATATAAAAATTAAAATACCCCAAAGGTTTAGCATTGGCTGCGGTGTTTAAGGCGTTGCTTTTAAAAAACACGGTGCAGCGTTCGAATCCTGCCTCGAGTGGGTTTTTTAAATTCATTAGTTAAATAAATAAATCGAAATTAATTAAACTAAATAAATAAAATAATAATGGATAATAATAATAACAACAACAACAACAACAGAAAATAATTATAATAATAATAGTATTAATAATAATAGGAACAATAATTATAATAATATTAATGGAGTTGTATAAATAAATCAAAATGCCCGTATGATAAATAAATAAATAAGTAAATAATTAAATAAGTAAATAAATAAATAATTAAATAAATATGTTAATAAACATATAATTAAATAAATATTTAAATAATTAGCTAAATAAATATCTACATAATTAAAAAATTTAATAATGCACTAAATAAATAACCAAACAAATAAATAACTAAGCAAATAACTAAACAAATAGCTAAATAAATAAATGTAAATTTAGAACAAAAAAAATAGTGAGCTTGAATGAAAAGAAGAAGACAGTGAAACAGAAAATAAAAAATTAAATAAAAGAAAAAATTGCAAAGGAGACCATTCATAAAATAATGAAAAATTAATGATGAAGCGCAGTTTCAATATAATTGCGAAATTTTCAGAGGCCGCGACCTCTCCTTGTCTATCGGGTTCATTCGTTTCTCATCCATAAGATAACAGAGAGAAAAGTGACGCCTTTTAAATATACAAATATCAGCGAAGTGAATTTCATAAATAAACAATTTGCAATGCACCTTTCTTTCAAAAAAAAGAAAAGAAACAAAAAAAAATTCACATACGTATTTTTTATGTTTTTTTATCACTATTATTTTATTACTTCATTATTTATTATTATTTACTTTTATTGTTACTATTATTTTTTATTATTGTTATTATATTTATTATTATTATTATTATTTATTAATAAAAATAATAAATATTTTTTTTATTACTATTTAATAGTTATTAGTATTATTATTTATTTTAAAATTAAAAAAATTATTGTTTCCATAAGGTAAAACTTACCCCAGGTACTGAAACTAAGTGTGAGACCATTTTTGCCCTGTCATTTCTGCAACAAAAAAGAAATGCAATTTGTTTAAAATGTTTAAATAAAATTTTAAAAAATAATTAACTAATAAATCGTGAATGATACTTTTGAAAAGTAATTAAAGAAATTAATTTATGTAATTAAAGAAATAATTAAAATAATTTGAAAAAAATTAAAATAGCTTCAACAAAATAGTTAATATAAAATAATTCAATTTTATTTTCTTTTTTTCCTTTTTCCTATTTTTTGAATTTTCCTGTTTTTCCTTTTCTTTAAAAAGAGGAAAAATGAAGAAAAAGAATAACGAAAAAAGAACAAAAGAAGAAAAAAGGAAAACAGAAAATAAAGAAAAAATGAAGAAAGAAGGGTGAGAAAACATGAAAAAAAAGAAAAATAAATAAAAATCGTACAAAAATAAGAAAAAATAAAGAGAGGAAACAATCAAAGAAAAGAAAAAACAGAAAGAAAAGAAAAAAAGTAAAAAATAATGAAAGGATAAAGAAAAAAAATTAAGAAAAAAAACAGAAGAAACAAACAAAGCTGGAGAAAAGGAAAAAAAGGAAAAAAGGAGAGGAGAAAAAAACATAAAAACGAAAAAATAAAGAAAAGAAAGAAAAAGAAGAAGAAAATAAAAACAGGAAAAAGAGAAAAAAAGAAAAATAGAGAGGAGAAAAAAATATAAAAAGGGAAAAATAAAGAAAAGAAAACACAAAAAAGGAGAGAAAATAAATAAAGAAAAAAAATATAGAAGAAAAATAACAGAAAGTAAAGAAAGGAAAAAGAAAGAAATGAAGAACAGAAAAAAGAAGGAAATAAAACTGAGGAAAAGGAAAAAATAAAGAAAGGAGAGAAAAACAAGAAAATAGAACTGAAGAAAAAAGGAAATAAAGAAAATGAAGAGAAAAAAATAAAGAAAAAATAAAAATAGGAAAAAGAGAAAAACGTACAGAAGAAAAAATATAAAATGGGAAAAATAAAGGAAAAAAAAACAAAAAAGAAGAAAATATAAAGAATAAAAAAAATGAAAGAAGGAAAAATGAAAGATAGGAAAAAAACGAAGAACAGAATAAAGGAAGGAAATAAAAGTAAAGAGAAGGAATAAAAAGAAAAAATAAAGAGGAGAAACAAATAGAAAAAGAAAAAAGAAAATAAAAATAGGAAAAACAGAAAGAAAGAAAAATATAGATGAAAAGACACAAAAAAGGAGAGAAAATAAAGAAAGAAAAAAAAACAAGAGAAAGAACAGAAAAAGAATAAGAAAACTGAATGAAGGAAAAAGTAAAGAAAGGAAAAAGAAAGAAGTGAAGAACAGAAAAAGAAGGAAATAAAACTGGGGAAAAGGAAAAATAAAGAAAGGGGAAAAAAGAATAAAAGAATAAATAAAGAAAATAAAGGGTAAAAAAGAAAGAAAAAATAAAAATAGGAAAAAAAGAAAAATTTAGAGAAGAAAAAAACATGAAATGGGAAAAATAAATAAAAGAAAATCGAAAAAAGAAGAAAAAATAAAGAAGAGAAAAAACAGGAAAAGAAGAAAATATAAAGAATAAAAAAAATGAAAGCAGGAAAAATTAAAGAAAGGAAAATGAAAAAAAGAACAGAAATAGAGGAAGGAAATAAAACTAAAGAGAAAGAAAAAAAAGAAAAAATGAAGTGGAGAAAAAAATATGAAAAGGGAAAAATAAAGAAAAGAAAACACAAAAAAGGAGAAAAAATAAAGAAAGAGAAAAAAATAAAGAAGAAAATGAACAGAAAAGAATAAAAAACTGAAAGAAGGTAAGGAAAGAAATGAAGAACAGAAAAAAGCAAGAAAATAAAACTGAGAAAAAGGAAAAAATAAAGAAAGGAGAAAAAACAAGAAAATAGAACTGAAGAAAAGAAGAAATAAAGAAAATGAAGAGAAAAAAATAAAGAAAAAATAAAAATAGGAAAAAGAGAAAAACGTACAGAAGAAAAAATATAAAATATGAAAAATAAAGAAAAGAAAACCCAAAAAAAAGGAGAGAAAATAAAGAAAGAAAAAATAAAGAAGAGAAAAAACAGGAAAAGAAGAAAATATAAAGAATAAAAAAAATGAAAGAAGGAAAAATTAGGTAAAGAAAGGAAAAAGAAAAAAAATTTAAAAATGAAGATCAGAAAAAGAAGAAGGAAATACAATTGAAGAAAAGGAAAAACAGAAAAAAAGAAAAATAGAGAAAATGAAAAAAAAGGAAGAAAGAAAAAATAAAGAAGGAAAAATAGGGAAAATTAAGAAAAAAGGAAGAAAGAAAAAATAAAAAAAGGAAAAATAGGGAAAATGAAGAAAATGAAGAAAAATGAATAAAAGTAAAAAATTAAAGAAATTTTAAAAAAAAGGGGGGGGGGGTAAACGAGAGGAAAAAAATGAAAGTATATAAAGAAAGAGACAAAGTGAGATATATAGACCGAAATGATAACTTCAGACGTCTGAAGCGACAGGGAACATGGTGCGATACCCTAAAATGCCGAGTGCAACACGCGGATGACAAGTCACGAACAGCTGAGCACTTAGCACTTCTTCAAGCTTGTTGTCTGCTTAGATATACGAAACGATATATACATCCAATGATTCTGCATGGACCATTCGAAAATTGTCTCATCTCAAGGGACTCTTTGGAACTTCCGCCGCTACCGCTGCCATGCCGTCCGTCGCCAGGGCACGCGGCACATCCACTTATATAAAATATATACAACAAAGTAAGAATTTCGACACATCAGGAATCGTCACGGCGCCAATCGTAAATTTTTCCTCCCTCCCTCCCTCCATACACATCCCTTGCAATCATGCAAACACGATGATTATTTCTTCATCCCACCCAAAATATATATATTTTTTTTCTTATTCATAAAAATCGTGTATAATGTTAATACATTATTTAATAGCCCTTTAAATTTCCGCTCGCGCCCTTTTTTTCTTACTCTGATTTTCTTCTTCTCTTTCGGGTTTAAAAATAACAGTCTTTTTCTTCAAAATAATTTTTGTATAAAAATAATATGCAATTAATTTTTGTTTATTATTTTTATTTATTTATTTAATTATAAGTGAGAGAGATTTATAATTATTTATTTGTTTATAATAATACAGCTTGCATGTGTATTTTTGAATAAATAAATAAATAAATAATAAGTAAAATATAAATAATAAAATCTAATAATAATATTAATATTAATAATAATTATTATTAGGTATTATTATTATTATCATTTTTATTTATTAAATAAACTCTTATTATTATTTGAATCAAGAAATAAATAATTATGAATATACTACTCTCTAAATTTGAATGAATAAATTTTACTAATAAATAGTAATTTCTGCTAATTTATTAGTATAATAATGACAAATTTACTAATTAATTATTAAGTAATTTACTAATTAATAGTAATTTCTGCTAATTGTTTAGTAAAATTTACTAATTTAAAAGCAAAAAATCAGTCATTAATTCAAATTAGTAAAAATGTTACTAATAAATTTATTGAAATTGCTGCAAATTAGTGAAATTTACAAATTTAGAGGAAAAAAGACAGTCACGAATTTATATTTAGAGAGTAAAATATTATTTATTTCTACTTATTAATTAATTAGTTAAATTATGGTATTAATTAATTAGTTAAATATTATTGTAATTAGTTAATTGGATAAATTATTGTAATTCCCTCTAAATTTGAATTAGTAATAAAAATGTTAACTAATTTAAATTAGCGACTGCGACTTTTTGCATTTGATTTAGTAAATTTTACTGAGAAATTAGTAGAAATTACCATTTATTATATTAAAATTTTGTAATTAATTATTAATTAATTTACTAATAAATAGTAATTTCTACTAATTTCTTACTAAAATTTACTAATTCAAAATCAAAATATTAGTCACTAATTCAAAGTTGGAGAGTTAGTTTATAGGTACCTTAGTTTATTAGTTAAATTATTCTAATTACTAATTTAATAAGCTGAATATTTTAATTAATTAATCAATTGAAGAATTTAATGAATTGTTAGTTAAATAGTTATAAATTACTTTAATTAATTAAATAATGGAATTATTTAATTAGTTGATATATTTAATTATAGTTAATTAGCTGAATTATTTTATTAGTTCATTAGTTGAATTATTTTATTAGTAAATTAATTGAATAATTATTATTAATATTATTACTGAATAAAAAGAAATAAAGAATCATAAAAATACTAAATAATAATTCATAATACATTATAGTTATAAAATAATAAAATATTATTTATTATTTTTATGATTATTTGTTTATTTATTCAATTATAACATTAAAATGTAAATAATTGTAAATAAATATGATATAATTAGTAAGAATATTAATTATTATTATTTATTATTATTATTATTAGGTTTTATTGTGATTTATAATTACAATAATAAAATAATAATCTTTGTATGTAATAATTTTTTTAATTGTTGTAATTATTTTTTTCTTCATTAACTTTTGAACTCGTTAACAAGAATTAAAATTGAGATTAAGAAGTTTTGCTTGATTTCAAGAAATGTTGTTTGAAATGAACAAATATTCATATAAACTGAAAGAAACTGAAAATTTTTTTCTTTTTTTTATGAAAGATTATTAAAAAATAAAGAAAAAAATATAATCTGTAATTTTAAAGGCAATTTTTCTTGGTTTTAAGAAAAAAGAAAAAAGGATAAAATATTTGTTAGTGAAAGAAATTTTGTTCAAATACAAAAAGTTTTTCTCGATTGTAAAGAATTTTTTTGTTTGAAAACATTCTTTGAAAAGAATATTTGATTATTATTTTCTAATTTTGAACCTGAAGAATATTTTCAAGAGAAAATCAAAAAATTTTCCTTTTAAGAAAATATTCTTCAAAGTCAAGGAATCGAATATTTTTTATTAATTTTTTTGAATTCAATAACAGCAGTTGAGAATCAAAATCTATGATATAAAGTTTTTTTGTTTAATTTCAATAAAAACAGAAAATATTTTCTTAAATTAAAGAATCGAAGTTTTTTTTTATTTCAAGAAATTTTGTTTGAAATGAAGATATTCTTTAAAAATATTAAGAAATATTGTTCTAAGTAAAGAAACAATTTAAGAGGAGAAGTAAAGAATAATTTTTCTTGATTCCAAGGAAAAATTGAAATAATTAAAAAAAATTTGTATTCAAAAAAAGATAATATCTTCAGTAAGGAAAAAAAATATTCTTCCAATTAAAAAGTAAAAAAATTTCTACTAATTTCAAAACATTGAAAGGAATTCTTCTTGATTTCAAAAGAAACTATTTCTTGAACCGCGAATTTTTCAAAAATTGAAAAATAAAATAGAAAAATATCCGTTCAAAATATGAAAAAATTTTTCTTGACGACAAACACAACTTTTAATAATATAAAAAAAACAATTTTAATTTTATAACAAAAATTTTGTTTTTCAAAAATCCCTTTTTTTAGTGCACAAAAAAAAATTTTGTTTCATTTTCTTTTTTTTTGCTCTCTACTTGAATATCGCGTGAAAAGACATTTATCTCTTTGTTTGGAAAACCGGGCTACATAGTTGACATTAAACAGAAAGTTTCGCGGAATGGAGTTTACAAACTCGACAAAATTTACTGATGGCTTGTTATGAATTTTGTTGAAATGTTCAAAATATACAAAATATGCTGCACCAAATTCATATTTTTGCGGACTGTACAAAATATTTCGTAATCAATTTCTTTTTTTATTCGCGCATTGATAATAATTGAATAAGTACATCATTTTATATTACACACGCATTATCTAACCAATTATTTATTTAAATAATTATTTAATAATTTGAGAAATTATTCAATAATAAAAAAATCGAATAAAATAATAATAAAAATGATAAAGTAATAATCAAATAATTAATTTATTCAAAAAAGTATTGAATAATAAAATAATAATCGAATAATTTGTTTATTAATTAAAGAAAATATTATGAATAATAAAATAATCAAGTGATAAAATAATAATCGAATAATTTGTTTATTGAATAATAAAATAAACAAGTGATAAAATAATAATAAAATAATTATTTGAGCGTTAGCTAACAATAATAATAAATAAAACGAATAAAATAATAATCTGAAAAGAATAATAAAATAATCAAATGATAAAATATTAATAGAATAGTTTATTTAATAATTAAAGAAATAATTTTATAAGAAAATAAACAAATGATAAAATAATCTTAATAGAATAATTATTTGAGGGTAGTTCTTTTGTTATTAATTTTTATTTTTATTTAATTAAAAAATATTATTTTGTTTATTAAAAAAAAATGGCTAATAAATTAAATTTTGGATTTACGTTATTTTTCAATTCAGTGCAGGAATTTTTCAAAAATATTTAAACACAAAAAAAAATTCGTTCATAAAAGTTAAAAATTTTAATAAAATTCAAGTAATAATTATAATTATTAATAATATTAATTTATTAATTAATTAACATTAATAATAATCAACAATTTAAATTTAAAAACTCAATATGAATCAAATTTCAATTTCCCAACTATAAAAAATTATGATCCACAAGTTTTGAACGATCAAATAAAAAATATTTTTCATTAAAAATACTTTCAAAAAAAATTACCGATTGCAACAGAAATTAGAAATTTAAATTTTGCACTCAGAAATTGGCAAAAAAAATTTCTTCGACAGAGACGCAAAATTATTGCAATAAAAATTTAATTTCAAGAAGAAATAAATAAATTTCGTTCATTTCAATGTTCGGAATACTTTTTGGTGGAAAAAAATTAACAATAAATAATTTACGAAGAAAAAATCATAATTACAAAGGGAGAAAAGTTTCTAAACAAAATCTTTAAATTCAAATATCGCAGTAGTTCAAAAATAAAGAATTCTAATAAATTTTCATTGTAATACTCACAGTTAATTAAAAAAAAAACTGCCAAATTATTGATCCAAAAAAACACTGATTTTACACTGAAAGATAAATCCATTCAGTTCGTATATCCTCCTTATATTTTTGGACTCAAAAAATCACTTTTGTATTAAAAAAAAAAATAATAATACCAGTTTTTTTCTACTCCGTTCAAATCATCACCGTTTATCACTGATAAATGTTAATATATTTATTTAATTAAATATTTGTTTTCTAAGTAATAAACTTGAAATTACGTGTAGAATTTTCGTTTTCGCGAATTCGCGGGAAGATAATAAGGGTTCAAAAAAATAAAACCCTTATTAATTATTAACGCGAATCGTGGTGAACGAAAAGAGGCTAAAGCTAAACTAAAACAGAATCAAGATTGGGACCGGCTCTTGACGTCAATTTCTTCGTCAAACTCTGTCTCACTCTCTCACTCTCTCATATCCCATGACGTTAAATTCAAAGAGGTGGAGGAAAACAGAGGCGGAGTTATTCCTAACACAAAATCCCTCCCCGTTTTAATATATACATGTATATATTTTAATATAGAATAATTAATAACAATAGAAATAATAATTATTATTGAAAATATAGAGAAAATATTATAGAATTTAAAAATTATAAGAAATATAATAATTATTATTATATTTTATATGATTGTACACTGAATAAAAATTAATCTCATTCAATAATCACGCTATTTAAATTTAAATTAGTAAAAATGTTTACTAATTTGAATTAGTGACTGCCTTTTTGCTATTAAATTAGTAAATTTTATACCAATAAATGGTATTATTTTTTTACTTTTTCATTTCGAATTGGTAAATTTTATCAATAAATAGTAGTGTTTACTAATTTGCTCTTTTTAACTTTTTGCTTTCGAATTAGTAAATTTGCCTAATTAATAGTAATTTCTATTAACATTTTTGGTAAAATTACTAATTTGAAATTAGATTAATACAACTTTTTGCTTTCGAATTAGTAAACTTTACTAATAAATAGTAATTTCTAATAAATTTTTAGTAAAATTTAAATTAATGAATAATTAATTAATTAATTTAACTTTTTGCTTTCAAATTAGTAAATTTTATTAATAAATATAGTAATGCTTACTAATTTTGCTTTTTTGACTTTCAATTAGTAAATTTTACTATAATAAATAGTAATTTCTAATAAATTTTTAGTAAAATTTACTAATAAAAAATTAATTAATTAATTCAACTTCTTGCTTTCGAATTAGTAAACTTTACTAATTAATAGTAATTTCTAATAATTTTTTTTAGTAAAATTACTAATTAAAAATTAATTAATTCAACTTCTTGCATTTGAATTAGTAAATTTTACTAATAAATAGTAATTTCTAATAATTTTTTAGTAAAATAACTAATTCAACAGCAAAAAATTCGACAATAATTTAAAGAAGTAAAAATGTTTACTAATGTGAATTAGTGACTGACTTTTTTTTGCTTTTGAATTAGTAAATTTTACTGATAAATTAATAGAAATTATTATTTATTAGTAAACTTTTACTAATAAATTAGTAGAAACAACTATTTTAGTAAAATTTTACTAGTAAATGAGTAAAAATTACTATTTTAGTAAATATTTTACCAATAACTTAGCAGAAATTACTATTTTAGTAAAATTTTACTAATAGTTTAGTAGAAATTACTATTTTAGTAAAATTTTAATAATAAACATCGTAATTTCTACTAATTTATCAGTAAAATTTACTAATTCAAATGCAAAAATTTAGTCACTACTAATTCAAATTAGTAAACATTTTTAATAATTTAAATTTGGACAGTTGACATGAATGAAATAAATTTGTTTTGTTTATATTTATTTCTTTGAAAAAATAAAATTAAATAAAGAAAATATATGTTAAATTAATTAATAATTCTGAATCAGAAAAATTTTTCTAATTTAATTAAATATAAATGATAATTCTTTTCTTTGTTTGATTGAAGAAATTTGAATTAAATTAATTAAAGCACTGGCCACTGGTCAAAAATTGATTAAATTGATTGTTTGATTGAAGAAATTTGAATTAAATTAATTAAAGCACTGGTCAAAAATTGATTATTTTTATATAATAAAAACTTGAAGAACAATAATTTTTAATAAAAATTAATTCTCTTTCTGTATTTTTACTCAAAAATTTATAAACATGACCTAAAATTTGTTGCTTCTTATCTTTCTTTGGAACTCGCCACTAATTGTAGGTAATATTTTTAATTATTATTTACTATATAAAAAATGTTTGAATTTTTAATAAAAAAGTTTACGTAAAAAAATTGTTGTTGTTATTATTAATTATTATTATTATAAAAAACTTCTGAACCTTTCGATAAATATTCTCTCCGAGAGAACTCTCGTTACGAGAATAAAGATTCGAAACACTAAAATATTAATTCTTTTTAGCGCGCACGTGAAAATTTTTTAACATGTATATTGTATGCAAGAATGTTATGTAACAGAGAAAAAATGCTTATATTGCATTCCAAAGACAAAATTTAGCAATCTATACATATATACATACGTATAATTATTACAATGCAAATCGAGGTCATGACCACAATTATAATACATATTTTATAATTGTAAGCGACCTCAAATTATTATAATACATTATAATTATTTTCATATAAGGCAGATTTATATATCTTAGGCAGATTCAATTAATTCAAGAATATGAAGAAAAAAAGCATCATTTTCTTTATAAAAAAATTTTATTTTTTAGTATTAGTTTCAAAAGAGATTCTTGATTATATTTCAACTGTTTACAATTTCCTTAAGTCGGAAGCAAAGTGCGCGTACAAGAATGTATCATTGTTTATTGTTTATGTAAAAAGTTTATTTATTGCAAAACTTTATTCTTTAATTTATGAGTCATGTTTCTTTTTTTAATAAAACTCGCGAATCCGCGTTGATTTTTATATTATATATATATAGAAATTAATTAATTATTAAATTATCTAATAATTATATTTACTTTTTGATTGTAAATCTGTAAATATTATTTAAAACTTTTCTAAATATGCAACAAAAGTTTATTTAGAAATTTGAATACGTCTGACTAAAAATTTCTCTTCTATACTAATATTTATACAAACATAATTGCATGCAGATTAATATTGACAAAACAATATATAAATATTTTTAATTTTTTACTATCTTTACTTTTTAAAATATATTTATTTGTTTATTTATTTATTTAGAAATATACATTGATTTTTCTTTGCTATTCTTGTTTTTTCTTATTTTTTTATGTTATTAATTTGAAAACAATAAACAGAGTATAATAATAAATAAAATATGTAAAATATAATACAATTCATTGATTCAAATAAAAATTATTTGATTCAAGAAAATATTTATTTGACTCAAGTAAATAACCTCAAATTTTTTGCTTCTTAGGTATACCTTTCTTCGGAGCGCGACACAAATTTAAATTATTAAAAATTTTTACTAATTTGAATTAGTGACTGAATATTTGCATTTGATTTAGTAAATGTTACTGAGAAATTAGTAGAAATTAGTATTTATTATTAAAATTTTTAATTTTGGTAAAATAGTAATTTCTACAAATATATTATTAAAATTTTACTAAAATAGTAATTTCTACTAAGTTATCAATAAATATTTACTAAAATAGTAATTTCTACAAATTTATTAGTAAAATTTTACTAAAATGGTAGTTTCTACTAATTTATTAGTAGAATTTTACTAATAAATAATAATTTCTATTAATTTATTAGTAAAATTTACTAATTCAAAAACCAAAAAAAAGTCAATCACTAATTCAAATTAGTAAACGTTTTTACTAATTCAAATTTAAAGAGTAACAAATTATTTTTCTATTAGCAAAATAAATATATTTACTTTCGTCAATTTTTATTTTAATCAATATTATTCAAATTTGTATTTTTATAGCTTTAAATTCTGAAATATTGATTCAAATGCAATTTAATTCAATTAAAAAGTATTTGATTCAAGACAAATTTTTTTAATTCTCGAAATGGTAATAATTTTTACTTTTTTGAATTATTATTGTCTGATTTTTTGCTGTTGAATTAGTAATTTTACTAAAAAATTGTTAGAAATTACTATTTATTAGTAAAATTTACTAATTCAAAAGCAAAAAGTCAAGAATGCAAATTAGTAAAAATTACTATTTTTATTAATAAAATTTACTAATTCGAAAGAAAAAGGTGAATTAATTAATTTTTAATTAGTAATTTTACTAAAAAATTATTAGAAATTACTATATTAATTAGTCAAATTTACAATAATTCCAGTTCTAATTAAAAAATGCTTCAATTAATATGAATCGTATTATTTTTGAAAAAATAATTTCAAAAAGCGATACAAAAATATCAAATTTCTTTCGCAAGTAGTTTAAGTAAATTATAGTCAGACTTATTTTAATTATATATACATTCTTATAGAAGTACAATTATAATTTCAATTTTTAGTCACTTGTATGTTAATGACAACAAATTAAAAAATAAAACAAATTACACAAATATTTTAATAAACTATTATACTATTAATTAACAAATAAATGTATGTAAATAATTTGCGGATATAAATTTTCTTCCTTCGGTACATTTAGGGGGAAAAAAAATTGATAAAATATAAAACCACAAGTGCGGGAAAAACTGGTAACTTTTTATTCTTTTCTTTTTGAAATAAAATATATTTTATATATATATAAAGTGGGGAACGGAAATGGTCACCATGTTGGGGCGGCTTGGCGTTTTATAAGCTCACTGTTCATTGGTGAACGTCACAAGCGGGAATATTGACTGGGAAATGTTTGTACCAGCCCAACAAGGGTTTCTCAACTCGATTTCACGGCGAACGATAAATATTCTACACGTTTATATATTTTATCTATAAATTCAATATTAATTTTATTTCTTTTTTGAGTAAAATATATTAATTTTTTTAATTATAATATTATATTATTATACACGTGAATTATATTAAACAATCACAAAAATTAAATTCATCACTGTTCCACTGAACATAATATACTGTATAACATAATATATTGTATCAATATATTAGTAGATATTAATTATTAAATAATAATTAAATAATTATTATTATGTATTTATTAATTTTATTTATTCAGGACATTTGAGTCTATATAATAGGCTTTTTTATTTCATTTTTATTTACTTTTATATTTATTACTTATCTTTTATTTATTTTTATTTAATAGGCGCATTTGACTCGAATAACCGATTACTTGAGTCTTTTATCAATTTATTAAATATTTACTTGAATCAAATAATTTTTATTTTAATTAATTTTTTAGTTTAATCAATTAAATGATTTATTTGCTTCAAATATTGAAATTATTGATTCAAATATACAATTTAATTGACTCGAAAAAAAATTATTTGATTCAAGTATAATTATATTTATTCGATAACAGACAAATAATTGTTAAATCAAATAAATTTTTTTCAGTGTGATTATAATTAGTAATATATTAATCTACAGTGTTATTATTATATATATTATTACAATATATGTATATCGTTATATTAAATTTATAATAATAAATAATACAGAAAAAATGTATTCGATTCAAATAAACGATTACTTGCGTTGGTTATCAAATATATAATTATATATTTGATTTATATATATTTACTATATAATTATATAGAAAAATTGTGCGATTATTACGCGCGGCGACATGAATTTTTTTTTATTCTAAGAAAAAAAAATTCGCGTAGGAAATAAAAAGAAAAAAAGGAGGAATTATACCGTCATTTCGCCAGACCGGATATTTTTCATTTAGTACACACACATATGTATATATGTATATAGTGTATAATGGTTAAATACTTGAGTGAACGAACTGTTGTATTGCTAATATAACAAGGTATTGTTAGAGAATCACAATGACCATGTTTGCCAACATACCTGTTCGATTGTTCAATTGTTTCTCTTTTTATCGTTTCAACATTATTGTTGATGCTCACACCACACGGAATTATACTAAATAGATAATTATGCTCACTTTCCTCTCCACTATTTTATTTTTTTTATATTTACTCTCTCTATATTATATTTTGCCGAACGACGACGTTTCATTATAGCTAATTGATATTTAATTTTTAATTATGAAAACTTAATTTTAATGAAATAAACATAATTAATTAATTATAATTAATTAATTACAGTCTTCACACTCGATAATTAATTTTAAAAAAGTATCAAAAAGTAGCTTTAATTCTGAGAAAAAGTAGGATTGTTATACGTTGACAAAAGGATTGGTAATATAGAACTAACAAAATTTTATTTTGTTTTCTAAACAATTCAAATTTTTTCTAATAACAATAAATCTGTTGATGTAACAAAAAATTTTGTAACAACGACAAACGAAATTTGTTAGTTCTATATATTAACAATTCTTTTTTCTCTGTGCGTAAAATTTGATTATTTCTAAAAAATCGTACTATAACGGTTTAAATATTCAATTATTATCTAAACTTTCAACTAAACTTCGTTTTTAAATCAATTATTTATTATTAAAAAGTTCCACTGAAATTCAATTAATTAAATGCAAAAATAAATAATATATTAAATAATTGAATGATTCTCAAAAATTTAATTCTTATAAAAAATTTATCAATTTCTTAAAAAATGACTGAATTTTTGGGAAGAGTTTTATTTTTTTTTTTTTTCAAATAATTTAATTCTCGTGAAAATTTTTATTATTTGGGAAAATAATTGAAGAATTGTAAAGAATTAAAGAATTTATCAATTTTTTTTATAATTGAATTTCTGAGAAGACTTTTATTTAATTCTTTTTAAATAATTGAATTCTCTTAAAAATTTTTATTATTTGGGAAAATAATTGAATAATTATGAAAAATTAATGAATTTATCAATCTTTTTTAAAAAATAATTTAATTTCTAAGAAGAATTGTCTTATTTATAAAAATAATTAAATTTCTAAGAATAATTTTATTTAATTTTTTTTCAAATAATTGAATTCTCGTGAAAAATTTTATTATTTGGGAAAATAATTGAATAATTGTGAAGAATTAAAGAAATTATCAATTTTTTTTAATAATTAAATTTCTTATAAGAATTATATTATTTATGAAAATAATTGAATTTCTGAGAAGAATTTTATTTAATTCTTCTTAAATAATTGAATTCTCTTGAAAATTTTTATTATTTGGGAAAATAATTGAATAATTGTGAAGAATTAAAGAATTTATCAATTTTTTTTAAAAAATAATTTAATTTCTAAGAAGAATTGTCTTATTTATCAAAATAATTGAATTTTTAAGAATAATTTTATTTAATTCTTTTTAAAAAATTGAATTCTTGTGAAAAATTTTATTATTAGAGAAAATAATTGAATAATTATGAAGAGTTAAATAATTTATCAATTTTGTTTTTAAATAATTTAATTTCTAAGAAGAATTGTCTTATTTATAAAAATAATTTAATTTTTGCGAAGAATTTTAATTAATTTTGTTTTAAATAATTGAATTCTCTTGAAAATTTTTATTATTTGGGAAAATAATTGAATAATTGTGAAGAATTATATTAAAGAATTTATCTTTTTTTTAAAATAATTGAATTTCTGAGAAGAATTTTATTTCTTTTTAAATAATTGAATTCTTGTGAAAAAATTTTATTATTTGGGAAAATAATTGAATTCTTGTGAAGAATTTTATGAAAGTTTTTAAAAGTAATAAAAGAGCAAGATTATTTACCTATATATAAAATTTTTCATAAAAATAAATCCTTTACTAAACAATTATAAAAAATATTTATACTGAGTACAGTAAATAATTTTTATTTATTATATCAAAATAAATTGTATTTTGTCTTTTTCATGTTTTCCACTTTTCATTAAGTCTAATTTTTTGTTTTTTTAATATTAAAATTACCACTGAAAATTTTTGAAATTCAACTTCAAAAACTTAATATTCAAATACTATTTTACAGTGGATACAGTGGATATAATAATAATAATTATTATTTAATATTTCATCTATTTTCCCTGAATTATTAAAAAAAATTGTTATTTTTCAAATATAATAATTATTTTTATTATTATTATTATATTTTTAATTTATGATTTTAATTTGTAATCGAATTTTTAAAGTAAATTTAATATAATAATTAGAATAGTATATTTTTTAAAAATCAATAATAAAAATAGTTGCAAATTTAATTTTTCTAACTTAAAAAAATTTGACGTCTTTTCAAGTTTTTTGTTCTAGAAAATCTAAAAAAAACCCTGCATATTTATTTCCTATATAGAAAACTTTGGAAAAAATCCACAAAGTAAAAAGTTATAAAAATAACTCCCTAATATATACAAAATGAGCAAAATGTTTTATTTTTTCCTTTTTCAGGTATTTCAACACCTCTTTTTCGAGCAAGCAGTAAATAAGTGTAACTAAATTACTTGTTTATTCGTACGTATTGTATATTGTAAATAAAAAAGAAAGTTGAACATTATATTTGCAAAAATAGACATTTTTCAATATATATACACTGAAAAGTATATGTATATATATATATATAGTGGTATATACACTGAAAAGTAAATGTTTCATGGTATATATACATGTATATTAACGCCGTAAGGAAATAAGATACCCTGTTATGATTGAGGAATGTCAAAGCAATCTTGTGGACTTGAACAAGGGACTTCTCTTCCTAGCTTTAAACTCATATATACCTTCGACTTGGGCAATAAGTTTTCTTCATTTTTTACTACCGTTTTATGAGCATTTTTTGTCGCGGTCAAGCGAGACACGAACGATTATTACCAGCCGGTCACGTCCCATATAAACAAGTCTCAAATTCTCCTCTATGGAGCGTATGTTTCTTTCTCCCCCTACATAAATTAAGTAGTCGAGAATACCAAAATATATTCTCTTAACAAAATGCTAATTCGCTTTTTACAAACTTCTACAATTCGAAAATATTGTCGAAAAATTGTGGATAACAATTACTAATTGTCATGTAAGCATAACAAAAAGGCGCGACGCGAAATTGTTGTACGAGAAAAAGAAAAGTAAAAAAAAGAAAACTACGTATACGGAAAAACGTTGTTTAATTAAATAATTATGCTTTAGATTAACGAAAATACCTTTTTTCTCTCACTTGACTGGTTATTAGTTACTTTTTTCCTTTTCCTTCTCTTCCTTGTTGACATTTTGGTACTTTTGATCCTGATCCTCTCGATACGACGGTTGGCCATAAACTAACTGAATAGTTGTCGCACCTGTGGAAATAGAGAAAAAAAATGTTGATTAAATGAATAAAAAAAGCTTTGTTTCATTCACTTGATTGGGAATTAGTTCCTTTTTTCCTTTTTCTTTTGCGCCATTTTGACGATTTTGGCACGAGGCCATAAACTAAGTAAAGAACATAGATGGCACACTACGTCAATTTGTTAATACGAAGTAAAAAGTTTGTTATAAAATCACCTTTATAAACAAAAAGAAAGTTTTCAAATTATAATTTCTGTATGATTGTTCAAAATACCTAAAATCTTATTAAATAACCATTTTTTTGTTTGTAATAATATAATAACTTGTTTATAATAAATGTTTTGCATTAACATCATAATTATCGTTGCGAAACATTTTCGCAATTTTTGAAAAACCCGCCCTAAGTGTCAATTCTCCCCTGGCGGGAAAAAAGCGAACTTCTCAATAATAGTTCAGAAACTATTAACCAACCTTTATACTTCAATGAAAACAATGTTTACAATTGTAAACAACCCGAAACTTTCATGAAAATAGATGATCGGGATTCCCGATTCAATAGTAAAGTTGGAATTCGTGAAAATACCATGAAAATAACCTATAGTTTATGGTTGAACTTTAAAAAATAACATTGCTAACAAAACGAGGGATGTCCCGTTCTACAAAATTCATTTAACAAAGTGAATTGATTCATTATAAAACAATAAAGAACATTTTTCTTAATGCCAGAACATAATCAAATGAAGATAATTATATTGTCAATAAGAAAAAACGGCTAAAAATGGAGAAAAATAATTGACAAACTCTTTGTTTATGGAGCGTGTATTTTGAGGTTATCCTCATTGTAATTACCCCCTTTGTATCAAACGGAAAGGAAACGACAATTCTAAGAAATAGTAAGTTAATTTTAACTAAAATTGAAATTTTTATTTTAAGAAGTAATTCCTTTCTTTATTTTTAGAAAAAAATGGACTCCTTGGAGCCAACACCTCCGAAAGTGAGACGTATAAACAAACATGCGGCAATGCACGTTTCGGAATGTGTTCGAGAATTTAAATTACCTGTACATTTTCCTGGTTTGGTATCGGGTCATAAACCAGTATCCAAAGAACATACAATAACGCCATCGATGACAGTGTTAAAAACTATCGAAACCGAACCACAAACAATCGACGTGGGAAAGAAAATAAGTAAAGGAAAAAACGTTCAACTAGTCGAGTGTACGGATAAAAAAGTAATTCATCAAATTTCTTCCGACAAAGTTTTAAGTGGAACGAACCGAAGTCTCTCATCGCCAAATTCATCAAAAATTAAAACACTGACAAATCCGATGTCAAATTCTCTAGCAATCAATTACAATGGTGTCAGTAAATTAAAAACACTAAAATTAAAAAGTCCGGATGGGAAAGATCTCGGTGAATTTCAAGTCGAACTCCTTGACTTTAAGAATCAAGTGCAAAAAAGAAAATTAATTACCATCCCCACAAGTGCTTTAACCTCGAAAGATGATTCGGATAATATTGTCACAAGTACACAAAACGATCCAATTGTTTCTTATTCAATGAAAGATGTTCAATATCCAGGTTCAATTTACCAAGAACCAAGAATTGATAAATTAGAAAACGATTTGTCAAGTAAAGTGAAAATAATTAGCAACGTCTCATTAAATAAACTCCCAGCTGACGATCTCTCGAAAATAATTCAAGGCAAACAAATGATCAAGACAATATTTTCCAATACACCCTTCGAACCACCGACAATAAGTACAAAACATTTACATCCAACGGATGAGAATTCAAAAAAATTACTCTATCTCAAACCCGAGGAGCATCCTTATTTGAAAAGTATCACAAAAACAGGTAAACCCATTTCTCTAAAACCAGTGAAATTAAAATCTTTAACTCTCAATTTAAAACCAAGTGAAATCAACGATCCAAATTTTACCAGTGGTTTGTCGGGTTATAAAAATGGCGATATGGACGAGGACTGTGAAGATGAATTGGAAAATGAAAAAATTGATTCACCGAAAAATGAGAGTGAACAACAACAGCCAAAACGTGAATGGAAAAAACTCGAGTACACATTGACGAAAAAAAATGTTATGGTAATGTTACCGAAAGTTTCTTCAAATAAGAAATTAATGACAAATCGACGACAATCATCCGAGAGCAGTTTAACAACGAGTGAGGAAGATTTCACCAATTTGGAGTCAGATTCACCGAAACAGGGAAAATTGGCAAAAAGCGCCAAGGGGAAGAATTCGGACAAGAAGAGAAAGGAGAATTCCGAGGATGTTGAATTCAATCAATCGGTTGACATAAGTATCGTTGAAAGAGCCTTGGCTTCAGTGAAAGATAAAACATTACGCGATGAGGCTTTGAAAATTCTCGCCTCATGTAAATTGGGAATTGAACGACAAATTCCAATTCGTCCACCGTCGAATGAAATTTCAGTGCGTGATACAACAACACAAACGGATATTTTTGGTAATTTGGAACGTGAATGTGAGGAGTTTATTGAGGTGAAAAAAAGTGAGAAGGGAATCAAGAGAATAAACAAAATAATGAGAGACGGTACAATTGCTTTTAAATCATTGAATTCTATTGTTAATCCAATAAAGCAGTATGAGGAGGAGAATAATTTTTCATCGCAATTGGATAAAATGATTATGGAGTTGGATATTGATTCAAATGATAAGCAGGAGATGACGAAAATTAAAAATGTCCTCGAGAGGCCAATTCAAAGTGTTGAGAAAATGAATCGTGTACAGATGCAAATTATTAATGATATCAAATCATTGGAGATTTGTGATGAGGATGGATTCACGGGACTTCACAAGGCGATTGTTCGAGATGATATTAAAGCTGTCAAGAGATTGTTGATGATTCTCCCGATGACCAAGAATAATATTGACGCCAAGAGTTACGATAATAAAGTAAGTTTTTTCTATTTTAATAATATTTTTATTTTTATTTGCCTTTTTATTTTTTTTTTTAATTTTTATCTTAATTTAACGGTGGGTGAAGTTCACGTCGTTTAATGATAAACGTTCGTAAGAAAATACTTTTTACCCAGAAAACAATATTTTTTGTTCACAAATTTTTATTTTCTAAATTCTTGATTAAAAAAAACTGAACAAAGTTTTTTTAAAACTAAATTTGCAGGTAAAATACTTTTTTCTAAATTGTTGATTAAAAAAAAAACTGAGAAAGTTTTTTTTTAAACTAATATTTGCAGGAAAAATACTTTTTATAATTTAATTAAAGTTTGTCACGAGGAAATTAATTTTGCTTCTAATTTGTCAGACGAGTTTGGAATTGGCAATGAAAATGGATGCTGATCCGGAAATTGTAAATTGTTTATTGGAAGCTGGAGCGAAACCAACATCAGAGGAGGTGGGATACGATTCAGCTTTATTAATTGCCTGTAAAAATTCTTCTCCACTTTTACCTCAACTGATAAAATATGCCTGCAAGACTGCTTTGGATTCGATGGATGTCGAAGGTATATAAAGAAATTCAAAATAACTAAAATAATAATCATTTAACATTTTTGTTTTGATTTCTAAAAGTAAATTCAGGATTTCTACAAGTCGGGGAAAAATTGAAAAATGAAAAAAAACTGAATTGTCATTGAATTCTATTTTGCTTCATAGTTCATTGTTTGATCATGGAATTCCCATGCAAATGGGAAATTCCAAATTTATAAAAAGAAATTTCTATTTTATTGTTATTTATTTTTATTTATTTGTATTTCAATAGAACATTTAATTAACTGATTTCATATTTATCTGGATTTTTGTTTCATCGAATATTTTTACAAAAGATTATCTAGATTATCAAATATTTATTTAGCATAATTTCCATTCAACAGGATTTGTAGTTATCAAAAATTCTTATAATTCGAAAATTCTATCAAAATTTAATAAAAATTGTATTGAAAATAATTAAATTCCCGAGAAGAATGTTATTAATTGGGAAAATAATTGAATATTCAAAATCATTGAATTCTTTAGAGAAATTTTATTATTTATGAAGAGATTTAAATTATTTCCTAGAATTTTATTAAAATTTATGATAATAATTGAAATCATGCGAAGAAATTAAGTATTTATGAAAGTAATTGAAATTATTAAACTAAGAAATTTATTAAAATATTGAAAATAATTGTATTTCTGCAAAGAATTATTACCTATTTATTAAAATCGTTAAAAATAATTTAATTTTTTCAAAATATATAAACAAATTTTTTGAAATTAAATGATTTGTTTCGTAGAAATTCATTAAAGTTTTTGAATATAATTGAATTCTTTCTTGAAATTTTACTATAATTTATAAAAATATCTGAAATCTTGCAAAAAAATGTATTATTTATGAAAATATCTGAATTCTTGCAACAAATTTTATTTTTTATGAAAATATTTGATTTTAAAAATAATTGAATTCTTTAAAAAAACTTTACTATTTATGAAAATATTTAATTTCTTGGAAAGAATTTTTTTTTAATTTATGAAAATAATTGAATTTCCACGAAGAATTTTACTATTTCTGAAAATAATTGAATTCTTGCAAAGAATTTTACTATCTTTGAAGATATTTGATAATTGAATTCTTTAGAGATAGTATTCTAATGAAAATATTTGATTTTTTAGAAGAATTTTATTGAAATTTATGAGAATAATTGAATTCTTGTCAAAGATTTTATCGAATTTTTCAAAATATTTGAATTCTTGTGGAGAATTTTACTATTTATGAAAATATTTGATTTTTTGTGAAGAATATGATTGCAATTTATGAAAATAATTGAATTCCTACAATGAATTTTATATATTTATTAAAATAGTTGAATTCTTGCAATAATTTTGTTATTTTTAGAAATAAATCATTTTTGTTAAGTATTTATTTAAATAAATTCTTTGAAATTAATTGATTTGTTTTGAAAATTCAAAAAAAAAATTTTTTAATTATTTGAATTCTTTAGAGAAATTTTATTATTTAAGAAAATTATAATTGAATTGTCTCAGAGAATTTTATTAACATTTATAAAAATAATAGAATTCTTCCAAAGAATTTGATTAAAATTGTATTGAAAATAATTGAATTCTTGCTACGAATTAAATAAAAATTATAATAAAAAATGGAATAAATCGATGTTTGGCTAATTAAAAATTGGAGTAAATAGAAATTCTGATAAATAAAAATTGTGATGAATACAAATTCCATTAAATAAAAATTCGATATAGCGAAATTTTTCATTAATTTTGAATTAGATGGAAAGAAAATTTCGCTGAGTAAAAAATTCGGTCTCGAAAAAATTATAGAAATTTGCCGAGGAAGAATTTTCAGAAATTCACTTCAATTAATTGATTAAATGAATTAAATTAATTAATAATTTTTATTATAATATTATTCGTCCCTGTAAATAATCGCAATGATCTTAAAATTTTCAGGATTTGGCGCTATTCACATTTGTGCAGTACGAGGTAATTCAAATGCAATAAATTCCCTAATTGCCGCTGGGGCAAATATAAATTTACAAGATCTACGATCGGGAAGAACAGCATTGTTCCATGCAATTGAAAATGGACATATCGACCTGGCCCGTCACTTATTGGCATCAGGTGCAAAACCAAGTATTCGAAATAACGATGGACACACAATTTTACCACTTCTCGACGATCCGAAAACGCAAATATTAAAAAATATTGTTTTAAAAGCAATGAAGAGTCACTGAGAAGTAATTTTCTTCTGTTTTTTTTCTCTGTCTCGCTGTAAATTAAATTGTCTTCATTGTCTTTTAGAAATGATAATTTTTCCATAAATAGTTATAATTTATAATTATTTTTAAATGACAGTAATCTTAATTGGACGCAGAGGGAAAAAAATTAAAATTTTCCCAAAGCAACCAAAAGATTTGTAATCTTTTAAAAAAAAATGAAAATAGTTTCGTTATTTTTATTTTTTTTTTTTAAATTATTTGAAATTCAAAGACCTTTAGCAACTATATATGCGATATAAATGTGTTTCTTTTTTTTACACATATTTTTTTTTAGTCAATATATTTTTTATAGACAAAAACTTTTTAAGTTACATTTAAACTGAATGTACATTTTTTTTTTGTTCAAATCGAAATTGAATTATGATGGATTGCTTAAATTTACAAATTATTTTTACAAATATTTTGAAAATACCTTCTATTTTCAATTTATTTAAAGAAAAAACATTGGACCATATTTTTGATAAAATTTTGAAAGCATTATTATAATTTTGCTTAAATTTTTAGTATTATGTTAACTATAGGCATGTTAATTATGACTAATTCGTTTTGATTATTTGTGTAACATTCGCATAATTTTTTGTAGTATTTTTTTCTTTGCTCCTTTTTTTTGAAAATATAAAAATAAAAAATCGTAATAAATTTTGTTGAATTGATAACAAAATTTATTTATTAAAAAGTAATACGAATAAAATTGTGAATAGATTTGTAAATTTAGTGAAAAATATTCTGGAAAGAAAAAATAAGTTACCTGTAATTAAATATAAAATAAATAATTACGTATACGTGTTACTTATAAATGAACAGGAAATCAATTTATATTTTGATATTTTGTTTTCAATTTATCAATGCAGTAGTGAAACAAGAAAATTTTCTTTTCGCAAACGATTTCGATTATTTTGGTATTATTTTTCTTCTTAATGTTTAGAAAATGAAAAAAAAAATGTTATAATATACAAGTAATTGTAATTATTCATTGTATAAAAATTACAATTTTTATATATAGAAACTTTACTACTATTGAAATAAAAATGTAATTATTCATTGATAAAAATTATTATTCTTAAAAATTATTATCATTATTATTTGTTCTTTAGAAAAATAAGTTTTTCGATAATTTTTAACTATTTTAAACTCCAGGACTCATATTTTAGGTGTTTACTTATAAAATCGAAATATTTAATTATTATAATTAATTTATATTTAATTTTTTTAAAGGACAAGCGGGAAAAATTGAATAAAAATTGTCCCTCTTGTGGCGATTGTCAGAAATGAAAATCGAGCAGAAAACAATATGTACGTCAACTTTGGTGTTATTGATTAGATTAATTAGAAATATTGTCCTATTTTGCGAAGTTATGGAAAGATTTGATATTTAATTATCAGCAGGAATAAAAGGACAATCGATTAGATACGAAAAAATTATCTTTTAGTTGTAAAACAAGTAAGTGCGTTTGATTTTATTTTATTTTCGAACATAACCTATATTTGTCATTTTTTTCTTATTTTTACCTTTCCTGAGTGTTTGGAGTTATTTTATTCGAATATTAAATCAATTTTACTAATTATGTCACTTTTTTTACTTTAAATAAAAAGCTTTCAACCTTCTTTTAAGTTTTAAATTCTTCTTTTGGAAAATTTGACAGTTTTTCGAAATCCAATTTTTGTTTTGATTTTGACACTGAATAAACATTTCTTTAATTTTATGAAGCATGAATAAAAAACTTACTTTATAATAAAATGTCCTTAATTACTTTAATTGAACTAATAGTTTAATCAATACTTTAATTAATTCGTAATTAAATTACGAAATTTTCTTGATTTCCTTTCCTCTTTTTCTTATTGAACAGAATGATCAGAATTCATTGTTTTCGTAAAGATTCAAAGAAAATTCCATAAAATTAATTTAAAAAAAAGAAAATTGAAAGAACTGCCAAATAAAGAATTGTCAGTTTCTTTAATTTCCTTTGTTTCTTTTTCTTATTTTAAAAAATTCATTGTTTTAATTGAATTTCTACGAAGAATATAATTATTTCTAAAAATAATTGAATTCTTGCAAAAAATTTTAGTTTTTATAAAAATAATTGAATTCTGGCAAAGAATTCTTTTGAAATTTGTGGAAATAATTGAATTCTTTAGAAAAATGTTATTATTTATGAAAATATTTGATTTTTTGCGAAGAAATTGATTATTTCTGAAAATAATTGAATTCTAGCGAAGAAATCTGTTAAAATTTTTGAAAATAATTCAATTCTTTATAGAAATTTTATAATGTATGAAAATATTTTATTTTTAGTGAAAAAATCTTTATAAACTAAAAAAATAATTGAATTCTTGTTAAAATATTTTAAAAAATTGAATTCTTTCAAGGAATTTTATTATAATTTTTTGTCTTTGTAGATTAAAAGAAAAAATGCCAGAAGAAGAGGATATTTCGGCTTCGGTCCGCATGACGAATGATGATTTTCGAAAATTACTGATGACACCAAGAGCTTCGGCTCCATCGTCGACACCAGCATCGGTTCCTGGCACAATTCGCGATGCAAGTGCAAAAACAGCGCAAACACCGAATATCAGTGGCAATAATCGCGGTGAACTTCGTCGAAAGAAGAAGAGTTTTTATGCGAAACTAAAGAAACAAGAGGAAGATAAAATGGCTGAATTAGCGGAAAAATATCGTGACAGAGCAAAGGAACGACGTTCGGGTGTCAGTCAGGATTATCAACCAGAAGATCCAATGAATACAACAAGTGCTTATCGAGCCGTTGCTCCTGATATACAATCAGGAATGGACGCTGCCGAGCGACGTCGTGAAATGATTCAAAATTCAAAATTCTTGGGTGGTGACATGGAACACACTCATTTAGTGAAGGGTCTCGATTTTGCCCTCTTGCAAAAGGTTTCTTTTTACAATTATTAGAAAATTTGTATTTCATATAGTTTTCATTTTTTTTTTGTATTCCAGGGTTGCCACAGGAATTTTTTTTATCAAAAAGACATGCTGGAAAAATAACATTGATACCAAAAATAATTCTGTATTTTTTGTGTCGAAAACTATTTTTTTCACTTGATATTCTATTTCTGAAAATAATTAAAATGTTTAATAATTATATTTTAGAATAACATTCTTAAAATTATAAATACTTAATTTGGAAAAGAATTCTATTGGCAATTTTCAGAAATAATTGAATTTCAAAAGTTTTTTTTAAAGCAAAAATTTAACGAAAGAATTAACAGCAATTAAATATTCATTCAAAAAACTATTTAATTTTGACATATTTTCATTTAAAATTATGTAAAAGATTAACTTTTAAAAATTTAAACTCAGTTTTTCAAAGATAATGGAACTTTTAAAAAAGTTTAATAATAAATTATCAAATTCATTAAAATTTTGTAAAATCAAATTAAAAATAAGTGAATTTGTTAAAGATTTAAATTAGTTTTAAAAAATTTATTTATTACAATAATAGAATTTTTAAGGAATTCTACTAGTATTTTAACAAATAATTGAATTCTTTCGAAGAATTTCGTATAAATTAAATTAAAAATAAATAAATAATTATTCCTGCGATTAATGTTAGTATTTAAAAAACTAATTGTATTCTAGTGAAGAATTTTCTTAAAATTTATTAAAAATAATTGAATTTTGGCAAATGATTTTATTGAATTTTTATAAATAATTGAATTCTTTAAAAAAATAATACTAATTATAAAAATAGTTGATTTTTTGTAAAGAATTTTATTGAAACTTATGAGAATAATTGATTTCTTGCGAAGGATTTTATAATTTATGAAAATTATTAATTTTTTGCGAAGAATTTTGTTATTTATAAAAATAATTAAATTCTTACGAAGAATTTTATTATTTATGGAAATAATTGAATTCTAGCGAAGGAATTTATTAAATTTTTAAAAATAATTGAATTCTTTACAGAAATTTTAATATTTATGAAAATAATTGAAATTCCACGAAGTATTTTATTGTTTCTAAAAATAATTGAATTCTTACGGAGGATTTTCTTGAATTTAAAATATAATTGATTTTCTTTCAAAAATTTAACTACTTATGAAAATAATTGAATTCTTGTGAAGAATTTTATAGAATTCTAAAAATAAGTGAATTCTAACGATGAATTCTGTTAAAGTTTTTGAAAAGAATTGAATTGTCACAAAAAATTTTATTATTTATAAAAATATTTGAATTTTTTGCGAAGAATTTTATTAAAATTTTTGTAAATAATTGAATTATAGCGAAGAATTCTGTTAAAATTTATCAAAATAATTGAATTGAATTTTAATAAAATTTTTGAAAATAATAAAATTGAATTCTTGTCGAGAATTTTATTAGAATTTTTTAAAAATAATTGAATTCTTTCGAAGAATTTTTAAAATATTTCTGAAAATAATAAATAAATATTAATAGCTAAAAATATCTGGGAAACGTCAAAATTTTATCTAGAAGTTAAAGAAAAGTCATGGAAATACGAATTGAATTTGTATAGGCAACCCTGCATTGTTTCTTTCTTATATGTATCTTCTTTTAACAAAAATATTATTTTTTTTAATTTAATTTTTTATTTCTAATTTGTCTACTTCTAATTATTATCTTTGATTTATAATCTTCAATTTGCTATTTCCAGGTGCGGAGTGAAATAAAAAATAAAGAACTAGAACAGGAGCAAGAAATGGAGAGACTAGTGAAACCGAAAGAAGTGGTGAAGGAAGAGCAACCAAAGGAGGTGAAGAAAAAAGAGGACGAAATGCAATTTAAAACAAAAGTCGGTCGCAATATTTACAAAACAATAATGACAATGCGATCGAAGCAAATTGAACGCAATGAACTCTTTATCCCCGGTCGTATGGCCTACGTAATCGAATTGGACGACGAGAATGCGGAAGTTGACATTCCAACGACATTAATTCGCAGCAAGGCGGATGTGCCAACTGTCGATACAACTCCAACCCTAACGACGAACGACATAGTAATTAATAAATTAGCCCAAATATTGTCATATCTACGTCAAGGTAGTCGACACGGCAAAAAGGGAAAGAAAAAGGGTCGTCTCGACGACATGAACGAAATGGATATCGCGCCAAAACCACCGCAAGACGACAGTATTTACGGCGACATCGGCGATTATGTACCAACAATGGAGAAAAGTAGCAGTAGTAGTAGTTCACATCAAAAATCGAAAAAGAAATCAACCTATTTCGATAAGCCGCACGATTCCGAAATCGAGAGCGATAAACACAGTGCGCCGAGACTTCCAATGGCGATTGCACAAAGTATTGTCGGTACTTCGAGTCAGCAGGTGGAAATTTCAAAAGCTGGTTCGATATTGAGTAAATTTGCCACCGAACCGGAGGGCTATGCTGAATGTTATCCTGGTCTCGATGAAATGCAGGACGCGATTGATGACTCTGACGATGAAGTGGATTACACGAAAATGGATCTTGGCAATAAGAAGGGACCGATTGGAAGATGGGATTTCGATACACCGGAGGAGTACAGCGAGTATATGAATAATAAGGAGGCACTTCCGAAAGCGGCCTTTCAATATGGCGTGAAAATGGCTGATGGACGGCGAACGAGAAAATTCAATAAGGAAAAGAATGAAAAGGCCGAATTGGATCGTGAATGGCAGAAGATTCAGAATATTATGAATAAACGAAAACCATCGAGTAGCGCTGACTCTGCGCCTGAATTTAAAGTTCCGAGATATTAATTTTGCTAATTAATTCGAACGAGTTTCAAAATAATATTAATTTGCTAATTAATTCAAAACCGTGTTTCGAGATATTTGCAAATAGATTCAAATGATTTTCAAAATATTTGCAAATTGATTGAAACGATTTTAAAAATATTTGCAAATTGATTGAAACGAGTTTCAAAATATTTGCAAATTGGTTTAAACGAGTTTCAAACTATTTGCAAATTGATTCAAATGATTTTCAAAGTATTTTCAAATTGATTGAAACGAGTTTCAAACTATTTGCAAATTGATTCAAATGAGTTTCAAGATATTTGCAAATTACTTTGAATGAGTCTCAAAATATTTGCAATAATTGATTCAAATGATTTTCAAGATATTTGCAAATTGTTTCAAACCAGTTTCAAGATATTTGCAAATTGATTCAAACAAGTTTTAAAATATTTGCAAATTAATTCAAAAGGTAACTAAAGAAATTCACTAAATTAATTATTTTATAAATAATTATAACTATTATAATTAAACATTATGTTTGTTTAGATAGTAATTTCTAATCTCTTTTTTTTAGAATTTCGCATTCTAAATGTAAAAAATAAAATATGTTTCCTTGAAAAAAAATAGAATTTTCATTTCGTCTTTTAGAAAAATTTGCATTAAAAAACATGTAAAATTAAAGAATTTTACAATAAAAATGGAAATGTGATTGTATCTGAAAATACTAATTATTTCAAAACATTATCTCGAGGGAAACGGAGTAAAATTATTTATAATTGAATGCTTGCGAAGAAATTTATTAAGATCTTTAAAATAATTGAATTGTTAGGTAAAATTTAATTAATGGCTTTGAAAACAATAATGTTCTATCAAGAAATTTAACTAAAATTGTATTAAAATAAATTTAATTCTTATAAACAAATTTTCGACAAATTTTTAAAGAAAATTGAATTTTTTGAGCAATTCTATTAAAATTGTATTGAAAATAATTGAATTCTTTCGAGGAATTTAATTAAAATTGTATTATAATATTTAAATTTTCTTAGGAGAAATTTATTAATATTTTTGAAAATAATTGAATTCTAGCGAAAAAATTTTATTAAAATTTATGAAAATAATTGAATTCTTGTTTTTTTACAGAAATTTTACTATTTTTGAAAATACTTAAATTCTTGGGAATATTTTTTTAAATTCATGAAATTAATTGAATTTTCACGAAGAATTTTATTATTTATAAAATTTTTATTTTTGCGAATACTTTTATAGAAATTTATAAAAATAATTGTATTCTTCGTGAGAAATTTTATTATTTATAAAAATGTTTGATTTTTTGCAAAGAATTTGATTGAAATTTATAAAGATAATTAAGTTTTAATGAAGAATATTATTATTTATGAAAATAATTAAATTCTTGGGAATGATTTTATTATGCATGAAAATAATTGAATTCTAGGAAAGAAATCTGTTGAAATTTTTTAAAATAATTGAATTCTTTAGAGAATTTTTTTTATTTTTAAAAATATTCTACTTTTTGCTAAAAATTCTTAAAAATAACTAAATTCTTTCGAGGAATTGAATTAAAATTTTATTAAAAATATTTGAATTTTTTTGAAGAAATTTATCAACAATTTAGAAAATTTTACTATTTATGAAAATATTTCAATTCTTGGGAATAATTTTTTTTAAATTTAAGAAAATATTTGATTTTTATTGAAATTTACAAAAATAATTGAATTTTTGTGAAAGAATTTATTGGAATTTTTAAAAATAATTGAATTCTTTAGAGAAATTGTATTATTCATGAAAATATTTAAATTCTAACAAAGAATTTAATTATTTCGAAATAAATTTGATTTTTTGTGAAGTATTTTATTATTTATAAAAATATTTGAATTTTCTTTGCGAAGAATTTTATTAAAATTTTTGTAAACAATTGAATTATAGCGAACAATTCTGTTAAAATTTATCAAATATACAAAATGGAAGAAAACAGGTGGGTAAGGAAGTGTCTGATGGAAGAAATTAGGGCAATTAAGAACAACAATTCATCCAAGTGGGGGAAAGATTTGGAACGGTGCTTGAAGAGTCTAGGAGACGGTCAGATTATTAATCAACTGTGGGATAGGAAACCAGTGGAGGAAGTCGAGGCAAGAGTTAGGCAGCTAATTAAAGTTAAATTGGAACAAGACGTACAAACGGACTGGTCAAAGGTGGATAAATCGTCCTTTTGTGAATATTACAAATCAATTAAAGAAGGAATAAACATGGAGGTATATTGGGGGAGGAAAGATATGTCAAAAAGTCAAAAAGAGGGCTGGGCTAGATGGAGATGTGGAAATGCAATAAAAGAAGAGAAAAAGGGCTTTACAGATAGATCCTGCAGAGGGTGCAGGTCGGAAAAAGAAGTTTTGGAACACGTAGTCCAATGTGATACCGTTCTCCAAGAGCTAAAAGCAGACTCCAAAACATGGTGGCAAGATTGGAGAGGCAAAAGTGCAAAGGAACTTTGGAGGAGTAGACTAATTGAGGGATTGAAAGGCAATTGTGATAAAAACCTGTGTAAGAATCTAAATGAACTAGAAACAATTTTACGTAAGAGAGTATTAATGTAAATGTAATTTATAATTTCTTTGTGTATTGACATATATATATATATATTTATATACTATATTAATATTTTATATTATATGTTTATGTAAGTGTGAATAAGAAACCAAAGGCTGGAAGAGGATGTGAAACAATAATTTGTAACATTAATGAATAAAATTCTATTCTATTCTGTTAAAATTTATCAAAATAATTGAAGTGAATTTTAATAAAATTTTTGAAAATAATTGAATTCTTGTCGAGAATTTTATCAGAATTTTTTTTAAATTAATTGTATTCTTTCGAAGAATTTTTAGAATGTTTTTGAAAATACCTAATAAATAATAATTAATATCTAAAAATGGTATTTTTTTTTAAATATTGATTCTGAAAGCTATAAAAAATTTTAAGTACATGCAAATTTATTATTTTTTATCAATTTCATAAAATGTAAATATAAAACAATCTTAATTATTAGAGATCTTAATTGTATAATAATAAAAAATAGAATGAAAGAGTTTCAGTGAAATAATAATTTCTTTTTCAATAAATTTCTCTATTCTATTCGATAAAATTTTACTGATTAATTTTACATGATTAATTTTAAAATTAATCATGTAAATTTAAACCATGACTTTGGCGTTTCGATGGTTGTCAATTGATTGCCATCAGATGAAAAATTCCTGCTGTAGATGCCAAGAGTCATTAAATTGTTCCCTGCTCCATTGAGATTTAAAGAGAGTATTTGAAAATTCGCAATGTCAATTGATTGAAACGAGAAATTCTCCGAATCAAGTGGTATATAATCAGTTTGAAGAGAAATTGGCAAATTTAGTAAACTAACATTTTCTCTTTTTGGCAAAATTGCCGTTATTTGAAATTTCTCGAAAATCGTTCGAAATTTAATATCATTTTTCTCATCAATTGGTTTACCGCAACTACTTAAGGAATCATTCCTACAAATAATTAAACCACAAACGTGAACTCCTGCATTAATAACTCCATAAGGTCGTACTCCAGAGAAAACACCAAAACGATATCTGAAAATGTGCAGAAAAAAAGAAGAATGTAAATAATTGGAAAAAATTACAATTCTTACCAAATATTTGAATTTAATTTAAAAATTTAATATTTTTACTAAACTAAAATATTTTTTTGTAACTTTCGTATTAAAATAAAATTATAAAATATTGATATCAACCTGTAATATTCCTCGTCTGTAATTGATTTATTGTGCTCTGCTTTGTGATTGAAATGACAACAGAAATTATCCTTACAAAGAGTGATAAACTGATCTGTTTCCGGTTGAATAACAATAGTGTTGAATGAAGAAAGAAAATCGGTTAAATAACCACTTTGAATTGTTTCATCGACAATAGTTGGCACCTCAGTATTTGTAAATTCATAACTAATCTTGTCAAAACTATCAAAATCCCTCTTGCCATCAATAACTTTTGGTACATTTGCTATTAATAAAGCATTTTTATTTTGATTCGCATGAAAAGTAGCTGGGATTTTGGAATTTCTCCCCGCATAAATACCACTTCCGGTTGAGCCAGTTATTGGTTTATTGTAGCCAGATGCCAGGAAATTAACATCATTTGTATGTGACCATGCCGCTTGAATTGAGACTGCATCTAAAAATGGTAATTCCGCAAACCAATGGGTAGGATAGACGATATCTTTAATTTCATTTGTTTTCAATAATTCAAGAGCTGGTGTTTTAAATAGAATATCAAAGCAAATAAATTGGCCAAATTTCACTCCAAAATCGGTGTCAAATATTGAAATATCAGGCACGTGAGTTACATTGAAACTGAATTCCTGAAAGAGATTGTATTTTCGATAGCGACTGATCACAGTTCCATTACGATCGAAAACTATATTTGAATTAAAGAGTTTTTTTTTGTCGCCACTTTGACATTCTTTGCAATCCTCTTTCTCGATGTAGTTGACTACGAGATAAGTGTTGTACTCCCTTGCGGCGCATGATAATTTTTTTAGGATCTAAAAAAAATTTAAATTATATTATTCTTAATGTTTAAAATTAAATAAATAGTAAATTAGACATTTTTAATTTCCAATTTTGTGAAATTATTTGTATTCAAATAATTATGATAATATAAATAATAATTAAACAAATTCTTCTTGGAATTCAATTATTCTTAAAAATTTTTTGCAAAAATTGAAATATTTTCGTAAAAAATAAAAGTTCTGTAAAGTATCTAGTAAATTATTTTCAAAAATTTTAACAATTTTCTTCCATAGAATTCAATTATTTTTAGAAATAATAAATTTCTACGTGGAAATTCAATTATTTCCATAAATTGAAAAAATTCTTCCCAAGAATTCAAATATTTTCATAAATAGTTAAATTTCTCAAAAGAATTTAATTATTTTCAAAAATTCAAATAAAATTTTTCGCGAAAATTCATAATTTTCATAAACAAAATTCTTTGAGAGAATTCAATTATTTTCAAAAATATAATAAAAAACTTCGTAAGAATTCAATTATTTGCAGGAATAATAAAATTCTTGGTAGGAATTCAATTATGTTTAATAAAATTTCTCAATTTTATTCAATTATTTAAAAAATTTTTATATAAAATTCCTCGCCACTATTCAATTATTCTTTAAATTCTTAATAAAATTCTTCGACATTAATAAAATATTTTTAAAATTTTTAATAAAATTCTTTACAAGAATTCAATTATTTCCATCGATAATAAAATCCTTCACAAGAATTCAAAGATTTTTAAAAATAATAACATTTCTCTAAAGAATGCAATTATTATTAATAATTTTAACGGATTTCTTCACTAAAATTTAATTTTTTTAAAAAAATTTTAACAAAATTTTTCACAAAAATTAAATTATTATCATAAATTATAATATAATTGTTAGAAAGAATTCAAATCTGTTCATAAATAATTAAATTTTTCTAAAGAAAAGAAAAGAATTCCTCAAAAGATTTCAATTACTTTCAAATTTTAAACAAATACTCTTAGCAATAATTCAATTATTTTTAAAAATTATAATTAAATTCTTCGAATGAATTCAATTTTTTTAAATATTTTAACAAGATGCTTTTATAGATTTCAATTGAGGCCTTGGATCCAATAACTCGCCCGACGCTCGAAGACTCGCGCTAATGCCAGTCGGGTAACAGTGAGTGGCCCAGAGGCGCTCACTGGTCACTGACTGGCAGTTGCGCGTTTCTCCGAGCGTCTGGCGAGTTATTGGATCCAAGGCCTCAATTATTATTAATTTATCAAGATTTTTTGCAAAAATTCAAATATTTTCATAAATAATAAAATTTTTCTAAAGAATTCAATTATTTTCAGAAATAATAAAATTCTTCGAAAGAATTCAATTATTTTCATAAATAGTAACATTTTTCTAAAGAATTAAATTATTTTTAAAAATTCAATAAAATCCTTAGCAGGAATTCAATTATTTTCATAAATTACAATCAAATTCTTCACAAAAAATCAAATATTTCCATAAATTAAAAAAATTTTTCCCAGTAATTCAAATATTGTCATAAATAGTTAAATTTCTCAAAAGAATTTAATTATTTTCAGAAATTCAATAAAATTTTTTGAGAAAATTCAGATATTTTCGTAAATAATAAAATTTTTCTAAAGAATTCAATTATTTTCAGAAATAATAAAATTCTTCGCAAGAATTCACTTATTTTCATAAATAGTAACATTTTTTGGAAGAATTCCATTACTTTTAAAAATTCAATAAAATCCTTTGCAAGAATTGAATTATTTTTATAAATTACAATCAAATTCTTCGCAAAAATCTAATATTTTCGTAAATAATACCATTTTTTCAAGAATTTAATTTTTGTTAAAAAATTTGAATCAAATTCTTCGTCAAAATTCAATTTTATTTTAATAATTATAATCAAATTCTTTACAGGAATTCAATTATTTTTATAAATATTAGTAAAATTCTTGGAAAGAATTCAATTATTCTCAAAAATTGTAATTAAATTCTAAGCAAGAATTAAATCATTTCAAATTCAAAATTATCAACGTCACAAGAATTTTAATATTCTTTTAACAATACCATTTTTTTATTTACCCAAATTTATGGAATATAAAATAATTTCTTAAGTTTTTTTTTTGAAAAAATAATATTTTTTTTACCAATTTTAAAATTAAATTACGATTTGTAATTCAAAAATTTTTTGAAACTAATGTTTGTTATTATTTAATTTTCAGAAACATTATATTAGAATTTCATTAATTTTAAAGATAAAAACATTATTAAAAAAAAATTAACAAAAAAAATTGAGAAAAAAAATGTTCCTTTACCTCTGATTCACTTTTTGTTTCACATGGTATTAATTTTTCAGAAATGTCCGGAAATTTTGGTGCGAGTGATAAGAAACGATTTCGTTTTTCCTCAATACTTGAAAAGAATTCATTTTCAGATTCTGCTAATATACCAGTCTCGGGATATACAATAATATCTAAATTCTGAAAAAAAGAAAATGTACATTATTCTTTTTGAATAAATAAAAAGAGATTTGAATTATTACATAGATGAATTTTTTTTAATTCTATAAAATTAATTTCTAATGAAAATGAAAACTTACAGAATTTAATTTCTTGGCCTTTTTCAATATTTTTATATAATTATCAACATTAGAAGTGGCAGCGGTTTCGGAAAGCCCTTCTATTGGATGATATTCGACTACAGCTCCGACATAATATAAAGATTCTGGAGAACTCTGGAATAATGTGACAAAATAAATTATTTATCCATTAATTACCAAAGAAATTAAATTAATTAAATTAATTTATTAATTATTACAGTTAAAAATATTAATTACCTGAGAAAAACTGGAAGAAAATTGAAGAAACAAAATTCCAAAAAAATACCAATAAAATGAATCCTTTAACTGCATTTTGGATTCCAATTTTCAGCTTACAAGATTAATTTCGAAGTCAATTAAATCAGAATATCTAAAATAACAGAAAGAAAATAAAATTAATATAATTAATTACTATGTGCTCTCAAGTATCAAGTAATTAGTATTTTTTTGACTCTAATAATTGCACTATCATTCTCAGTAACGTATTTTGCATTTTTTCTAAAATAAATTTCTAGAGAATGAGAATGTTGTAAATTCCAATAAAATAATGTAATATCTAAGAAGATAAAAAAAAGTAATAAAAAAAATTCACAAATACAGTTTGAATAGAAATGATAACAAATAGTAAAATTCCAATGTCATTAATGTATTTATACTCCTTCTTTTATCGCTAATTTTCAAAATTTCTCATGAAACACAAAACTGACTGAAACTAGTTTGAGTTCAACTGTGTAAACATATTATCTCCTAACCTATGACCCGATGAATTACGAGGGAATTCTTTTTTTAAACCAGCATTTACTGGTTTAATAAACATCAATGTTTAAACAAATGTTCACAAGTGTGATTTTATCAGTAAAAAAAATTAATAATAGAAAACAAAATTTATATCATACAATATATTTTTTCTATTTAACCAAAATGAATAGAAAATTATATTTGCTCCTAAAAATAATATCTAACAATAGGCAGAAATTTTATTAATTAGGCAAATAACAAAATATTTTTTATTTCTAAATATAAACTAAATTGAATAATTTCAGATTCAAAATTTAAAAAATTAATTTTTTAAGTAAGTACTTAATTATTATTATTGTTTATTATTTTCAAAAATTTTAATAAAATTCTTCGCAAAAAATTCAAATATTTTTATAAATAATAAAATTATTCACAAAAAATCAAATTTATTTATACATATAAAAATTCTTTGTTAGAATTCAAATATTTTCATAAATAGTAAAATTTCTCTAAAGAATTCAATTATTTTTAAAAATTCCAATAAATTCTTTTGCAAGAATTCAATTATTTTTTTAAATTCCAATAAAAAGCAAATATTATCGTTAATTTAAGAAAAAAATATTTCCAAGAATTGAAATATTTTCATAAATAGTAAAATTTCTGTAAAAAATTCAATTATTTTTAAAAATTTAATAAAATCCTTCGCAAGAATTCAATTATTTTCATAAATTTCAATAAAATTCATTCAGAGAATTCAATTATTTAAAAACAATTTTTAAGAATTTTTAGCAAAAATTAGAATATTTTCATAAATAAATAAAATTTTCTAAAAAATTCAATTATTTTAAAAAATTTTAACAGATTTCTTCGCTAGACTTCAATTATTTTTAAAAAAATTCAATAAAATCCTTCGTAAGAATTGAATTATTTTAATAAATTTTTAATCAAATTCTTCGCAAAAAATCAAATATTTTCATAAATTAAACATTCTCAAGAATTAAATTATTTTCATAAATTTTAATAAAATTCTTAAAAGAAGTAATTGTTTTTAAAAATACTTTGATAGAATTCAATTATTTTCATAAATTTAAATAAAATTTATTGCAAAAAAGCAAATATTTTTATAAATAATAAAATTCTTCTCAAGAATTCAATTATTTTTAGAAATAATAAAATTCTTCGTATACATTCAATTATTTTCATAAATAATAAAATTCTTCGCAAAAATTCAATTATTTTCAGTAAAATTTCTGGAAACAATTCAATTTTATTTTTAAAAATTCAATAAAATCTTTTACAAGAATTCAATTATTTCCATAAATTTCAATAAAATTTATTGGAAAAAATAAAATATTTATATAAATAATAAAATTTTAGTTAAGGATTTAATTATTTTCTAATTTTTTAAAATAAAATTTGTTTTAAGAATTCAATTATCAATTTCATGAACAGTAAAATGCTTCGAAGGAAGTATTTTTTTAAATTTTTTAATAAAATTCTTTGCAAGAATTCAATTATTTTCAATACATTAATTTTTAACTTGAAAACATTTAAAAAGAAGAATTATTAAAAAAGTTGAAAAAAATTCTTTGTTTAATACTGAATAATTTTAGGCAAACAAATATTATAAGTTATTATTTTATAATGTATTGAAATAAATTATAATTGATAATTTCGATTATAATTTTATTAGAATTAATTAGTACATTACTTTTATTATTATATCTGTAAAAATAAATTTCTTCAGATCAATCAAATTTATAGTTTTGTTTATTTATATTAACAATGTAAGTTTCATGCGGTATTATCGATATACTTGTCAAATATCAACTTCCATCTAACACAAAACCGGTCTGCATTCTCTATTTACTTGCCAATAAAAGCAAAATCTTAATTCACCTTTCTTTTATAGCCGTATATATATTTCTCTACTAAAATATTGCATATTTAGATTTTAAGAAGATTTTACATCAAAGGATATTTGTCATTTATTTGTAATAATATTTTTTAAATTTACAATTCATTTAATTTAATTAACACAATTTTATTTATTAATTTAACTCAATATTTGGTGTTCTAAAAAAATTTCATAATCAATTTTTTTTAACACAATATTTTATTAATCGAACAATTTGATTCTCTGAATAAATTTGAACAAAAAAATATTGTGTTTGTATCTAAAAAGAAAATTTAGAAACTGTTACAATACCTATTTTGTGATTAAAGTACAATTCTGTTAAAAATAAATTAAGAATTTTTTTTCAAAAGTAAAAAAAATCAATAAATTAATTAATTTTTTTGTCATAGAAACAAAAATTTACAAGTCGTACGGAAAATTATCAAATTTCTAAATCTAAATTATCAAAAGTGAAAAAAAAATATTTTTACCGTTCATTTATAATAAAATTCCTACATTCTGAAGACACAAAATAAAATTAAAAAAATATTCAATTTTTTCAATTATAAATCAAAGAAGAAACCAATTAAAACCAGATTACTCGTTAATCGAAGATCATGACCCATTGTAGAGATTATCAATTTTTTCCCCAAGTTTGCACGCGTCAATTTCTCTTTTTTTTTGACACCATTTGCTGATATTTGAATTTGACAATGACAATGTCAAATAATGAGAGATTATACATATAGTGAGAGAGAAGAAAATCAACAAACAGGAAAAGAGCAGAGAGAGCAAAAGGAGAAAGAAGAAGAACTGTATATAAACCAAGCTACAATTTTCCTTCAGTTCAGTAAACTCGTCGGTGGTTAGATAGTGTGTGAGAGATTTAATCTATATAAGAAACAAGTGTTTCTCTTCAAACTAGAATATTTATTATTTATATAGTGAGAGTTAAACAGAAAGTGAAGGAAAGTGATCAAATTTTCATTTCAAGACGGTGTCAAAAAAAAAAAAAATATTTTTTTCTACAAATTCAAATGTTGTCAATAAATAGAGTTATTTTCTATCAACGTTCATTTTTCTCAAATTCCGTAAGTTTTCAATTTCATTCAATGACTAAATTTCCTTAATTTCAAATTTTTTTGATGTAAATAATAATAATAAAAATAAAAATTTTTAACAAAAATAATTATAATTATATTTTTTTTTGTTACATTATTAGAATATTAAAATACTTTTTTTAATTTTGACAAATTTATTGCTTATTTATTAACTATTTAATAACACGAGGAATTAATTGCTATTTTGGTTACTAATAAATGAGAATATTTTCTTTCTTCGGGAAAAACAATTCCTGGGTTCGGTATGCGGAAAATTTTTTGTACTCATAACAATATTGATTGCAGCTTTTTTAAGGATCTGCAGAAGTGTAACGGTAGCTCTCTATTTCTAATAGGATTAGGTATGTATTTTGCATTTTGTAGTTATTAACCTTCTCAGTATATAATCACAAAAGCCTTTAGTCTGGTGTGCAAGATAACAAATACAAAATATTTTTTTTTTATAGTAACTAAAATCTTTGATTTTTGACTAATTAAAAATGAAATGAAATTTAATTTAATAAACTTAATTAATCACTAAAATTTAATTTAATTATTAAATAAATTTAATTAATTTAAATCATTAATTAGAAACGAAAATTTTTAATGAATCGAATTCTATTTTGAAAATTTGTAGTTGCAATTTTTTGAGGAAAAACTTTATTCACTAGAATTATAGTAACTTTTAAATATTTTACTTATTAAGAAATAAATAATTGAATAATTAAATAAATCAATTTAAAGCAACATCTTCTGAATGATTGAATTAAAATTGCAGTTATCCACTTAATGATTATGTGCATATCGCTCTATTGAATTTTTATGACTTCAATCAAGACATTCATTCAAGTTGAATATATCGCGAATGCAATTTGTATTCAAAAACAATGATTATTTATAGAAAATTATTTCAAAACTACTTAAAATACTTTAAAATCATTCGAAAAAGTATTTTTAAAATTATTATGAACAGTATAAATAATTATTTTTAATTTCAATTTATTTTAATTTCAATTATTTTTAATTTCATTTATTTCTAATTGTAATTATTTTAAATTGGATTTGTTTCTAATTTCAATTATTTTAAAGATTTATTCCTAATTGTAATTATTTTAAATTTGATTTTTTGATTTATTTCTAATTTGAATTATTTTAAATTTGATTTATTTCTAATTTGAATTATTTTAAATTTGATTTATGAACATTGAGTGTCTAATAATTTATTTTTAAAAATTTTAATTTACTTTTAATTTTAATTATTTTGAAATGTAATTACTCTTTATAAATAAATATTGTTTAAGGAAAATTATTGAAAAAAAGGACTTGTGTATTCTGAATCGAAATTATTGAATATTTGAATATTTGAATATAATTAATAATAATGAATAATACAAATTAAGAGAGTAAAAAAAATGTTCTATGGCTAAATAATTTATATTTGAATATCTTTTTTTCAAACTATAGGCAGTGATGGCAAAATTAAAAGTTGCAATAATTGGACAGAGCAATTTTGCAGCTGAGGTGTATAAATCTTTAAAGCAAGATGGTCATCACATCACGGGAGTCTTTACAATTCCTGATAAAGGAAATCGAGAAGATCCACTAGGTGTGTAATTTTTAAATTCTACCTAATTCAATTTTGAAGCTAAAATTTAATTTTTATGTTAAAAATAAATTTAAATTTAAATTTAAATTGGATTTCAATTTAAATTAATTTTCAATGTAAATTAAATTTCAATTTAAATTTAAATTGGATTTCAATTTAAATTAATTTTCAATGTAAATGAAATTTCAATGTAACATTCCTTGAACATAAATTTAAAGATTTAAATTATTTAAATTAATTTTTAATGTAAATTAAATTTCAATTTAAATTACCTTGAAAATAATTTTAAATTCAATTTCAATGTAATTTATCCTGAAATTAAAATCCAGTTAAATTTCAATTTAATTTACCTTGAATTTTAATTTACATTGAAAATTAATTTAAACTGAAATCTACGAAATTAAAATTTAATTTGAAATGAAATCTACGTAATTTAAATTGACATTTAATTTGAATTGAAATCTACTTTAAATTGAAATTTAATATTAAATTGAAATTAAATTTAAACAATGAATTGTAATTACTGGAATTAATTTAGAAATAGAAATAATTTATACCTATATATTCGTTTTTTCCTTTTTTTTTGTTTTCTTTGTGGACCAGCGAGTACAGCAAAAGAAGACGATGTGCCTGTTTTCAAAATCAAAGCCTGGAGAAGTAAAGGCAAAACTCTTCCGGAAATACTCAATATTTACAAGGAAATTGAAGTCGATTTAAATGTTTTGCCATTTTGCACTCAATTCATACCAATGGAGGTGATAAATCATCCGAAACATCAAAGTATTTGCTATCATCCATCAATTTTGCCGAGACATCGTGGCGCCAGTGCAATTAGTTGGTGAGATTTCGTTCCTGCGAAAACATCAATTTTTTTAATAATAAATATAAAACCAATTTTTATTAAGAATCTTTCTTCACTTTAACTTTTTTTCAATTTAGAATTAATTTAAAATTCAATTAATTTTATTCGTTTAAGTGCTAACAAGATTTTAAGCCATTTTCCTCAAATATTATCAATAATAATATAATATTAAACCACCTTTATTTTAATCGATTAATTTAAATACAATTTTATTTTTACTTTAAAAAAACAATTCGTATTTTCTATTTTTTAAAACAAATTATATTTTTGAAAAAAAATTCATTTCTTTAACACTTGCACTGTAAGTAAAATTTGCGTTTAAAACTATTGAGAATCGATAATTTTCAAGAAAGTAAAAAAAAAATTATGTAGGTATAATAATTTCGCTATTACTTAATATCAAATCAGAATTTCGTGATTCGTTACTTGTAGATTAACATACAACAAAGTATCAAAAACAAGTTTCTCACAAACTTTTCAAAAACCAGTTATATACTCAACCAATACGTTCCATTTCATGCTCCACTTATCAATTTGTTTACTACAAATATCTTTCATTGATATATGATAACATTACTTTTATAAAACTTTTATTTATTTTATTAAATCATACTTATCTTTAATATTTAGCAAGATTTTTTTTTGCATTTTTATTTCGTTTTATTTATAGTTAAGGACAAAACTAGAAATTTTTTAATATTACGAAAATAATTTTAAAAAAATTGTAGAAACTGTAAAATAAATAATATTTACTTACTCATTTACGGATAGGACTCTCATTAATGGCGACAAAGTTGCGGGTCTCTCGATCTTTTGGGCGGACGATGGTCTCGACACGGGACCGGTTTTACTGCAAAAAACCTGCCCAGTAAATCCAAATGATACCTTAGATAGTTTGTACAACAATTTTTTGTATCCCGAAGGAATAAAAGCAGTGGCCGAAGCAGTAAAGCTCGTTTCCCTGGGAAAAGCTCCCAAGATTCCTCAAACCGAAGAAGGTGCAACTTACGATCCAATTTTAACTAAACACGAACTCCAAAGGTAATTGGCATCCTTGAAATCTGAAAAATATACAATTCATTATTATTATTAACATAATTATTATTATAATTATTAATTTACGATGTTAACTTAATATTTGCTCTAATAATCTTCTATATTAATAATCGTCAATAATCGTTGTATTCCGGTAATCTGTTAACAGTTTGATGTTAGTTGTTTGCTTTTTTGTTTCATAATTTTTTTTTAAATTTTCTTTTAAAATAATTTCCACATTTAAAATTAATTTATAGAAAATCATCGAATTGTTGCAAAAAATTTGATAATAATAAAATTTCTACGAAGAATTTTATTATTTAGGACAATAATTCATTTCTCGAGAAGAAATATGTTAAAAATTTTGATAATTCTAAATTAAACTCATTTTGAAGAATTTCTTTGAATTTTTTTTTTTACAAATAATGGAGTTTCTTTAAAAATTTTAATTAAAAATCTTAAAAATAAATGAATTTTATGAACTCTTTTCTTTTAAGTTTGTAAAATAATCGTGTTTTTTAATAATTGAAATTAAACATTTAATTATTAAATTTTATTAAAATTTTTGAAAATTCTTTTGAAAAATTTTATAACGAATTAAGAAAAAAATTGAATCCTTTCGTGACATTTTTTTGAAAATAATTGAATTTTTGCAAAGATTTTTATTACCTATTTATAAATATAATTGAATTGTTTCGAAGAATTTATTAAAATTTTTAAAAATAATTGAATTTTTGCAAAGAATTTTACGATTTACAGATATAATTGGAATTTTTCGAAGAATTTATTAAAAATTTAGAAAATAATAATTAAATCTTTTGAAATTTTTTATAACGAATTATGAAAAAAAATTGAATTCTTTCGTGAAATTGCTTTGAAAATAATTGAATTTTTTCAAAGAATTTGACTATTTATGAATACAATTCAATTTTATCGAAGGATTTATTTAAATTTTAGAAAATAATTGGATTTTTTTGAAAAATATTATTAAAAATTTTTTTAAATGGAATTCTTTTATGAAATTTTATTAAAATTGTATTAAAAATAATTTAATTTTTTTGAAAAGAATTTTATTATTTACAAATATAATTGAATTTTTACAAAGAATTTATTAAAAGTTTAAATAATAATTGAATTTTTGCAAAGAATTCTGTTTACAAATATAATTGGAATTTTTCGAAGAATTTATTAAAATTTTAGAAAATAATTGAATTTTTGCAAAGAATTTTGTTATTTATGAAAATATTTGATTTTTGGGGAAGAATTTGATTGCAATTTTAAAAAATAATTGAATTCTTGCGAAGGATTTTATTGAATTTTGAGAAATAATTGAATTCTTTCCAGAAATTTTACTACTTAAAAAAATAATTGAATTCCTACCTACGAAGAATTTTATTATTTATAAACAATTTATAAAATCAATTGAATTCTATCAAAAAATCTTGTTAAAATATTTGAAAATAATTGATTTTTTTTAAAGAATTTTATTGAAACTTATGAAAATAATTGAATTCTTGAGAAGGATTTTATTGAATTTTTAAAAAATAATTAAATTTTTGCGAAGAATTTTATTATTTATGAAAAGATTAAATTTTTTGCAAAGAATTTTGCTATTTGTAAATATAATTGAATTGTTTCGTGAAATTTTTTTTGAAAATAATTGAATTTTTGCAAAGATTTTTCATAGAATAAAGAAAAAATTGAATTCTTTAGTGATGTTTTCCAAGGATTTATTAAAATTTTAGAAAATAATTGTATTCATTCGTGAAATATTATTAAAATTTTGTTTGAATATAATTGAATTTTTGGCAAAAAATTGTACTATTTATAAAAATATGTAATTGGATTTTTTTGAAAAATATTATTAAAAATTTTTTTAAAATGGAATTCTTTCATGAAATTTTATTAAAATTGTATTAAAAATAATTTAATTTTTGAAAAGAATTTGATTAAAATTATTAAACAAGAATATTTAATTAGTAAATTAGTTAATAACTGAATTCTTTTTTTTTTTTTGAGTGTGAAATTATTCAAAAATTCATATTTGAAAATAAAAAGTTTCGTAATTTGCATAAGGTTTTGAATTGGTAAAAAAATTTCTTCACAGATTAGATTTTACTGGGAAATCAGCGGAAGATGTGCATAATTTTATAAGAGGTCTGGACAGTGCATTCGGCGCTTGGACTCTAATTAATGGTGAAGAAATTCGTCTCTATGGCAGTAGAATTTGGGATAGAAAAAAATTACCCGAAGGTGATAATGTTGATGTCGACGGTCACATTGGAATTGTTCACGAAGATGGTCTCCTTATAAAAATCAATGAAGAGAATTGTATCAATATCGAAAGACTCAAAATTGGCAACAGAACAATTATCGCCAGTAAATTTGGCAAACATTCGGAAAAAAATCAAATTATCGAATACACAGGAGAGGAAAATGAGAAAATTGATACGGTTCGAAGTATTTGGGAAAGTATTCTCAAAATGGAGGTTTATGAGGATACCGACTTTTTTGCCAGTGGTAAACAATCCTTCAAGATAATAATTAAAAATTAAATTTTTGATAATTAAAAAGAAAGAGTATCAGAGAGTTTAATAAAATACTAATTAATATTATTGATAATTGAACGAATACTAGTTAGTAAAAATATTAATTATCAAAAAATAGAGTAAAAATTTAATTTCTTTGTTTTTTTCTCTCTTCTTTTCTAGGAGCGGGAAGTATGGACGTTGTGAGACTTGTAGAAGAAGTGAAGGACTCTATCGGAATATGTCTTCAAAATACAGACGTTTTTATGGCGCCGATTTTCAGTGAATTCGCGAGGACAATGGTATTGAAGGGACGTGGCGATTCAACGCAATTGGAAATTAAATACGATCCAGTCGAATTGAGAGCGAATAATAAGGATTTAAAATTCCCGAGACAATTGTTCATTGACGGACAATTTGTCAACGGTCACGGGAAGCCGATCGAGACAATAAATCCCCACGATGAGAGTCTCATTTGTTCCGTTGAATCGGCATCGCCCGAAGATGTTGATCATGCCGTGATTGCGGCAAAACGCGCCTTCGACGAGGGCGAATGGAGTAAAATCAGCGCCAGAGAAAGAGGAACACTTCTCTTCAGGTATAGAAAAATCTAAAAATTAAAAGCAGAAATTGTAAACAATATTTTAGTTAATTGCAGTTTAGTTAATTCAGGGCTCGAACCAGTGAAAGTATTTAAAAAATACGGAGCAAAAATGAAAAATTACGGACCAATTACTGACAAAAATATAACAGGTCCAAGTTAAATAAGAAAACATTTTACTTAAAACTAAAAATTAAATTTTTTCATAACTATAAAACATGAAGACATTGATCACTCCAAGTCTTCGACTCGGAGTGATCAATTTCTTCATGTTTTATAATAATTAAAGATAGCCCAGTGATAAAATCATTATTTTATACTATAAGAATATTATTACTGTAACTCCTTCAAAATTATTTTTATCATTTCAATTTAATTATTATTTCCAAGAATTTGTAACTAAAATTCTTCTATAAATTCATTAATTTTTTTAATAATTTTTAAAAAAGTTCTTTGAGAATTTTCAAATTTATTTGTTTACAATTCAATTTTACTTTCAATTATTAGGAAATTCTTAAATTAAATATATATTAGAAAATAAAAATTTCAAAAAAATAATTTCAAGTAAAATTGAAACAAACTTTTTCAAAAAAAAGTTCATTCTCCTACAGAATTATTAGTTAAAAGTATGAGAAATTAAAATTTTGAAAGATTTTAATATGAATCCTTTTCAAAATTAAATTACTTCTAAAAATTCACACTATATTGCTTTTAATATTCAATTTTTATCTAAAATTTGAACTGAAATTTATTTTTAATTAAATTATTTGAATAAAAAAAAAATAATTGATTGAATAATTGAATTCTCATAAAGAATTTTATCAACAAATTTTTAAATAATTCAATTCTTTCGACGAATTTTAATAAAAGTTCTAAGATAATTACAATTTTCGAGGAATTCCATTAAAATTCAGCATTGAGAAGTATTTTATTTAATTTTTAAAAATGATTGAATTCTTTTAAGAAATTTTACTGAAAATAATTGAATTTTTGCGAAGAATTTTATTATTTATGAAAATAATTGAATTTCTACGAAGAATTTTATTAGTTCTAAAAATAATTGAATTCTTGCGAAGAAGTTTATTGAATTTTTAAAAATAATTGAATTCTTTCCAGAAATTTTACTACTTTTAAAAATAATTGAATTCCTGTGAAGAATTTTATTATTTATGAACAATTTTTAAAATCAATTATTGAATTCTATCAAAAAATCTTGTTAAAATAATAGAAAATAATTAAATTTTTGAGAAGGATTTTATTTAATTATTAAAAATGATTCAATTCTTTCAAGAAATTTTACTGAAAATAATTGAATTATTGCAAAAAATTTTATTATTTATGAAAATATTTGCTTTTTTGCAATGCATTTTATTGAAATTTATGGAAATAATTGAATTCTATCAAAAAATCTTGTTAAAATATTTGAAAACAATTGTCTTCTTTTAAAAATTTTATTGCTATTTATGAAAATAAATTGAATTCTCGAGAATGTTTTATTTATAAAAATATTTGATTTTTTGCGAAGAATTTTATTGAAATTTATGAAAATAATTGAATTCTTGCGAAGGATTTTATTGAATTTTCAAAAATAATTGAATTCTTTTCAGAAATTTTACTAAAAATAATTTAATTTTTTCGAAGAATTTTATTATTTATGAAAATAATTTAATTCTAGCGTAGGAATTTCTTAAAGTTTGTGAAAATAATTGAATTTCGAAGAAGAATTTTATTATTTCTAAAAATAATTGAAATTTTGACGAGAATTTTTAAAAATTTTTGAACATAATTGAATTTTTGCGAAGAATGTTATTACTTTTGAAAATAATTGAATTTCTACAATCATATGTAATTTCTCTAAAATTCTCCAAATTTTATCGTACAATTTACAAACTTTTTGTTTTTTTTCTTTCAAATTACGGACTTTACGGACCTTTTTTTCAAAAAAACGGACTTTTACGGGCTTAAAGCAAATTTATGGACCATTATAGAATTTACGGACCTAGTTCGAGCCCTGGTTAATTAATTTAGTTTACAAATTTCTAGTTGTAATTAATTTAGTTTACAAATTTCTAGTTGAAATTAATTTAGTTTACGAATTTCTAGTTAAAATTAATTTAAACTAAAAATAAAGTTATAATTCACTGAATAGTAAAAATGAATTAATAAATAAAATAGACTCGCCGACTTGATGGAGGAACACAAGGAAGAATTGGCAACAATCGAGAGCATTGATTCGGGAGCAGTTTACACATTGGCTCTAAAAACCCACGTTGGCATGTCAATAGAGACTTGGCGATATTTTGCCGGTTGGTGCGATAAAATTCAAGGATCGACAATACCAATTTCTCATGCGCGACCAAATAGAAATTTAACGATAACAAGAAAGGAGCCAATTGGCGTTTGTGCATTGATAACGCCTTGGAATTATCCTCTGATGATGCTCTCGTGGAAAATGGCAGCATGTTTGGCAGCTGGAAATACTGTTATCATGAAACCGGCGCAAACTTCACCATTGACGGCATTGAAATTTGCTGAACTCGCTGCCAAAGCTGGTATTCCTTCTGGTGTTATTAATATTATTCCCGGCAGTGGTTCAATCACTGGCAATTCATTGGCAAATCATCCAATGGTGAGAAAATTGGGATTCACTGGCTCTACGGAAATTGGTCAAGTTATTATGAGATCGTGCGCTGATAGTAATTTGAAGAAAGTCTCACTTGAATTGGGTGGGAAAAGTCCTTTGGTGATATTTGAGGATACGGATTTAGCGCATGCGGTTCGCGTTGCAATGAGCAGTGTTTTCTTTAATAAGGGAGAAAATTGCATCGCTGCAGGTATTTAATGTTGTATTCTCAATTATTTAGAAACTGAAAACAAATCGAATTCAAATTCGAAAACAAAACTTAACAAAATATAAATACAAATTAAAAATATTCAAATTAAAACTAAGAATAATTCAAATTCAAACTAAAAAAAATCTTAATTCAAACTAAAACAGGATTGCTACAAAAATATAATTTTGTTTTTCCTTGACTTTTTCTTTGATAATTTTGAAATCCATTTGTTTAATTTACTTTTACGTGAAATTTCAATTACTCGGAAATTTTTCAATTAAATATGTATTAGAAAATAAAAATTTCAAATAATTTCAATTAAACTTTTTCAAAAAAAATTAATTCTACATAAGTGTTAGTTAAAAGTATGAAAAATTCAAATTTTCAAAGATTTTAATTTGATACCTATTCAAAATTCAATTATTTCTAAAAATTCACGCTATAATGTTTTTAATATTCAATTATCTAAAATTTTAACTGAAATTCAATTTTTAATCAATTTTCATCAGAAAATTCTACGAGAATTCAATTACTTAAATAAAAAAATAAATGATTTATTGAATAATTGAATGTTTCCTAAAATTGAATTTTCATAAAGAATTTTATCAACAAATTTTCAAATAATTGAATTCTTTCGACGAATTTTAATAAAATTTTTAAGAATAATAATTACATTTTTTAAGGAATTCGATTAAAATTGTATTAAAAATAATTGAACTTCTGCGATGAGTTTTATTATTTAGGAAAATAAGTTAATTCCTAAAAAGAATTTTATTATTCATGAAAGCATATTTTCATAAATAATAAAATTTCTTTGCGGGAATTCAATTATTTTCAATTTCAATACAATATTACGAAAGAATTCAATTATTTCTTTCAATTTTTATTAAAATCTTTCCAAAGAATATAAATATTTTCAAAATTTTTAATAAATTTATCAAAACAATTCAATTATTTTTATAAACAGTAAAATTTCTCTAAAGAATTAAATTATTTTTAAGATTCAATAAAATCCTTCGCAAGAATTCAAATATTTTCATAAATTACAACCAAATTCTTCTCAACAAATCAAATTTTTCTCAAGAATTCAATTATTTTCGTAAATTTCCATTAAATTAAAATCAAATAAAAAAAAGTCCGAAAGGGCTCGTCTCCCGTTTGTAAATAAATGTAAATAAATAAAATTTTATGCAAAAAATCAAATATATTCATAAATAATAAAATTCTTCGTAAAAATTTAATTAATTTCAAAAATTTCAATAAAATTCTTCGCAAAAATCCAAATATTTTCATAAATAATAAAATTCTTTAAAAGAATTCAATTATTTTCAGAAATAATAAAATTCATCGCAAGAATTTAATTATTTTCATCAAATTTAATTATTTCAATCAAGAAATTTTTTTATAGAATTCAATTATTTCAAAACATTTTATAAAATCCTTCGCAAGAATTTAATTATTTTCATAAATTACAACCAAATAATTAAATGTTTTTGCAGGATTTTATTAAATCTTTTTCATTAATTAAATTCTTTTGGAAAATTTTATTAAGACAGTAAATATTGAAAATCATTGAATTGAGGAAAATTTTTGAAATTTTACCAAGAATTTTATTAAAATTTTTTAAAAGAATTGAATTTTGGAGAAGAATCTTATTATTTATAAGAATAATTGAAATTTTGAAGGAGAATTTTTAAAAGTTTTTTTTAAATATTATTGAATTTCTGCGAGGAATTTTATTACTTTTGAAAATCATTGAATTTCTGCAATTATTTGTAACTTCTCCAAAATTCAATTTTTTTTTAGTGTTTTTAACTAAAATTCTTCTATAAATATATCATTTTTAATAATTAATTAAATATGTACTAAAAAATTTATCTAATTTCAGAAGAATTTGTCTTATTAAAATTTTTGGAAAATCTAAGTTCTTTAAAATTTCCAATTAAATTCATTCAAAATTGAAACTTCATAAAATTTCAAATTAAATCCTTTTGAAGTTCATCTATTTATGAAAATTGTAAACTCGACTCTTTTAAAATTGAATTAATTTTGAAATATTTAAGTAAAATTATTCATTAAATAATTTATAAATAATAATTTTATGATAGTTCTTCAAGAATTAAGTTATTTAAAATTAATTTATTGTTAGAAATAGAAAATTGTCAGAACTTTACACAATATGATATTAAATTTATTCAAAATAATTTAATTTTTTAAGAACTATTATACATTTTTTCCTAAACATTATTTATCGAATCCCTGATTTTTCTCTGAATTTCCTAACTTGCAGCAAACCCTGTGCAACTGAACAAAATTCAAATACAAATTAAAAATATTCAATTGAAACTAAGAATAATTGAAATTCATACGAAACAAAATTTAAATTCAAACTAAAAATTCTATTCGAATTTAAAAGAAAAAAAAAGGAAGAAAAAGAAAAAATACTAAACTAAATTCAAGTGCAAACTAAAAAAATTCAATACCAAACTAAAAATGACAATGAAATTTGAAAAAGATATAAATATACATTACTCAATTAAAAATATTCTTCCCCTTGATAAATATTCTTAAAAAAATCAACTTACAGGTCGACTCTTCGTGGAGGAATCAATCCACGACGAGTTTCTCAAGAAAGTTGTCGAGGAAACGAAGAAATTAACAATTGGCAATCCACTGGATCGTGGCACAGCTCATGGTCCACAGAATCACAAGGCTCATCTCATGAAATTAATTGAATTCACAAAGAAAGGCGTTGAGGATGGTGCTCGCCTTGTTTACGGTGGAAGTAAATTAGACTGTCCAGGTTTTTATTTTCAGCCGACAATATTCACAGACGTCACGGACGATATGTTTATTGCAAGAGACGAATCCTTTGGTCCAATAATGGTAATTTCCAAATTCAATTCAAAGGATCTTGATCGTGTGGTGGCGCGGGCAAATTCAACGGAATATGGCCTTGCAGCTGGTGTTCTCACAAAGGATATTACACGTGCTTTACGTTTTGCCGAAAAGGTCGAGGCAGGCACTGTCTTCGTCAATACATACAACAAAACAGATGTTGCCGCTCCATTCGGCGGTTGCAAGAAATCAGGTTTTGGCAAAGATTTGGGACAGGAGGCTCTCAATGAATATCTGAAAACAAAAACCATCACTATTGAGTATTGATTTCTTTACCTTTCGAATTATTCTCATAAACGAACAATTGCTAATTAATTTCCAAAAGTTGATAATGCGACAAAATTAATATTTTTCTTTATCTATTTTTGTTCTGCAATTTGATACATTTATAATTTGAAAATTAAGATCCAATTCTTTCTACTTTTAGGAATTTTCAAATTCTCTCGAATGTCACATTATTTCAAAGTCAATTTTTTATTACTGGATAGAAAATTTTTCAACTGTTTTATTTTACTTTTTAATAATTTGTAATCGATTTTACTCGATTTTTATTATTATCCATTATTATCAATTTTATTACAATTATTGTTATTATTATCATAATTATTGTCAATTTCATTACCATTATTGTTATTATTAGTATTATCATCAATTTTATTACCAATATTGTTATTATTATAGTTATTATATAATTTTTTGTACCATATAGAATATATTTTTAAATGTGTTATATATTTTATGAAACTGTTAATAAATAATAATTATATTTCTGAAAAATTTTGTTTAATTAATTTCTAAATAGAGTGATTAGTATTTTAGTGAAATGAATTCCCCTAAAATGACCAAAAATAAAAAATTACGGACAGAGTGATAAAATCATTTACAATTCAATTATTATTTTCAAGAATTTTTAACTAAAATTCTTCTTGAAATCGATTATTTTTAATAATTTTCGAAAAAGTTCTTTGACAATTTTCAAATCCATTTATTTACAAAATTCAATTATTCGTAAATTCCTCAATTAAATAAATATTAGAAAATGTAAACTTTAAATAATATTCAAAAAATTCAATTAAACTTTTTCAAAAAAAATTAATTTCAAAACTCAATTATTTTAATATTCAATAATTATTTAAAATTTCAACTTAAATTAATTTTTATTAGAAAATTCTACGAGAATTCAATTACTTAAATAAAAAAATTTAATAATTTATTGAATAATTGAATGTTTTATAACATTGAATTCTCATAAAGAATTTTATCAACAAATTTTCAAATATTTGAATTATATTAACGAATTTTAATCGAATTTTTAAGAATAATTACATTTTTCGAGAAATTCAAATTCATTTGTTTACAATTCAATTTTACAAAATTTCAATTATTCGTAAATTCTTCAATTAAATAAATATTAGAAACTATAAACTTAAAATAATATTTAAAAAAAATTCAATTATGTAAACTTTTTCAAAAAAATTAATTTCAAAATTCAATTATTTCTAAAAAATTAATATTGCTTTTAAAATTCAATTATAATCTAAAATTTTAACTGAAATCTATTTTTAAATCAATGTTTATGAGAAAATTCTACTAGAATTCAGTTATTTAAATTTAAATACAAAAATAACAATTTATTAAATAATTGCATGTTTCTTAAAATTGAGGCCTTGGATCCAATAACTCGCCCGACGCTCGGAGGAACGCGCAACTGCCAGTCAGTGAGCAGTGAGCGCCTCTGGGCCACTCACTGCTACCCGACTGGTATTAGCGCGTGTCTTCGAGCGTCGGGCGAATTATTGGATCCAAGGCCTCAATTGAATTCTCATAAAGAATTTTATCTATAAATTTTTAAATAACTGAATTCTTTTGACGAATTTTAATAAAATGTTTAAGGATTTTTTCGAGGAATTCGATTAAAATTGTATTAAAAATAATTAAAATTCTGCAATGAGTTTTATTATTTATGAAAATAATTGAATTCCTAAAAAGAATTTTTTTATTTACGAAAATAATTGAATCCCCGTACAAATTTTATTATTTATGAAAATAATTGAGTGATTGCGAAGTAATTTATACACGGAGAGAAATTTATAGTAGTGGGTAACATAATTGTGGTTAGGGTGACCATCTTTAATGCTACGTATACAGACAGCTATCTAGATAGTCACCGTTACCATCAATATCATCAGGAGTAACATCTTGGTAGTACGGGGTAGCATAACTATATTTTTTTTAGCATCTGGGATGGTTGGGAGTAGCATAATGATAGTATCGTGTAACATCATCTTTTTAACATCAAAATCTGACTATCCATTTCTCTCAGTGTAAACAAAATTTGTATAAGTAATGAAATTCCTGTGAAATTTTTATTATTTTTTCCGAAATTTTGATGAGAATTTTTAAAAATTTTGTGAACATAATTGAATTTTGAATTTTTTTGATTAAAATTGTTTAGAAAAAGAATTTTAATTAAAATTTTAGAAAATATTTGAAGAATTTGCAGTTCTTATTTTCAGAAATAATTAAATTCCAAAATGTTTTATATGATTTTGAAATTTAAATTTCTGCTGGATAAACAAATAGCAATAATAAATATTCAAATATTTGTTGAACAAAAATTAATGATATTTGAAAAATTTTATTTAGAAATTCTGAAAAATGAGGTTTTCAAACAGTTGTAATTAAAATATTTTGAAAATAGTTGAATTCCCGAGAATAATTGAAAAAAGTGAAACAATTTATTAATTAAAACAATCAAAAGTTTTGTCAAATTTCTTTGAAAAAATTTTATATTCGAAAGATTTTAATTTTATTACTTTTAAAAATTATTTTCAAATATAATATTAAAATATTTTTCTCGTTATTTACATTGACAAATATTTATATTTGATATTTCTGTATTTATATTGAAAAATTTGAATTTAATTCAAAAAGAAAATTTAATTGCATCGATTTTCAATATTTTTTCATCTAATTAATTTTTCAAAGTAATTTTGTAAAAATTCTAATGCAAATGTAATTTTAAAATGCTTTAATCTCCAAACAAGGTCACTGCCATAATCCCAGATGCTTGGGATTCGAAATGGTTTTTCTTTTACAAGAAACTCTCGCATATGTTAACAGTTGTTCTTCTTAGAAGAGAATAAAGACATTTTTTTTCTTGAAAATCTACAGAAAATATATTTTTAAAATCTATTCCATTTTTTGTAAAAATGAAAATAAAGAAAATAATTTTACTGTATTTTAATAAATTAAATTATTTTTATTACAAGTGCAAAAATTGAAAAAATATTAATGTTAAATTTAAAAATATTTTATTTTTATAAAATATTTATTTTTAATTTCTTTTGAAATTATTTTTTCTATAATTAAATAAATATTCCGAGTGTTTTTAAAAGTTCATTAAAAAAATAGTTTAATAGAAATTAAAGTGTCAAAATTAAACGTATTTTATTTTTTTTACCCTCAAAATTTAAATTCAAAAGATTATTCCATATTTCCATTCTTTATATTTTACGATTTTAATTTATTAAAACTATAGTTAATTTTAATTTATAAATATAGATAATAAATTAATTTCAAAAAATTATATATTTTGTACTAATTTGTATTTATTTTTGTACTAATTTTTTTACTACGAAAATTTCCCCACCAGGCGTTTGTAAATTTATTACTGTTAGTACTTGAATTTTTTTTACCTTGTGTTTTTCACACATCTTTTTCTCGAAATGAAAAAGCGAAGGGCCATCTCGATCCCTTGTGAACTTCTTGTTTCCAGTGTGGGACGAAAGAAGTGTGGATACCACGTGTTTAATTTTTGAAAGCTTAAAGAAATGTTCAGTTCCTCTCAGTTCGTCGTTCAAGTCCCTTCGTGAAAATCGTTCCAAAGAGTAAAATAAAAGAGTCCAAACATTCCTTTTAAAATCAAAAAAAGGGAAATTAAAATTTTGTCATCAAATTAAAATACGACTGTAAATTTTAATATTATTAAAATAGTGATAAAAATATTACTCAATAAATAGAAAACAAATAATAAATAAAAAGAAAAGAATATAATTAAAAGTAAATGAATAAATAAATTATAAATACAATATAAAATAAAAAATAATAAATACCGTATTTAAAATAAAAAATTGAAAAAAAATAAATATAAAATATATAATTAATAATAAAAAAATACAATTAATTCTTTTCTGAAAAGCAAAAAAGAACATAGAAATAATAAATAAGAATATTAATTTTTCTGTAATAACTCACAGTCTTAAAAGTTCTAAAAATTATAAATTTATAATCGCGATTAATATTCCGTGAGTCCACCCTCTTCCTGTTTCCTTTCTGCATTTTCGATTCAGTTAATATAATCTTCAAACACACCCACTGCAGCTTCCTAATCTCGAGATTCTTGACACTTTACTGATATGAAAACTTCCTTCATTCCTCTGTACTTTCAAAATTCAATAAATTTTTAGTATTCTGTGAATCTTCTCACTGTTCGAATCTTCGTTCTGAAAAAATGTATCTTCAAACTAGAATTTATAATTAATAATAATACTTTTATTTTACCATAAAAGAAAATAAAAAGAAGAAGAAAAGAAAAATTGTTTAAATAAGTAGTGGAAAAAATAAAAGTTACTTGATAATTTCGCAAGAAATGGAAGAAAAAGAAGCTGAATAACGATTAACAGTTGGGCTCATCATCAGGCACTTTGCTAGAATTGAAAATTGCGAGCTGCCTTTTGAAGGGCAACGCTGTGATTGATTAACGTCGTTGGATCTTCGTCGATAACTGTTTCATTGGATAATCGTGAGGAATTTCTTTAACAAAAAAAACTAAATTTGTTTTATATAAATTGTATTAAAAGTTTTGTGTATTTTAAATCCTTTTTTCTTCTTAATGTATTTCCTTAATTGTTTAATAAAGATTTTGTGTTATAAATTTCTTTTATTAATTCAATATTTACTTGATTTAGATTATTTCTTTTTATTTTTTTTATTAATTCAATTAAAAATCAATTATTTTTTTTATTTACTCGAATTAAAAATAAATACCTGAAATTAATACAAAATATTTACTTTTATTTTATTATACACTTTAAGTTTATAACGTACTGCAAATAAATAAAACCAAAAATTAAATCATTGGGTTTAATTAAAATTAAAAATTGAAATTACTTTTTTTCAAATTTATTGTGAATTCAAATTTTTAGCTTAAAATAAAAATGTTATTTGTAAATAAAATCGAATTAAAGAAAATATTTAACAAATTTTGAAAATTCTGTTTTTAAAGTTTCGTTCCAATTTTAAAAATGAAAATTTCTATTTTTCAAAAGTTTTAAAAAATTATTTTCAATTTCCAAGGATGCAAATAATGAATTTTATAAATTTTAATTTGATAGTTGAAATTAATATTGAAATTTTAAACGAAATCAAAAATAAAAAATGTCATTAAAAAAAATTAGAAAAGAAAAGAATAATCTGAAAAAAGAAAATTAGTTTTAAAAAAAATAAAATTGTAAGAAAAATATTAAGTTTTGTATAAAATTAATTTAATCAGAAATTAAATAAAAAAGAATATTGGTTTAAAGTAAATAATAAATTGATACAAAAATTATTCTACAAGAATAAGAAATTTTAAATATGGAAATTAAAATAATAAAAGAAGAGAAAATTTTGTTTTTATTTATTTTTCCACTGAAGGAGAAAAATTAAAAAAAAATTCTAATAAACTGAAAAGAAGAAAATTAATCTAAATTAAAATAAATTGTAAGAAAAATATTAATTTTTTATGTAAAAATAATGTAATTAAAAATAAAATGGAAAAAATAACAAATTAGTTTAAAGTAAAAAAATTGATACAAAAATTAATGTACAACAATAAAAAATTTAAAAATGAAAATTAAAAAGAATGAAATTTTATTTCTATTTATCTTTCCTCTGGAAAAAAAATTAAAAGAAAATTCTAATAAACTGTAAAGAAGAAAGTTTAAATTAAAATAAAATTGTAAGAAAAATATTAATTTTTGTATAAAAAGACTTTTTAATCTGAAATTAAATTAAACAAAAACCAATTCGTTTCAAACAATAGCTACAAAAATTAATCTACAAGAGCAAAATATTTTAAATATGAAAATTGAAATAAAAAAGAAAACAAAAATTAAAGTGAGTAAAATTTTATTTAATTTCCTTTTTATTCATTACTTTTTCACTTTTAAGAGAAAAACTAACAGAAAATTACTAATCAAACGAAAGAAAAAATAAAATTTGACAAAATGCAAGAATTTTTTTTTGGTGAGAACGTAAATTTATTGAAGGTATTGGTACAGGCGATACATAAGATTCTCACTACTTCAGAAGCTTGAATTAAAGACCGTTTATGTTTGTATTTTTCTTTCTTTTTTCTTTTGACATTGTTTATATCAAGAAAAAAAGCAGTTGTGCATTTTATTTTTCACGGTCCTTAGACAAGAGAGATTTATTTAGAATTTGACAATCAACTTTTTATTAATATTATTATTATTATTATTAATTAATTAATATCGAATGTATCTTCAATAATTATATAATATTATTATCTTCAAAATTACGTCCGCAATGAAACGTAGTGAAATGAACTTAGAAACTAGATCTTCGAAATCTGCGATCTAAACTTGACGACTTACGAAATCATTAGCCAGGGACTTACAATGAAGTCGTTTCAGAAAAAAAAAAAAATTACCCCACCCCGAAAATAGTCAATAATAAAATTCGATTTTTAAAATTTCGAAATTAATTTTTTTTCCCACATATTTCCCCTAAAAAATTTTATTTTTGTTTTAAAAATTAAAGGAAAATTTTTAATTTGAAAACAAATTTACTCAAATTCTGTAAAATTAAAAATTAAAAGAAAATTCATTACATTGTAAAAGAAGAAAATATTAAACTCAATTTTTACAAGCAAACTGAGTAAAAGAATTTTTAAAAAAATTCATTCGCATACAAAGAAATTATTTAAAAGAAACGTTTTTTTTAAAAAAAAGAGAGAAAAAATTGTTAAATTGTAAAAGAAAGAAAGAAAAGAAAAGACATTCTAGAACTAATAAAAAAAAAAAAAAAAAAAAAAAAACCCCGATTAATGAAGACAATCGTCTCTCTAAAAGTTTATCACCTATAAAAAGTCAGTCTCACATTTCCTGTACAGTGTTTGCGATAACAACGTGCTTCTTTTTTTCGCTGTAATTTATTCTCATGTTAAGCTCATTAACATACCGCACAAAAATTACACGAGCTATCAAAACGCACTCGTGGATTTGTCTTTTAATTGAAAATGTATGAATTTATTTTTTTCGCAATTAATATTACGAAACAAGGTAATTTTTCAAGTACATGATTTTTTTTTCTGATTGGAGAAAAAAAGACAAATCCACGTGTGCGACGCACCCACTGAGAAAAAGTTGAGCCATAGAATCTATTTGGATATTTCGTATTGTCGAACGCACAATTCTTAATGTTCGCACATGATTAGAGATGAGTGTCTTTTCGATACAAAATACGAACATCTGCTAAATATTTACATTTTATTCAATGAGAATCATCGCCTTTTTTTTAATCCTATCTAAGCTTCTTCTCAGTGACCTGGAATTCATTATTATTCTTACTTTTTTTTTATTCTTTAAAAATCTCCTTAAACTAACATAGAATAGACGATTTTATTTGAAGCTAAAAGGAAACATTTAACAACGAGCAGAACCCAGCGTGTGTGTGGCTCCTCTTTCAACGAACGCGAAAAAACGTTGAAAACGCGCGAAGTAAAACGTCGTTTTTTTTTTATTTTTTCTTTTTTATCAATTCTATATGTAACAAATTTGTGACATCAGCAACATCCGTAACTTTATCAATTAATTAAAAGCCGTATCTCAATAGATCGGTACATTAGAAAACGAGAAAAAAAAATTAATAATTTAACACAATTAAAAAAGAAATCCTTCCCAATTTTTCTCTAAAACAAAAAAAAAAAACAAAATTCTTTTCCGATTATTCGGAAGAGACAAATTTTTTTCAAAATACTGAATTGTATTGTAAATTTTAAGGTCACAGATACGTTTAAAAAGATTTTTTTTCTTTTGGAATATAAAGAGGAAGGCTTCGGTTATTTAGTTTTAACGACGGAGATAAACTTCGGGCGATATATTTTTTTAAAAAAAAGAAAAAAAAATTGGAGAACACGATGAAACGCTGGATATTATTTTTTTTTTGTTACTTTTAATATTATGTAAAATTTCCGTCGTTGAAAACTAGGAGCGGCGATGGAGCCGATGTCACTCGGACGCACCAGAATCAATAGGTGGTCACCAGAAATTTGATGCTCCATAGCCACCGCCTCCACCTCCTGTACCACCACCACCGCTAATACCGCCACTCATTCCAATTGGATTAAAACGATGGGGATGCATTTTTTCCATTCTCATTGCGCCTGGACCGCCACCGACACCACCCCCGCCAAAATGATGACCTCCACGGGGTCCAAAACCACTCGATCTGCCCATTATACCCGGTGGTCCTCCTGCACCTAAACCTGGCATTCCTGCTCCCATACCAACACCAACTGGTGGCCCTCCACGTCCCCTACCAGCCATTCCACCGCCTGTAAATTTTAATACTCTCTTATAGACAAAATTTTTATGTTAAATCATCATCACCATTTCCTTCTTTTTCTTTTTTTTTTCATTTATATAAATTAACCAAAAAAAAGAATTTCTAATTCTCTGATTTTTATTCTTTAGACTCTAGAATAATTTTTATTATCCAAACAACTATCTTTCTAAATTTTCTTTTTTCTACGTTCTCTCAATTTCATAATTCGACTTAAGCGATAAAAAAAGTCACTTTAGTCAATTAAAAATACAAAAAAAAAAAATCGAAAAAGTTGTTTATTTAATTCAATGTTGTCACAAAAAATTTGATCCCTGATTTTCCCCTTACACTGATTTCTCCAAATTCAATTGTACAAAATAATCAGTGGTGCCACAAAATTTTTATTTTATTTTTCCCTGATTTCCAGATAAAATTTTGACCTTTTTCCTGACCAGAAAGAATATTCCATGATTTACTCTAAAAATTATTGGATACTCAAAAAAAAATGTTTTATTACATTTACGAATTTCTTTAATATTGTAAAATTATTCGAAAACATCAATTATTTTATTTTTAAATATTGTTACTGTAACTTCTTCATAATTATTTTCATCATCTCAATTCAATTATTATTTTCTAGAATTCTTAACTAAAATTCTTCTTTAAACTAAATTCTTTTTAATAAAATTTGAAAAAATTCTTTGAGAATTTTGAAATCCATTTGTTTATAATTCAATTTTACGAGAAATTTTTCAATTAAATAAATATTAGAAGATAAAAACTTGAAATAATTTCAAAAAAAATTCAATCAAACTTTTTCAAAGAAAATTAATTCTACAGAATGGTTAGTTAAAAGCATGAAAAATTCAGATTTTCAAAGATTATAATTTGAAACCTTTTTAAAATTCAATTATTTTTAAAAATTCACGCAATAATGTTTTTATTAATATTCAATTACCTTATCAAAAAAAATTTTAAATTCAATTTTCAATCAATTTTTTTATGAAAATTCAACGAGAATTCAATAACTTAAATAAAAAAATGATTTTTATTGAATAATTGAATGTTTCCTAAAATTGAATTTTCAGAAAGAATTTTATCAACAAATTTTCAAATAATTAAATTCTTTCGACGAATTTTAATAACATTTTTAAGAATAATTAATTACATTTTTCGAGGAATTCAATTAAAATTGTATTATAAATAATTGAAATTCTGCGATGAGTTTTATTTATGAAAATAATTGAATTCTTGCGAAGGATTTTATTGAATTTTTTAAAATAATTAAATTATAATTGATTTCTTGAGAAAAATTTTATTATTTATGAAAATATTTGATTTTTTCGAAGAATTTGATTCTAATTTATAAAAATAATTGAATTCACGCAAAATATTTTATTAAATTTTTTAAAATTATAATTGATTTTTAAGAAAAAATTTTTTATTTCGGGAATTAATTCAATTCTGAAAATAATTGAATTTTGGAGACGAATTCTAATATTTAAAAAGATAATTGAAATTTTGACGAGAATTTTTAAAAAATTTTAAACATAATTGAATTTTTGCAATCATTTGTAATTTCTCAAAAATTCAATTTTTTTTAGTGTTTTTAAACTAAAATTCTTCTATAAATCCATTATTTTTAATAATTAATTTAAATATAAAATATATATTAAAAAATTTAACTAATTTACAGAAGAATTTGAATTATTAAAATTTTCCGAAAATCTAAGTTCTGTAAAATTTCTAATTTCTAATTCGAAAAATTTTCCTGGTTTACGAGACAATTGTGTTTCAATCGACGTAAACAAACTAATTTTCAAATTTTTCGGGCGTTAAAAAGTTCGGATAATGAACATTTTAATGAATTTAATTCCAAATAATGTTTATATTTGATCATTTTAAAATTCTTTCTTTGTAGTTAAAAAAAGTTTTTTTTAAAGCTTCCTAATTTAAATTTTAAAATGTAAAAAAGATTAGACAATGAAAATAATTTTAAACATTATTTAATTATTTCATTCTCAAAAACTTCAAACAATGAAAATTATATATTTTCTAATCTTATTATAATTTTAAAAGTTTAATTTTCAATTATTTCTACTTTGAATTTTAACAAAAAATTTTATCAATTAACGTTTGTTTCAAAATTTTTTTCAAGCCGAATTAAAAATCGTCTCTGGTTTTTTTCCACTGCTTGTATTTAGAGAGAAAAATGAGGAAAACTGGAAAAACTGTTAAAATAGAGGATAAAATTTTTTAAAAAGGCGGTAAAATTGGTAAAAATAGTTGAAAACATTTAAAAGGGGGGAAAATTGGTAAAAATAGGTGAAAAAATTTTTAAAAAAAATGTCGAAGAGGTGACGTCTTTTTCTGTAAATTATTTAATTTTCCATTATTTATTACTTCAATTTGAATGCATCAACTTTGAATGTAACTAAAAAATAAAGAAAACAGATAGGAAAAATTTCCGGAAAGGTGTATAAAAAAAACGGGGATAATCAAAACGACAGAATACTTTTTCAAATAAAAAACTTTCTCAACTTAAAAACTAAAAAAAATAAAATAAAATATAACCAAAATGTTATTTTATATTTATAAAATATAAAAATAACAAAAAATAAACAAAAGATTTGGCCACGTTTATTTTTGTAAATAAATAAAAAAAAATGCCTAACAAACAAATTTTTCAATATTTAAAAAGGAAGGAATGGTTCTTTGCCTGTATATTTTGAAATAAATAAAGAAATAAAAAGAAAATTTATCATTTAACGCACATTCAAGGAGAGAAATTCAAAGGCAAAATAAACAAACATCATGAAAAAATATATATTCTTCTTTTGGAAAAAGCTGTACAAAATAGACAAAAAAAAAATTATACACAAAACGTGTTACATGATACAATGCCCGACTAAAACAAAAAAAAAAATGACAAAATATAAATGAAAAAATACAAAAAATACACAATATTTAGCAGTGTTTCATATTAAACCGAGTCCGCGAATTCCAGAAAAAAAAAACAAAAAGAGAAAAAAAAAAAGAAAATATCCATCTGTCGCATCGTTTAGATAATCCATCAGAGTCGGAATTATTTCCTGGACAATAAAAATGTCTTCTGTCCATATTTATTTCTTCCGAAGTCTTCTTTTCTTTTTTTGATGATTATCAATAATCCAATTAATCACTTTTACACAAACACTACCGGTTATTCTTTTTCTCTCATCTTCGACAATATTACCGATTCATATCGCCATGTCTCGCGATAATTTGCTTTCCATTTTTTAGAGCCAAATTCTTTGGCTAAATTCAATTACTTCAATTACTTCGCCGGGAAGAAATTAATTTTTCTTTTGTACGCTTGTTTAAAAAAAAATTAAGAAAACTGAAAAACGTAGCTTTCGATCGTTCGCTTTGGCGATCTATAAACGTAAGACGTCACCCGATGTCCTATTTAAGAGGAGCCAGTTTAGCTGACAAAAGAATTTAGACATTAGTTTTTTTTTCTTTCTTTTGCAACACAAATTATTTTTGCTCCTGACAATTTCGTACGATGCGTTCAACCTTTCTTTTTTCATTTCGTTAAACGTCTTTGCAATTTCAGAGGAGAAAAAAAAATTAGTAAATTCCGAACGAAATTGACAAGAAAAATGTCAAAAAAAGTATAAACGACGCAAAATAGCGATTTTTGATAAGTAATTTAAATTTAATTGACATTAGTGAAAAAGAAAGAAATTTTTTTCTATTGTATATGCATTCTTTTTTTCAATAATGTCAATAAAATCGGGAAGGGAAAAATAGTCAAAACTTACCGCGACTTTGATTGTAACCGGCTTGCCATCCCGCGTAATAAGCCGCCTTTTGTTTTCCATGTTCTTCGGCTATTTTCACACTCAGTGGCTCAGAACCTCCATCGGGAACCGTTCCATTGAGGAAATTAATTGCTTCTTGTGCTTCTTCTCGTTTATCGTATCTAATGAAACGAAATTTACATTTTAGTAAATAATTATAAATTTTAGTCTTAATTAAACAAAATTTACTCTTGATAATTATAAATTTTAGTCTTAGTGAAACAAAATTTACATTTAATAAATCTAATGTTTAGTCTTAATAAAAACCAAATTTACATTTAATAAATAATTATAAATTCTGTCTAATAAAATACTTTTTGATCAAGTTAAAAAAAGAAAGCTATTAAAAGTCATTAGCTTTTTTAAAGACAATTTTTTATTAGACTAAATAAGAAATAATCTAAGAGTGAAAAATAAAAAATCCTCTTAAAATTCTGAATTGAAAAATTATAAAGAAAATAGTATTTAGCGGAAGACGCTTTCTCGAGCTCTTTATGTTTATTAATAATTTTCCGGTCAATAGAAAATTGAGACCAGAATATTTCGTCGAACGTAAATTTGTCAAGTGTCTCATTACACAATGACTGGTTTTCCTAGGAGCGCACCTGTTTGCTAATTTTGGATACATTTCAAATTCTAGTAGACGAGCTGTGCGCTTTTAATTCCAAATATCAAAAAACTATAACTGGGACGATTAAAAATACAATTTTTTTAAAAAATATTTTAGATTTAGAAAAAAAATTTCTTCAACTTACCTCACGAAAGCTACACCTCTTGGTAAACCTGTATGTTTATCCTTGAGGATATTTTTCTGCACGATATTTCCATATTTACTGAAAATATCTTCAATCTGCTTGTCCGTAATATTTCTGAAATTAAAAGTATTTTTTTAAAAATTACAAAGTTCACTGTAAAAAAAAAAGAGAATTTTTTTTCTTCTTCTGTAACATTATTTTATAAAAGAAAAGTTGTAGACTATTAAGAAAAGAAAAATAAATTCAAATAAAAAAATTAAATTAAAAAAAGGAAAATACAGAAAAAAAATTCAAATAAAAGGAAAATAAAGAAAACAAAATTCAAATAAGAAAAAAATAAAGTTAAATAAAAAAAAAGAAAATTCAATTAAAAAAGAAAAATAATTTAAGATACGAAAAAAGAAATATAAATTAAATTAAATTAGAATATTTATAAAAAAAAATTCAATTTAATACCTTGGCAAATTTGTAACGTAGAGATTGGTCTCCTTAATCTCCTCGCCTGAAGGACGCGCATGTGAAACCTTTAGTTTCTTATTTTGAACTTGAAGTCCATTCAAAGTTGCAATCGCAGTGTTTGCGTCTTCCATTTTTGCATAGTTGACAAAACCAAAACCATAACTGTAACCAGTCTGAAAAAAAAGTCAAAAACAAATTAAATTTACAAATTTTCCTCGAATAAATTAAAAAATGGCCAAAATTAAAAAAAAAAGTTTTAAATAATTAAAACAGTGTTTGATTATTAACAAAACTTCAAATTTTTATCGTTTTTACAGAATTTTACTCTTTTTTTTAAATAAAAATTTAATTTTTAAATTTAGCTAAAGTCGCAATATTTTAATTTTAACCCGAAAAAACGAGGTAAAAAAAGGGTTTTTCATTTTTAAAAGGGGATTTTAATTTTTGAAAAAGGAAAAATTTAAAAAAAAATTTATTTTTTAAAAAGCGAAAACAGTTTCAAAAACAGATTTTTTTGAAAAAAGGAAACTGTTTAAAAACGAGGATCTTTCAAATTAAGTAAAAAAATTATTGTAATACAGCGCATAAATTTTTTTAAAAAATATTTTACTTTTTTTCTAAATTGCAGCTTTATTAAATCAAAATTTTTAGTTCAATTTTTGTTGCTGTTAATTATCAATATTTTATATTACCTTTTTCCTAAAACTGTAATTTTTCCAAAATTTAAAAAATTTTAAAATTCCGTAAATTTTATCAAGTCTGAAATAAATTTCATCAAAATTTGGTAAAATTTACTTCGACCCTTTAGTAAAATTTATTCTGTGAATCACAACTTTTAATAGGAAATTTTACTATTTCCATAGTTAATTAATAAAAATGTTTTATTCCCTTACTCGGAAATTAATTTTTAGAAACAAATTGTACAAATAATTTGTATACAAAAATTAAACTCGACTAATAGTAAAATTTGATAATAACAAGTTTTGAACGTTCAAAGGAACGAAATATTTTTTTTATTAAAAAATTTTTCAAAAATTTTTCAAATTTCGTTTATTTGAAAGTTCAGAACTTTAGAATTATAAAATTTGCTATAAAAAATCGTTGTTTCCAGAGTAAATTTTACAATATAAAGTATCCAAAGTAAATTTTTAATTGAAATTAGTAAAAATACATTTTCAACTTCGTGAAATTTTTTCTGGAAATAAGTTAAAGTTCTATACAATTTAGATTTTTACTTTGTAATCAAAAAAAGTTATTTTATATTTATTTTGTAGAAAAAATATAATATTGAGTTTAAAAACTCTGAGAAAATAATAAAAAGAAGGCTTCAAAAAAACCATAAAAGTTTTCCAAAGTTTGCAAAAAAAATTTTTTTTCGACAAAAGTAAAAAAACTTTCCAACTTACAAAAAAAATTACAATTTTTGTAAAATTTCTTTTTGTAAAAAATCAGAAAAAGGAGAGAATATGCATTATTTTAGATGTTTTAGGGAATTTTAATAATTTAAGGGGGAAAATGAAAAAGGAAACTCCTTTTTTTCCTGAAAAAGTTGAAAGAGCAGTAATTATATTTTTTTTTGTAAAAAAAAGGAAAAAAAAGTCACCTTGTAATCCTTCATGACTCTGCACGATTCAACTGGGCCAATTGTAACAAACATACTGTAGAGCTCTTTTTCTGTCATGCTCTGTGGCAAATAATTGATAATCAAATTTGTTCTTGAATCCATTCCGTTGCCTTTGTTTACTTGTTGTTGACGCTGATCTGTCATATCTGGACCACACTGAGTCCCGTTGACAATTCTTTGATCTATGATCGTTGGCGTCACCAATACGGGAATATGTTGTGGTTGCAAATGTGTATTGTTGCTGCCGCTGCCGCTGCTGCTGCTGCCTCCACTGATCCCAAGAAAAACCATTGACGAGATCGGCAAATACAAAAAATATAAACAAATTTGTTACTACTATTATGCACGGTGCCATGTGCCAGAAGATCATGATGGCCCGTTGTTCTAGAATGTATATCATCTTTTTTTTCTGAGAGAGAAGAGAGAGAGACAAAAAATAAATAGAAAATAAATTTTTCCAATATAACATTTTTTTTTTCAATTTTTTTTTTTGCGCATAAAAAACAGTGCGACGTCAGACCTGCATTTGAGAAACAAACAAACAAACAAAAGCAAACATGAGGACTTGAGCGGAATAAATTTATTTTCTATAATAATTAAACACGCCAAAAAAAAAATTGGATGGGGGAAATTTACATTTTAAATTTTCTTTTATATTTTCAAAATTTTTACAAAAAAAAAAAAACAAATTGAATCCAGGCGTCAAAGATAAAATTTCTTTAATATTTTCAAAATTTTCAAGAAAAAAAATTTAATCCAGGCATCAAAGATAGAAAATTGAAAAAATTTGTTTTTCAATCTTTGCAAAATTATACACTTTTATTTTTATTCCAATCGAAAATTATTAATTCAGAAATAATGAATAAAATAATTAATTTCTCGAAATTAAAAATTCGATTCATTATCCAAATAAATTTCCAATCTTAACGATTCTCTAATTTAAAAAAACTAATTTATTTTAAAAAAATCGAATTGAATTTACAAAAATTGTTTATTTTAAAAAAAGTATTTAAAATTTTTAATTTTACATTTATAATTTGTAATTTACAATTTACAAAAATTGTATAAAAATATTTCAATTTATATATGAATATAAAAAATTAATTTTGCAAATAAAATTAAAAATAATTGTTCTTTTAAATAATTTAGATTTAAGAAAAAATAAAAGAAAAGAAGAAATTAAATTTTCTCTCGTTAGTAAAAAAAATTAATATTTTGAAAAATATTTGAAAAAATATTATTTCGGAAAATAAAATTTTTCAACTCGGCAAAAGTTTGAATAATGTGCATTGTTTACCTCAGCTATATAACTGCAGTATCTTTTGTCTGTTTGCTAAGTCTTCCTTTTGTTTGTGATTATTAATTTTCTCAATGTCTGATGGTCATATGACCTTTCGACGAAAATAATAAACAATTTAACTAGACGATTGCAATTACTGTCGATTTTCCCTCAGGGGCTATAAAATTTTATGACCTGAGGATTATCAAATAGACAGCAATAAAATTTACCTTCAACTTTGAAAATTTCACCAAAAATTAAAACGCACAAGTTAAAATTTCAAAAATTTTCAACTAAATAATTTATTTTATTTCAAATTCTAGCTGCAAAAAAACTAAAAAAAAAAAGGAGAAAAAGTACAAATCAGATTTTGCTTAATTTTTTAATTATTGAAAATAAAATTTATAAAAATTAAATTCTCTTTTTAATTTATCATCACAAAATAAATTGAATTTTATATTTATTTTATTTTCAAATTAAATATTTCTTTAATTCTCCCCCACTCTTAACACTTTTACAATGAATTTTCCTTTAATTTCAACAAAAGAAATTTCTGAGAAGCAAAGAAAGACAAATTTTTCAATTTCAATATTTTTCCTTTGGAAATTGAAAAAATATTCAAAATACTGTATTTTTTAATTAGAAACTTGAATTAATTACCTAAATTAATCTAATTTTCCAATGCAGCAAAATTGATTTGTACTTTTATCCATTTCGACCAAGTGCGACAAAAAATTAATTCGCTACAAAATTTAATTTAATGCAAAAAAAAAAATACATTTAATCTTCTTTTTTCTATGGGGAAAAAAATTCCCCAATTTAAACTTGAATTCAATTTAATTATTAAATTTTTAAATTAAATGGATAAATAAAAAATTAAATTGAATTACAAATTATTGAAAAAAATCATATTTTTTTTGTCTTCCACATCAAAAAATTTATCATGAAAAAAAAGATGACATTTTTAAAACATAATATAACAAAAAATGTTTTTTTCAATCTGTAGAGAAGATTTACATTTAGTTAGAATTTTTTTTTTGATTTTTAAAAAGGTAAAAAAAATTGTGGAGGTAAAAATTGTTTTTAGATATAAATTTCATAGAATAGAATTTTAATTTTTTAATTTAATTCTCATGGAATTAAATTCCAAGGGAAAAAATTATTTTTACTTTAATTATTTGCTTCTATAATTAATATTTGTATAAGAAAAAAAATTCATAAACATAATTTTTCTCTAAGAAAAGTAAAAAAAATATTTTTTTTCGAACTTACCACAGAAAACTGGAATTATTAACTAAAGTTTCTTGAAAATCCATCGAAAATTATGGGTTTTTCCGAAACCAGAACTAACGAGTGAGAGATCAGGTAGAAAGGGGACAAAATTTTCTTTTCAATTTTAATCCTCATTTTCGCCCTTCTTTTCTACATTTCTCAAACAATGGCGCAGGTATCGGAAATGTAATTTTAACGATGGACCTTCAAAATGATTTTTGCATAGACAGACACCAATGGGACCTTTGAAATTTAGTTTACCTGAATGCCATGCAATTTCAAAGACAATAGAATGACCTTCAGGATTTATTCCCTTATTTCTATGTCAAATACAATTTCGTATACATTTCCAGTCACATTTTATTAATTTAAAAAAATTTCTCATAATTTTCCTGTCTCAATTTTGAAATATTTAAAAATTAAATATTTTTTTTATTTATAAAATTATAAAATTCTGCTTATAAGTACATCTAAAAATGGAATTTTTAAATTTGTATATATCGTAATTTACTCTAAAACTTCAAGAAATATTTTTAATTAGTTAATTTTAATAGTAGTGAAATTATTTAATTTGCAGAAATCATTTATTTATTCTAGAAAAAAATATTTTTACATAGTTTCTATTTTTAAAAGAAATTACTTCTTCAATTTTTGCATTATTTCTTGTTTCTTGAATCATGTGCAACGCTTAGAAGAATAATTGTAAGTAATAAAAAGAAAATTATGGTTCTCGTTAAACCTATTTCTTGGAAAATAAATTAATAAATTACATAAGAGAAAATATGACAGAAAGGAATATACAAAATATTATATATTAAAAAATTACCAAGCTAATTTCAAAACTACTCTAGTGCGTTTTTTTATATTTACGGGAAAATGCGAGCAAAAAGAACACATAATACGAGAAAAACTATTTTTTTTAGTAAAAATTTGCTTTTAATGCCTAGAAATTCTAACATTACTTTACAAAAAATGAGTCAAATTTTGGAATATTTCTTACATTTTTTACAATCATGCAACAATGTTAACTATTTTTAGGTTAGGAAACAATGGAGGTATTTTTTTGTTTCAAGACTTAAAACAAAAAAAATCTATATTTTAAGAATAAGAAAATTTACGAATTCAGTAAAATGTGAAGCATTTCTTGAAAACATTTTATGCTTTATGTATTCCTCACAGGACATCATAAATGCCATGAGCCGTAAAACAGGAAATGACTACACCAACTTCCTGTTCTCACATTGCAACACCCATTAAAAAAATTTCTTTAGCAGAATAAAAAAATCAGAAAACGACGCCGATAAGATTTATCCAATAAAAAGCATAATATTATCAAAATGTCCGTATGACCTGGTTTTTTTTTAATATAGATATATAAAAAGATAAAAAGGCGGTAAAATGTAAAGCTTGGCGCAACGATCGACCAAAGCCAGGGAGTAATCATTATAACAGAGGAAAAAAAAATGCCAAAGTGTGTTACTTACCACTCAAAAAAATAAGATGCCAGAAAAAAAGCGAATGAAAATTCGCGCAAAAAAACGACGAAAACTGAAAAGAAGCACTCGCGATACGATTTAGAGAAAGATTCTTTCAACACTGAATGAGAAATGGACGAAGAAGACGAGAAACAAAACTTTGGACGACTTATCAAAACTTTTTTTTTTTTTAATAATGGAGCGAGAAGGAACGTTGGCGTGAATTGGAACGCTTACGTCAAGTTTGCGAATTACTTACAACGATCAACGTGGCAAACTTGAAAACCGGATAGAAAGAATACTCGTTCACTTTTTAATGAAAATAAACGCAAACTTTATCTTAATATTCACAAGTACAGCCTTTTATACCAGCATTTGATGCCAAGCCAAAGCCCGGTTTAGTTCTTGACCTGCCCCTCAACCTTAAAATTTTACCTAAGCGAAACTAGCACTCCACACGGCAAATTCTCGAATTTTTCTCACCAAAAAAAAGAAAGAGAGGGGGAAAAAAGATGGCGTCTCACTTCCGGTTAAAATTCACAAGGCGGAAAATTTAAATATCTACAAATTCTCGAATCAAAGTAAAATAAAAGAAAATTGACATATATATTTTTTCCTTAGCAAGCACCTCTCTTACCTCCCCCACATCATTAAAACTATGGATAAAAACCACTATTTTAACTTTTAGGGAAAATTTGATAATATTTCGTGAAATTTTACACTGAGAATGACATGATTCAATGAAATAAGAAAAAGAAATCTATATTAAATATGAGAAATAAGTTCATAATAAAAACATAACCTCAAAATATGAACGAACGAAAAAAGATTTCACACACGATTATAATTATAGTTATTAATTACCTGATTACTGGAATTACAGTGTCCATTGTGCTCCACATAGTAGCGTACATCACGAAATGAAATAACTTCAATGCTTAAAATGAAACTTTTGTCGAGAAACTGTGTTGGAAATGATAAAATCGTGCCGTTGACGCGTCGATTCTACAATGACGCCGTATATCAAAAAAAAGAAAATCGCCTTTCGAAGACTGGATTTTACTTAGTGGCGCATGCGTACAGAGGTTAGCAATTACTTTTGAATTTTTTCACGAAAAAAAAAGGTTTGTAAATTATGTGTAAATTGGTATTTTTAATATTAAAATTTAATACATTTCTTTAAAGTTCACTTATTTTTCTGTTACTATTTCTTTGTAGTATTCAAAATTTTATTATTACGCAATTTACAAAATTTTTTTTATTTTGAAATATTAATTTTTGAATAACTTTTTTGCAAAAAATCAATTATTTTCAACCAAATTTCGTGAAAGAATTCAATTATTTTCTAAAATTTTAATAAATCCTTCGAAACAATTTAATTGTTTTTTTAAAATAATGAAATTCTTTAAAAAAATTCAATTATTTTCTAAAATTATAATAAATCCTTCGAAACAATTCAATTATTTTTAAAAAATAAATAGTAAAATCTTTACAAAAATTCAATTATTTTCTAAAATTATAATAAATTCTTCGAAACAATTCCATTATTTTTTTAAAATAATAAAATCTTTGCAGAAATTCAATTAATTTCAATAAAATTTCACTAAAAAAATCAATTTTTTCTAAAATTTTAATAAATTCTTTGAAACAATTCAATTATTATTTTATAATTATAGTCAAATTCTTTAAAAAATTCAATTATTTTCAGAAATTTTAATAAATCCTTCGAAACAATTAAATTATTTTTTTAAAATAGTAAAATCTTTGCAAAAATGCAATTACTTTCTATTTTAATAAATCCATCGAAACAATTCAATTATTTTTATTTAAATTAGTAAAATCTTTACAAAAATTCAATTATTTTCTAAAATTATAATAAATTCTTCAAAACAATTCAATTATTTTTTTAAAATAGTAAAATCTTTGCAGAAATTCAATTAATTTTAGTAAAATTTTTCAAAAAAATTCAATTTTTTTTTAAATTTTAATAAATTCTTTGAATCAATTCAATTATTTTTATAAATAGTAAAGTTCTTTAAAAAATTCAATTATTTTCTGAAATTTTAATAAATTCTTCGAATTAATTCAATTATTTTTTTTTAATAGTAAAATCTTTGCAAAAATGTAATTATTTTCTAAAATTTTAATAAATCCTTCGAAACAATTCAATTATTGTTTTTAAATTAGTAAAATCTTTACAAAAATTCAATTATTTTCTAAAAATAATAAAATTCTTCTCAGGAATTCAATTATTTTTAATACAATTTTAATGAATGAAAGAAATTCAAAGAAATTCTTCAAAAGAATTTAATGAGGATTTTTAAGAATTTTATTAAAACTCTTCGCGAGAATTCAATTATTTTCATAAATAATAAAATTCTGCTAAAAAATTCAATTATTTTCAAATTTTTTTCCAAAATTCTTTGCAAGAATTAATAATATTTTTTAACGAAAAAAACTACACTGGCAAGTTTCATTTTTATGTTTTTATTCCAAAAATGTAGAAAAATTACATTGTTTATTACATTTTATTAAAGTGTGTTTAATTAATAATATAATTTTAATGAAGTGCATTGCAAAAAAAGGAACAATTTTTAATTGTTAAATATTTTTTATTAACATATAGATTGCTTTTTTTTCCTATGAAAATTTCAAAAAGTTTTCGAATTATTTTAATTTATTATGTATGAAAAATATGGAAATTAATTTTATTAAGTATAATTTAATAATTCTCTAATTAATAATTTTAAATAAATAAATTAATACGAATTTAAAAAAATGAAAGTACATCAAATTGGAAAAAATGTTACAAGCTTTAAATTATTTATCAGTGAGATTCAGAAAAGCTGGTTAATAAATATTTATCTAATAATAAATTCAGAGGCAAATTTTTATTTATAATAAATTTTACTTTATTGTAAATAATTGTTTTGGTATTGTATAATTTTTCTAACGAGAAAAATTGATTTTTAACTTTTTCTAATCATACAAAAAATTGTTCTTTTCACATTTCTTTATAAAAAAAAACGTTAGATAAACGATTTTTTTTTTCTAATGGAGAATAATTTAAAAAATGAAAATATTTTCATTGTCGAATTATCATTATCATCGAAAAAAGAAGAGTAAAAAAAATACCCTGATTAGAAAAATATTAAATAAATTACATAAATGATATATATGTATAAAAATGCTTATATACAAATGTTCGAAGTGTTGAATACTATTTTTTAAATTCAGATCTAGTATTTCTTATAGGTACTAGTTTTTTTTTTTTTTTGTAATTTGAGAAATTTTGTTTCTTTTTTGGAGATTCTTTCATTTTATCGTATGCTACGAAAACCGTTGATTTTTGTAAAATTAAAAAATCTCTTGTGCTTACTATTTTTAAATGCTTTTGGCGTATCGCCTAATTCAGAAGGATCATTTTCTTTATCCCAAACACGTAATGGTGTTTCGATACCAAAAGGGCTGTACAATTTTGTTGGCGTTCGTCCTAATAAATCTCGTGAACGAGTTTGTGGAGTCGCTGATTTTATTGCATTAATATCGGGAGTAAATTGTTCTTCCAGTCTTTGACGTCTTCGTGTCGGAATTTTAAATCTCTGCAAAAAAATAAATTTTCAATTATTACCCTTTTATTGTTATTTAGTTTGTTTGTTTCCAGTTATTTCTCTCAGTTTCATTTTCAATTAAAAAAAAAACAACCGGAATAATTGTAGTAACTTTCTGTCAATCTTGAAAGTCAAAAAGCAATTTTTAATTTAAAAAATTGAATTTTTACTTTTTTTTGGAGAAATTCAATTTAGAGAAATTCTTTTGCAGGGTTGCCACAAAAAATTAATTTTGCTTTTTCCCTGACTTTTCCCTGATTTCCAGACAAAATTTACTTACGAATTTCTTAAATTGTAAAATTATTTGCAAACATCAATAACTAAATTTTTAAATAAGTATTTAATTATTATTTTTCCATAAAAATTAAAATTCTTCAAAACATTCAAATTCAAACATTTTTAAAATTCAACAACTTATAAGAATATTATTATAAAACATGAAGATATCAATCACTCCAAGTCTTTGACTCGGAGTAATTGATATCTTCATGTTTTATAAAAATTTAAACTTCCATAAAATTTTTCAAAAAAAAAATTAAATTATTTACAAAAATTATAATAAAATTCATTGCAAGAATTCAATTATTTTCATAAATAATAAAAATCTTCACAGGGTTTCAATTATTTTAAATACAATTTTTAAATTATCTTCAAAAATTGTTTGCAAGAATTAAATTAAATTTCACAAATAATAAAATTCTTCGCTGAAATTCAAAAATTTCCAAAATTTACTAAAGTTAACAAAAGTTCTCAAAAGAATTTAGTTATTTAAATAAAATATAATAAAATTCGTTGCAGGAATTCAATTATTTTTATAAGTAATAAAATTTTTTATATGAATTCAATTATTTCAAAAAAAATTGATAAAATTCGTTATGAGAATTCGATTATTTTCATAAATTATTATAAAATTTTTCCGAGGATTTCGATTATTTTTAATACAATTTAAAATAAAATCCTAGAAAAATGGAATTATTTTCTGAAATTTTTTGCAAGAATTCAATTACTTTCATAAATTAATAAAATTCTTCACAGAATTTCAATTATTTTTAATACAATTTTAAGTAAATTCTTCGAAAAATGTAATTATTTTCAAAAATTTTATTAAAATTCTTCGAAAGAATTCAATTATCAATTATTTTTCAAAAATTCATGCTATAATGCTTTTAATATTCAATTATTATCTAAAATTTTAACTGCTATTCATTTTTAAATCAATTTTTATTGGAAAATTCTACGAGAATTCAATTATTTAAATACAAAAATAAATAATTTATTGAATAAATGAGTGTTTCTCGAAATTGAATTATCATAAAGAATTTCATCAACAAAATTGAATTTTTCTAGAGGCATTTTATTAAAATTTTCAAGAATAATTAAATTTTTCGAGAAATTCAATTAAAATTATTTTAAAAATAATTGAAATTCTATTAAGAGTTTTATTATTCATGAAAATAATTGAATTTTTGTAAAAAAATATTATTATTTATAAAAATAACTGAATTATTGTGAAGAAATTTATAAAAAAATTTGTAAATTATTGAATTTCTGTAAAATTTTGATTATTTATGAAATTAATTTAATGTTTGCTTAGAATTTTATCAACATTTTTTTTAAAATTTAAGTGAATTCTTTTGAAAAAATTTATTAAAATAGTAGATGTTAAAAATCATTGAATTGAGGAAAATTTTTTGAAAATAATTGAAATTTTGTAAAGAATTTTATTAAAATTTTTGAAAATAATTGAAATTTACAGAAGAATTTTATTATTTTTAAAGATAATTGAATTTTGACGAGAATTTTTTTTTAGTTTTTGAACGTAATTGAATTTCTGTGAAGAATTTTATTACTTTTGAAAATAATTGAATTTTTGCAATCATTTGTAACTTCTCCAAAATTCAATTTTTTCCAGTACTTTAATTTGAAAATTGAAAAAAGAAGCTTGTAGCATTTTTCGAAAATAGTAATCTAATTAATTGTAAATTAATAAATAATCTAGACTTTGCAAATTTAAACAAACCTGTGATATGCTTCCGAATGTGACTTTAACATTAGATAAAGTTTTCGAAATTCTTTCGGCTCCAGTTTGTAGAGCTTTTCGAGAATCGTTTGTTACATTTCCAAGACTCAAGTTATGCCAACTTTTTCCTGAATCCGAACTATCCTTTTTTTTCAAACCCTTTTCCTTTCCAAGCGAACTGCTTGACGATTTATCATGATCCTCGAAACGATCCTGTAATCTTCTTCGTAAACTTTTACGTCCCTTGGTCGGCTCAATATTATTGGTATTTAAAAAATCCCGATGAAAAGTAAAAGAGACGCTTCTCGAATCTGAAGGCATTTTTTCTTTTTTCTTTTAAAATGACGTTTAATTTATAACACTATAAAGCAATTTTTAACTTTAATAAAGTTTTTCACTGGGATTAATTTAATTGTCTAATTTTCAATCACTGAATTTTGACAATAAATCGATTTAACTAATTTAAATGCCTTGGGAAATTATCAATGACATTAATGACAATGGAACAGCTCGTAAATGTTTGACAGCCAACGGTTTTTCTTTGAATTGAAATCGTTAATGTTCGACTAAAATCGGAGTTTGTCGGTTTTTATAATATAAAAAAGTATTGCCACCACAATAAAACATTAAGAATCTCGTTTTGCCTGCCTGTAAATCTAAAATCACAATTTTCTACACATAAATCCGTATAAATAATCTTTGAACCGTTTTTTTTTCAAGGATATATAAATAGTATAATTGATGCTAAAAATATTTTTAACGCAAAAATATAAATATAAATGAAAAATGCAGTGTGGAACATAACCTCCAAAAAATGTGAAAATCACACACAAGCCTCGCAAGCATTTCACAAGTGTGGAAGTTTAAGAATTATGTCAGTGATATGTGTTAAAATAAATTAAAAAATGTTGGGGATATTAATTTATTTATGGTGAATCAAATTATTGAAATGAGGAAATTGGAAAAACGACAAGTTTTTAAATTGTTTGTGAGGAGTTCTCAGACTCGAAATTGGACTTGAAATGCTGATTTCTTTTGACGTTTTTGCCTCTGTATGATTAATCTTAAAAGTAATTTAAAAAAAAGTCATAAAAATCTTTGGAAATGTGGATGAATGTAAAATTTCATAATGACATTATAATGTCATTATGTTTAATTTATCAATAGTTTGAGAGTCTGTCTAGTGCTTCAATGGCTTGTGTCTCTAGAAGAAGGTGCGATTAAAGGTTGAAATGGCAATATCTAGTTGGATGATTTGGGGTAGAAGCCTTCGTAGTAGTAGACCACATCGAAGTAAGTAAATGAAAAAATCAAAGAGATAAATTTTTTGTATTCTTAAAATTTATCTTTCTTTTTATTGAATCATTTTTCTTTTCTAGGTCGACAGGATAACGAAGACCGCTGTGTAAAGCTCGATCTGTCAAAAGGTTACTGACCTAACCTCTTTTATTCTTTTCTTATAATCTTTCATATATACTACTTGGTTGTTATTTACGTTTTTTTTAATAATTTTTCCTTTTTATCAATATATTAATACGTTTTCTGAGATTATTAACTATGTGTTGTTTTTCCTGAAAATGTAAATTAACTGCTTATCTGCTTTTCACTGAATAGATTGAATGAATATTGAACATAGATATATTATTGTATTTTTGTAAAATTGGAGCATTTTTTTCAGGTTTAAATGAGAATATAAAAGAGGCTTTAACTAATCTCTGTCAACGACAAGGAGTTTCGGCCGGTAAAAAACTTGCATATTTGAATGCATTCGTTAAGCTCATTAGGGAAAATGACGCCAACGATTTTGGATATTCTGTTGAACAGCTATTTTGTTGGTGAGTATTATTTTCGTTTTGTTAAATAATTTTCTGCATATTATCCTTTTTCAGGAATCACAGACTGTCATCTTTTCACGCTTTTTTAAAAAAATTTTTCCACCTATTTCATCTATTTTGTAAACATTTAATAATATTTTCAATCAAAATTAGTCTTTAAAAAATTCTGATTAATTTAAATTTCAATGAATTTATTAAAATTTTTGCCAATTGATTTATTTCGGAGAATCTAATTAAAATTACATTGAAAATAATTTAATTCTAAAGAATTTTATTAAATTTTTTAAAAATAATTGAATTATTTAGAGAAATTTTATTAAAATTTTATTGAAAATAATTAAAGTTCTGTAAAGGATTTTATTATTTAAGGAGATAATTGAATCTTGTAGAGAAAATTTATTGAAATTGTAAGGAAAATAATGGAATCCCTGACAAGAATTTATATTTTTTGAAAATAATTAAAATTCTGCGAAGAATTTTGTAATTTATAAAAATAATAGAATTCTTAGGAACAATATTATTAAAATTTTTGAAAGTAATTAAACTTCTGTGAAGAATTATATTGTTTTTGAAGATAATTTTATTCTCATGAAGAATTTTAATACATTTTTTTAAAAATAATTGAATTTCTGCGAAGAATTTTGTTATTTATGAAAATAATTGAATTCTTGACCAAAATTTTATTCAAATTTTTATACAGAGTTGAATTCTTAAAAAAAAACTTTATGATTTATGAAAATAATTGATTTTGGCGAAGAATTTGATTAAAATTTTTAAAAGTAATTTAATTCCTACGAAGAAATTTATTATTTATGAAGACAATTGAATTCATGCTAAGAATTTCATTATTTATAAAGATAATTGAATTCTTGCCAAGAATTTTAATAACTTTTATTGAAAATAATTAAATTCTTGCGAAGAATTTTAATAAAATTTTCATACATAATTAAATTCTTGCGAAGAATTTTATTATTTCTAGAATTAATTGAATTCTTTTGCAGAATTTGATTATTTATGAAAATACCTGTATTCCTTCTAAGAATTTTATTAATTATGAAAATAATTGAATTCTTACGAAGAATTTTTTTATGTATTAAAATAATTGAATTTCTATGAAGAAAATTATTATTTATAAAGGTAATTGAATTCTTGCTAAGAATTTCATATTTTTTAGAAAGATAATTGAATTCCTTCCAATAATTACATTATTCATGAAGAGAATTGAATTATTTCCAACAAGATTATTCAATTTTTCAAAAATAATTTAATTTCTACCAAAAATTTTATTAAAATTCTTGAAAATAGTTGAATACTTCCAAAGAATTTAATTAAACTTTATGGGAAAAATTGAATTCTTGCGAAGAATTTTATTGAATTTTTAAAAATAGAAGAATTTTTTAGAGAAATTTTACTATTTATGAAAATAATTGAATTTTTTTGAAAAAGTTTAGTAAAATTTTTGAAAATATGTAATTGAATTTCTATGAAGAAAATTGAATTCATTATTACTTCTAAAGATAATTGAATTCCTTCCAAGAATTATATTATTTATGAAGATAATTGAATTCTTTCCGGGAAGTTTATTCAATTTTTCGAAAATAATTGAATTTCTGCGAAGAATTTTACTAAACTTTTTTATAAGAATTGCATTATTGTGAAGAATTTTATTGAATTTTTAAAAATAATTGAAAACTTTAGAAAAATTTTTTCTATTAATGAAAATAATTGAATTCTTAAAAAGAATTTTACTATTTAAGAAATTTTTTTATTTTTGGCAAAGAATTTAATTGAAATTTATGAAATAATTGAATTCTTGAGAAAAATATTATTATTTCTGAAAATATTTTATTTTTGCGAAGAATGTGATTGTAATTTATGAAAATAATTGAATTCTTGCGAAGGTTTTTATGGAATTTTTAAAAATAATTGAATTCTTTAGAGAAATTATACTATTTTCAAAAATAATTGAATTCTTGCCAAGAATTTTATTGAAATATTTCAAAATAATTGAATTTTTGCCAAAAGGTTTGTTATTTATGAAAATAATTGAATTCTTGCCAAGAATTTTATTGAAATATTTCAAAATAATTGAATTTCTGACAAAAGGTTTGTTGTTTATGAAAATAATTGAATTCTTGACAAAAATTTTATTAAAATTTTTCGAAAATAATTGAATATCTGAAAAAAAATAATAATTGAATATTATAATTCTCGTTAATAATTTACTTCTTGCAAATAATTTATTTAAAATTGAATTAAAAATAATTTAATCTTATGAAGAATTTTATTACAATTTTTGAAAATAATTGATTTTCTTTGAAGATTTTCATTATAATTTTTAAAAATAATTGAATCTTTTCGAAAAAAATTAATATTGTATTGAGAATAATAATTGAATTTCTTTGAAGAATTTTTTTGTAGTTTTAGAGATAATTTATTTCCTGCAAAGAATTTTATTAAATTTTTTGAAAATTGAAAATAATTGAATTGTTTTGTAGATTTTTATTAAAACTTTTAGGAACCCAAAGAGCTTGTGAGTTAGGAAAGATTAGTAGTGATGTTGAGGAGATTGTAAAGATCTGAAAGGGTATACAATGAAATCATACTTTTTAAAACTTTTAGGAAAAAATTAGTTAATTAATAGTATTTAAATTATAATTTTTGTCACTTTTTTATCATTTTTTTTAATAATTCATCTTTTTACCTATTTTAATGATTTAAAGATACTGTGATCCTTGCTTTTTTAAAAATTAGAATTCTTAGAAATTTTAATCCTAAATTAAAAATTTTTGTTTGCAAATTGTAATATAAATTCAACTTGATACTCTTTGGTAGAAAATAAGAAAAGATTGATAATTTATAAGAGTAATAAAATTTGAATATTTGATGTGTTACAGTTTGCGTGTGGGACTTATTCACGAAGTTACACAGGTGCGTGCAGCGGCATTGCGTGCCGTTCGTTATATGCTTAAAAAAGAGCAAGATGTTGTCTCGATCAACAAGTTGCAATATCCATATTTTCTGGCACGTAGTATGGACGTTAATCTTCGTACCGAAATGGAAAGAATACAAGCTTTACGTTTAGTGAGAAGAATATTGGTCCTTGCTCCAAGATATTTTAGTCCAGCACTAGCGAGATCGTTGATAAGTTTAACGAATGGCGGTATCGATGAAAAGGATCGTGGTTTTCACGCTTTTTTCTCAACACTCTGCGAATTAGGCGTTCTCAATTCAAATCTACTGATAAATTGCAGTGGAATATCGACATTGGCACGCGCCGCAATGAACGGACAAAGTCCATCAATAATTGAATCGGCGGTCGGAGTTCTTTTGAAATTACTCTCAACACCCGAGACGAGGAATCACGTCTCATTATTTTGCCTCGCAACACCGTATTGTGAACTACATTCACCGGGTTTGGAAAGACCGAGTGAAGATCGTCAGCAAAAATTCACGGCTAGTAAACACGCGCTTCTGAGTGTTCTACGATCCTACTCGGGGGTTATTCATTTTTGTAATCCGAATCACACGTCGGGTTTGAAGTCGATTGTGAATATTCTCTACGTTGAACAGCAGGATGTCAGAGGAGCGGTTCTTGAGCTTTTCTACGAATTATTGGGAATACCATTGCCCTTGTGGACTGACGAGCCGGACGTTGCACTCTCAGCAGTGGATCCGAATCGAGTGCGCGAGACTTGGAAATTATCGGAAGGTTTCATTGCCGCTGAGGGTAAGACGATACTTCCTTCGCTAATGTCGCGGAGTCCGAATATCACCGAAATGCATCTTGCACTATTGGTCTATGTACTTTTGGAATGCGGTCTGCACAAGGCCCTCGCCGAGGCGATTGTCACCTCTGATACTTTCATCTGTGTACGAGCGGCGATTCTTCTCGGTGGACTTTTACATTTATCGCATTCACTTCTACCACCTGAGGTGTGCGATCTCACGCCTCCGCTGCCGAATTTGGTGATTCACGCGAGTCGCGGTAAACATCAAGCCCTCGCGGCAGTGACAATCCTAGGACGTATGCACTCAATGATGCGCGAACGTCCCTCACCCACCAGTCTCTTTCTCGATCGAATGATCCAAGGTGGCAATTGGCTGCGATCGACAATACCAAAAACGGACATTCCCGTCACTCCCAAAAATTGGCTCCGTCGTGAAACCTCATCAGCGGCACTTTTGAAGAAATCCCAAGTCCTCACAACACGCGACGTACTCGCATGGAACTGGCCAATTATTCGCGCAATTCTACACTCGAGGGAGGATTATTTCAAACTCCTTCACGACACCGATCATCGTCTCTTCATCAAGAAACTAATACGTTACTTCAAACCGTCATCAAATCAATTCAGTCGAATTGAGCTAGGACGCACCGCAACACTAGCTCGTGAATCGACACTCGCCGGTAGTCATCTCATAATTTGCCTCCTGGAAATACCCGAGCCGGACAGTACCCGTTTTCTCAATGAATTAATTGCAGATATTGCGAATGAAATAACAGCCATAAGAACAGCGCAATCAGCTCACGATTGTCTATTTTCACCGAGGCACATGTCGACGACTTGCTGTCAAAAGTATTTTCTCTTTCTTGGACAAATGAGTCATTCGGCGAAGGGCACAGTGATTCTAAAGAGTTTCAATCTACTGCAAAAATTACAGGAACTCGCAATATCGACAAATCACGATTGTTACGTGAAATTGATAATGTCGAGTTTGGATTACACCGGCAATGGTGTCAATCGAAAAGTGATGAACAAAATAATTTCCGAATCTTCACTAGAGAGTACAAGACTTTATGCCACACAATTTTTACGATGTATATTGAGAGCTAAAATGAAGGATGCCTTTCAATGGGCAATTACAATTTTATCGGAGAGATTGTCTGATACTAGTAAAGCTGTCGCTTCGGCGGCTCTTGATATTCTTCATGAGGCATGTGAGGAGCCGCACTATCTCGAGGTGTTCTTTCAACAGAATAAAGATTGGGATCGTATATTAATGAATCTTGGCGATAGGGGTTATTTATTGAAAATAAGACTCTATTCGTTGAAATCAGGTTTTGCGAGTTTAAGTTCACCGAGTGAGGAGCTTGAGAAGTGGATTAAAACGGGAGGTTTTGCTGAACGCTACGTGGGATTGATTGAGGGGGAAATTCATGATTCTCTGACGAGGAGGCAACGTGGTGAGAATGGTAGTTACATGAGGAGGAATACGAATATTCCAATTTCGCCACGCGATGCATTTATACCACCGCATTTAATTGGTCAATTAGTTCAACATGAATTGGGTTTGCAATTACTGATGAGAAGGAATGTTTTGCAGAGATTCGCGAGAGTTGTGCAGAGATTTCGCTATGAGTACGGTGTCACCGAGCAGGAGATGTCGATGAAGAATATGAAATCGTCAAGATCGATTATTGAGGATTCGTATCTTGTGTCGGAGGAGTCGGGCACTGACGAGGCGGCCGAGTCAACGCGTCTCGAGACGATAATTGATTCGGAAATAATGGAATTGTCGGAGAGTCAGACGCCGCAAAAGGCCGATTCGTTGGTGGAGATTCGGAGGAAATTGAGTTTGGATGAGTCGAGACGAACGACGCCGGAGAGAAGTTGGAAGGGCGATTTGGAGAGTCGAGAGGAGAATTCTTCGTTGAATTTTGAGGGACGTTTGTTGAGGGTGAAGGCGGCGTTGTGGGTATTGGGCCATGCGGGACTATCGGCCGAGGGAATGGAGCAGTTGAAGAATTTGGGAATTATTGAAATGTTGACATTGATGGCGGAGACATGTCCTTATTATGTGGTGAGAGCGACGGCGATGTATTCGTTGAGTTTGGTTAGTACAAATCGTGCTGGCGCGGATGTACTTACGACGTTAAATTGGCCATGCGTGAGATTTAAGAGAGGCGAAGAGTGGCCGATTGTGCAGCATTGTGCTCCTTGTCAATCGCCTAGTCCACCGCCTGTTCAACGACATCATCGCAGTCTCAGCGATGGAAAACCCGAATTTCCCGAACCAGTTATTCGAAGAACGAGAAATCGATCGGAAAGCGCGGCTACTGAATTGGAAGTTCGCCGTCTCATTCTTCCGTGAGCAGTTTTTTTTATTTACAATAATTATTAGAGTGAAAGTTATTATTTTATTTATTTAGAAAACTTATTTTATTCCCTTAGGATTAATTAATTAATTATTTTCTTTTTCTGTTTATCCAGAAAACTTATTTTATTTACGTAGAAAACTTATTATTTTATTTATTTAGAAAACTTATTTAATTTGCCCGGAAAACTTATTATTTTATTTATTTATTTACGAAATTTATTGTCTTATTTCATTTATTCATGAATTTCATGAATTTATTCTTAAATTTTATTTTCATCTAATTATTTATTTATTTTTAGGGAAAGAGGCGAGACTCCAAGTCCTGTATCCAGTGTTCAGAGATTAAGTCAACAAGATGCTGAGGGTTACGCTCGCCTTCGTACTATTCAACGTTATCGTAGGCCAAGTTTTTCTCAAAGCAGTTTAGAGGTGATGAATTAATTTTCATTTTAAAAAAAATTAATTTTCAAATAGATCCGATAATAGTTATCTATTTAAAATCATTGACCTCTTGCAAAGAATTTTATCAAAAAAAATTGAAAATACTTGAATTCCTTCGAGAATTTTATTATTTATGAAAATAATTGAATTTCTATGAAGAAATTTATTATTTATGAAGATAATTGAATTCATGTTAAGAATTTGATTACTTATAAAGATAATTGAATTACTTTTAAGAATTATATTATTTATAAAGATAATTAAATTATTTCCTACAAGTTTATTCAATTTTTCAAAAATAATTGAATTTCTACAAAAAATTTTATTAAAATTTTTGAAAAAATTGAATACTTCCAAAGAATTTAATTAAAATTTATGGAAAGAAATTGAATTCTTGCTAAGAATTTTATTAAAATTATATTGAAAATAATTGAATTTCTGCGAAAATTTTTATTAAACTTTATAAAGATAATTGAATTCCTTACAAGAATTATATTATTTATCAAGATAATTGAACTCTTTCCAGGAAGTTTATTTAATTTTTCAAAAATAATTTAATTTTTGGGAAGAATTGTATTTTTGTGAAGAATTTTATTAATTTTTTAAAAATATTTGATTTTCGCGAAGAATTTGATTGTAATTTATAAAAATAATTGAATTCTTGCGAAGGATTTTATAGAATTTTTAAAAATAATTGAAATCTTTCAAGAAATGTTACAACATGCTTATGAAAATAATTGAATTGTTGCGAAGAGTTTTGTTATTTCTGAAAATAATTGAATTCTTTAGAGAAATTTTATTATTTATGAAAATATTTGAATTTTTGCAAAAAATCTTAATAAATTAATATTATCTGAAATCTATAAAAGCATCTTGTTAAAATATTTAAGAAAATTGAATTCATTCGAAGAATTTTATTATAATTTTTAAAATTAATTAAATTATTGCTGAGAGTATGTGTTTAAAATTTAAAAGTAATTGAAATCTTTTGAGGAATTCTTTTCTATTCTTTACAAAAATTGAATTATTTATGAAGAGATTTGAATTCTTTCTAAGAATTTTTGAAAAGAATTGAATTTTAGCGAAGAAATCCGTCAAAATTATTAAAAATAATTGAATTCTTCAGAGAAATTTTATTTTTTTTTAAATATTTGAATTCTTGCGAAGAATTTTATTGAATTATTAAAAAAAACAATTTTTTAGAGAAATTTTACTATTTATGAAAATAATTAAATTTTTTTGAAGAAACTTATTAAAATTTTTGAAAATATATAATTGAATTTCTATGAAGAAAATTATTATTTATAAAGAAAATTGAATTCATGATAAGAATTTTTTTACTTCTTAAGATAATTGAATTCTTTCCATGAAGTTTATTTAATTTTTAAAAAATAATTTAATTTCTGCGAAGAATATTATTAAAGTTTTTTAGAAGAATATTGTATTCTTGTGAAGAATTTGATTAAATTTTTTAAAATAATTAAATTTTTCACAAAAAATTTTCTATTTATTAAAAATTTTAAAATAATAATTGAATTCTCGAGAAGAATTTTATGGAATTTTTAAAAAGATAATTGAATACTTCCAAAAAATTTAATTAAAGTTTATAGGTAAATTTGAATTTTTGAAAATAATTGAATTTTTGCGAAGAATGTTGTTATTTATGAAAATAATTGAATTATTGCGAAGAATTTAATTAAAATTTTTAAATATCCTAAATACGTCTCCTTAAAAAATTTCTTTGATTTTTTTTTAAACACTGGAATTTCTTTCATAATTGTTATTAAAAATTTTACTAAATTAAATTTTATTACATATTTTATGAATAGAAATTTAAATTCTTTTGAAAAATTTTGAAAAATTTTTGAAAATAATGTAGTTTTTCTTAATAATGTTAATTGAAAATTTTTATAATAATTCAATTAAATAAAGAATTTTTTCAACTATTTAAAAAAAATCGTCTATCTGTTAATAATTGTAAATATAAATTTAATTATTGAATTTTATTAAAATTGTATTGAAAATATTTGAATTTCTGAGAAGAATTTTAATATTTGTAAAAATAATTGAATTCTTGCGAAGAATTTTACTATTTATAAAAATAATTGAATTTTTTCGAAGAATTTATTATTTTAGAAAATAATTAAAGTCTTTCGAAAAATTTTATTAAAAATTAAAAAAAATTGAATTCTTGAGAAGAATTGTATTAAAGCTTTTAAAAATAGTTAAATAAAATTTAGAAATTTTATTAAAATTGTATTGAAATAATTGCTAGTTATTAATATTTATTTTCTAATAAATCGTTATTATTTGTATTATTTAATATGCTTTATTATTTTTAACAGATGTATAGTTCGGACGGTAGATTATCGCTGCAGAGTTTATCGGAATTTGAATTTTCACGAAGTTGGATTGCCGAAAGTATTTTATCGTCAACGCCACCGCCACCAACACTGCCACCACCAATTGACAATGATAATTCGTCATATATGGGAATTTGCCTTCCGAGGAAATTAACGACAATGTTTCCTAATCCTGTGCGGCCATTGTCTAAGGGTAGACTAGAGGAGAAATCAAAAATTCACGTTGATCCAAGTGGTGCCGATGAGGAATCAAATTCAGAGTATGATGTTGCCGGAGATCATTCTCGTGTGTGCCTAATATGTTACAGCGGAACAAATAATATTAAAGATTCTGATTTGGACTCCAAAATAACGAGGTAAAAAATTAATTTAAACCTTTTAAGTTAAATGATTAAAATTAAATATGTAATTAAAATTAAGTTATTAATTCAGTGAAGAGTTTTGCTTATATTTATAATAAATTGTTTTGCAGGGATATATTTAAGCACGTGCAGCGTCTTGCGAATCCTGTATTATATAAACATAGTAAACAAACATTGTTAACATTGCGTCAGAGGCATCCTGAAAAATTTCAAGTAAGTAATTATTTTTTATTGTAAATAGAATTTCAACTCTAATTACTGAAATAATAATTAAATAAAATTAATATAATTCTCTTTTTCTTCAGAACGTTTGTATTTTTTCTGAGGTTTCTGCTCGCTTAGGAAATAATACTTACAGGATACCAGCTCGTCGATTTTTACAAGAATTATTTTTAGATTCTTCATTTGATGCGGTAAATTTTGTATTTTATCTTTAAAAAATTTTTGGAAAAAAATTCAATTGTTAATTATGAATTTTAATTTAATATTCTCTTTCTTTTTTTTCATAAAATAGCTATACAAAGAGCCAGCGGAGATATTGAGTATTACGTTAGATATTGAAGAGAAATCAGTTCCTACTTCGCCTTCGGATAATTCTCGTTTATCGGCAAAGCCTTCAGAGACTAAAATTAATGGTAGAGTGACACCCTCGTGTCTTCAGAATGATCCATTGAGTTCGGTGCAAGAAGAGGCGACAACAACTGGTGGACAGCCACGAATTGTTTATCCACAAAATAAAAAAGAAACTGCACTTATCGCGGAGAGATTGAGTGATGAGAAAATTATTGCTGAAATTCTCAAACCAGAAGAACGAATAAGAGTGGCTAAGAGTTCGGAGAAAATTTTAAAGGTAACAGGTACAAATACTGCCATAAACCTTGAATAGTACTTCTTGATATTTCAGCATCTGTACATATTTTTATATTAAAAAAGCAAAAAAAAAAAAAAAAATGAGAGAAAAAATCAATTTCGCCGTCAGAGAGAGAGAGAGAGAGAGAAAAAAAAAATAAAACGGAAACTGACACAATTATACCAGTCGTTTTTAAATTCAAAACTCAGAACTTTTCTTTTCACACTTTTCTTTTCAATTTTTCTCTTCAAATTTTACATTATTTTTAATAATTCTATTTTGTTTAATAATTTAAATAATTAATATCTTTTTAAAAATTTTAATTTTTTAAAAATAATTTAAATAATTTTCCATCCTTGTCTTCAACTATACGAATTTTTTTCCAAAGTTGAATCTATTTTTTCTTATGCGAATTTTTTACGAATTTTGAAAATTATATAATTATTTTTAATTATTATTCATTTAGAAACTAAAATTATTAATATTAATTAAATCATAAAAATAAATTTCAGAACAAAATTATAAAACAAACTTTAAAATTAATTTTTGAAGCTTATTAAAATAATTAGTTAATGTCTTCAAGGATATAATTTTTTTACAAACAATCAATTTTTTATTTAACGATTTTTGAAAAGTATAATTAATTTTTTTTAAATTATTATCTATTTAGAAATTAAAATTCTATTAATATTAGAAATTCAAATTCAAATTCAAATTCAAATTCAAATAAAAATAGAATTCAAAACAAAATTAAAACAAATTTTTTAATTAATTGAACAAACTTTTTGAAGTTTATTAAAATATTAATTAGTCAATGTCTTCAACTATATGAATTTTTTTTTGCTAAAATTGAGTTTATTTTTTCCTATTCACCGATTTTTGAAAATTCTAGTCAATTGTTATTCATTTAGAAACTAAAAATATTTAATATATTTATAATTTTCAAACTGTTTTATATTTTCTGATCTTTAAGAATAAAATTTTTCTAGGTACTTAAATTCTAAATACGAATTTTTAAAAATTGAAAATGTTAATTAACTAATTATTTAAAATTTTTAAAAATTCGTATTTAGAATTTAAGTTGAAAATTTTTTGTTTGAAACATCAGAAAGTATAAACAAAATTTGAAAATTATAAATGTATTAAATAATAAAAAATTGTGATTTTATTTTGTTCAAAATTTTATTTTTATAAATAAAATAAAACAAAGGCTTTTAAATTAATTTTAAAGTTTATTAAAATAATCATTAGTTAATTAACATTTTTAATTTTTAAAAATTCGTATTTAGAATTTAAGTAGAAAATTTTTATTTTTAAACATCAGAAAATATAAAACAGTTTAAAAATTATAAATATATTAAAATTAATTATTTATTATTATTATTATTTATTATTATTAATATTATTATTATCATAAAAGAACGATAACAAAAAGAATAATAACGAAAAGAAAATGTTTAAACAAAAGTTAGAATTTAAATGTTCGCGCGCTAAAGGTCGATAACATCGATTTTCCACTTATCGCCACCAGATGGCAGTGTTGGTCACAAATAAACAACATCTTAAACCGGACGGCACGCGCCAAGTTCTCTCGTATTTTACAGTGAATTTTTAATATCTAATCGTTCTGTTTAATTAAATTCACGTGAACAATCGTTATTCGATATAATCGCAATTGTTATTGTTGTAATTGAAAGAACGTAATATTGCGAGTGATTGTTTTAATTGAATGGAAGCAAGTGTAAAATCCTCTGCTTTCGGGATAAACATGTCCCGGAAGGTGCGCAGTTGTTGATTGCGCACACCATTGCGTCTCAATTTGAGGGGGGAAATGGCGTGGTAAACAACTTGTGCGCGAATCGTGAAAACACCGATTTTCTTGTTTGCGATTACGGGCATCGTGTTAGTGCGTAAACGTGGTGTTAACTTGCCGGTTTTGAACCTCGACCTCATTTTTTTTAATAACAGTGTTTGTGACAATAAACAAAAATTTAGAAGAAGAAGAAGAAAAAAAAAAGAAGTGAATTCTGATGTAATGGTGTTTTTGTCACACTAAGGTTATGACACATCCTATTTCGCTTTAATCTTGTCAGGAGAGTGTGATAGTGGTGATAGTGAGTATTTTTAGTAATATATCTATGTGTGTATATATAGAGAAAAAATGACTGTGTGATAGGAAACATGTTTCTGTTATTATTTTGGCAATTGAATTTAGCATTATGTTGATAACAGATCGTGAATGTAGTGTAAATTCTTGTAAAAGTCGCTCCTTGGGAAAACATTTTGATTTCGGGTCGGCGTCCTTCAACCGCTTTCTTTCAACATACGGTTCCGCTAGTAACTATGACGCAGTGCCTCCTCCAACACAGGTTGAGCTCTACTTTGATGCTTGTTATCTCTCTTATCTTTTGTTGCGAATTTTTAGCCAAGAGACACGTCGATAAGTTGAGACGAAACTCTTTCTCTCTCTCTCTGTGCTGTCATTTTTCACACCCGGTTTTTATGACACCCTTTTTGGATGGTCGAATGACAGGACAATATTCTTCTTCTTTGTTGTTTTTTTTCTCTCCCTTTTGCTGATTTTAGAATTCCGTCTTTGGCATTTTACCATATCAATTCTATTTTTACTTGTTTTCATTAAAATGTGGGAAATTGTGTTGAAATCGTAGTGTGCAGTGATTCGGATAAAAATTGAAAATATCTGAACGTATAGTTTGCTTTGTTTACGTTTTTGCAATTGTTGAAATCGATCATCTATTGTTGTGACACTGACACGTGACTATTCGGAATTCCAAATGTTTCGTTTTTATTTTTTTGTTTTTGAACTTAAAAGGGAAAGTCTTCTAGAAATTCCGAGGTGCATTTTTTAATGTTTACTAAACGATTTCTTTAAATTTGATTGAGAAATATTTTTTTCTTCTGATAAAATCCAACACATTGTGACGTTTAGAGAAAAATAAGAACATTAAAATGGGGTTTATGGAGCGTATCATACGACCTTGCTCTTCTTTTAGTTTAGGAAAACGTGTCCACATTAGAAGATCGTTCATGACATATACGGCAAATTAATCTTTTATTAACAAAAAAAAAGGGAGGGGGGAATTCGACTATGAAAATTAGAATAGAATTTTTTTTATTATAAACATTGAAATTTTAATTAAACGATTCGAACGTTTTAGAAATTGTGACATATATGTTTTCTTTATCTCGATAGATAATATTTGTGTATAAATAAACAACGCTAATTGTTTTGTTTACAATATTTTGTATAATATTTGAATAGTCTTTTTTAAACATTTTTTTAAATAATGGTAATTTATTTAAATAAAGGGGTATTTTTAATCAGTTTTAATTCTGTGGAAGAAAGGCATAACAGCATAACTGACATTTTTATCAAATTTAAGATAACATCAGATTTGTATATATTTAATATTGCTCTTCAAAGTTCAATAGCTGAAAAATCATTAAAATGGTTATTAATGTAGAAAATAATGGAAAACATAATCGCATAATTGCGTTTTTGACAAAAAGAGACCTGCATAATAACATAACTGCATGCTGCTTAAAAAACAATTGACATAATTAAAAATGAAAATAATCTTTATGAATAAAAACAATAAGAATTTTGTAATAAAATGTTTTTAGTAAAATACATTTTTCGTACTTTAAATTTAATATATATTTATTTTAATAAAACTGGAACAAATTTTTTATAGCATAAATTGTGCATTTAATTATGTACTTATTTTTAAGGGTATTTCTATTCTAAAAAATTTTGGAAAGTATTTCAAAAAATAAATTGAAAAATTTTTCAAGTTGAACAGTAAAGTAAATTTTTTTTCTCGTTTCAGTAAATTAAAAACATTTAAAAAAAAAATTTTGTAACTAAATAAACTCTTATAATTTTTTCTAACGAATTAATAGTTTAATTTGTCTTTGTGTGAAAAATCTTTTTAATTATGACAAATCAAACCAAAATAAATTGTGACATTAAAAGTGTCTGAAGTTGGACTCATATACAATCTGAACTTGCATAACCGCATAAGTGCAATAAAACTCATGATTCCGATGAAAAATTATCAAAATTTATATCAAATCGTGTGTTTTATTAAATGTTATAAAAGAATTTTGAAAATATATTAAATAATAATACTAAATGCAAAAGACCGAACAAATCTGTTGATTTTCTGAATTTACAGAAGTGAGAGAACATTAAAATTAATTTATCTCGAAATCATGACAAATGCAGTTATGCTGTTATGCCTTTCTTCCACAGAATTAATGTTTTGAAATTATAATTTATTTTTATTTACTTTGTTTTTGTTGTTTTTTTGTAATTGTAAAATGTTTTATTTATTTTTTTGAGTTATTTGAATTATATTTTAATGTACAAATTTCGTTCTACTTTTTTTTTGAATTGTCTCAGAATGTTTCAACTTGACCGAATAGACAATTTAGTTATAAACGACTTTATAGTGTCACATTCCAGGATATTTCTCTTTGAGCTCTTCTAGTCTCTCGCTATGTAAAACACTTCCTATTTGCTTTCCGACACGTCACGATGACCAACATATAACACATTCTTTATTACTCTAGGAAAAAAAATAGAAAAACATTGTCTGTTATTTATTGGATATTTATTGGCGTTAATTCAGGAGGAGAATTTTTTTTGTTTTACAATTTTGAAAAGAAAAAATTGTTAATTGTAAAACTAAATTAAAAAAGGGAAACATTAAATTTGAAAAAAAATGTGACAAGGTTCATTCATCATTTCATTCACGGCAGTAGGAATTTTCCCATATTTACTCACGTGTAAAATGAATGGTGCATTCCGATTAATCTTGAAAATTATCTGTGCACACAATGACAAGATCGAAACGAACGTTCACACGGTGTGTAGATGGGCAGTCATCGATTGCGTCCCGTGAGGGGAAATAACCTTCTCCCACCATGCGGTCAGGGGCCTAAGTTTGAGTTTCGGAGCGAAGATAGCATAGGGATAGCACAATTATTATTCAAAATAATTTTTTTTGTCAAGAGTTAGTAATTAACAACAATTATTTGTTTAAACAATTGATAAATTGTTAAAATCATAAATTGTCTTCAATTTGTATAGGTACTTTAAAGATTTGTTAGTTGCAAAATTAGAAAAAAACTTCAAGCATCCAACTGCTTTGTGTCAAGAGTTGGTAATTAACAACAATTATTTGTTTAAACAATTGATAAATTGTTAAAATCATAAATTATCTTCATTTTGTACTTTAAAGATTTATTAGTGTTAAGAGTTAGTAATTAACAACAATTATTTGTTATTTAATTAATTAATTATTAAAAAAAATTGACCGACTAATTTTTTCTCGTGTTTTATTTTTTAGAAAGTTGAAAAAAATTATTTCTCACATAAATATTTTTTTTTTTCAAGAAAAAATGTTTCTCACAAGCGGTGAAAAATTCCACAGTTAGTATATAAGGACGGAGGTTCCTATAGCTTTTGGTTGTTGTCGGGATGTTGTTGTCGGAAGTATGAACTGATCAAGTATCATGCATCTGAGGAATGGATTGTTGTTTGAGGTACTTAAAAATATAGCTTTCTTCTTTATCCGAATGAAAGTTGTAGGCAGTTTTATACGACAACTCGATCGCACTGCCAGTCCTGAGTTCGGCTCGGGATACGGGCGTGAATCCTTTCCTAGTGGTGGAGGGGGATTCTCACTTCCCCTCACGGGACGGAATCGATGATCGTCCGTGTAGATCTATAGGCACTTTTTTTTTTTTTTTTGTTGATTATATTGTCTGCTGCAGTTGCTTGTATATCGCTGATTTTTCTAAACAAGTCTTTTAAATAATCTACATAAGTCGGAGGAATTGTTTCGTCGCTTATCGCGGTGGGGAGTCTCGCTTCTCTCCCGTATACACCAATGCATGGGGTGTGAATCCAGTGGATTCATGAACGGAGGTATTATAGGAAAAAATAGCGTAACGCAGCCATTCATCCCGATCTTGTTTAGTATCAAAATTTTTAAAATATTCAACAAGAGTAATATGACTCCTTTCTAGAGATCCTAAGCTTTGAGGATGGTAAGATGTGGAATTTATTTGAAAAGATGTGCCATGAGATAATTTTGTTTAAATAATTAAACTGATGTATATCGCATATAGGTAGGATGGAGTTAAAAATAAATTATATAAACAATAAATTAAAGATGAAAATTTTAAAACATTAGGAAAAAATAGAATATTGGTACAAGTTCCTAGAGAAGTAAATATTTCAAATCTCGCAGATATTAAAGTAATTAATTTAATTAAATTTAATTTAATTCAATTTTTCGACTATTAATTATTAAACACCGTTTTACAATTTTTAACAGGATTTGATTATAAACGATTTAAAATTTTTAAATACAATTTTATAATTTTGGCTCTCTGTTTTTTAATTACTGAAATCACTTTTTAATTATTATTATATTATTATTGATAATTGTCAATTTAATAATTTTGAAAAATAATTTTTAATTTCTACAACTTTGGAATACTTTTTGAAATTTTTGAAAACGATTTTATAATTTTTATTTAAAAATAATAGTTTTATAGAAGAAATTAGTAAAAACACTAAAAACAATAGAATTTTGAAAAAATTACAAATCATTGCTGAAGGCAGCTGAAATTCAATTATTTTCAAAAGTAATAAAATTCTTCTCAAAAATTAATTAAATTCTCGTCAAAATTTCAATTATCTTTATTAATAACAAAATTCTTCGCCAAAACAATTATTGTCAAAAATTTTAGTAACATTCTTCGCAGAAATTTAAATATTTTCAATATTATTTGAATAAAATTTCTCTAAATATTTCAATTATTTTCAAAGATTTTAAATAAGATTCTTCTCTGAAATTTAATTATTTTCAGAAAATTTTAATGGAATTCTTTGGTATAATTTAATTACTTTTTAAAAAATTGTGGTGATAAAATCCTTCATGAGAAATAAATTATTTTTAATACCATTTTTATTAAATTTTTTGAAAGAAATTATTCTCGCAAGAATGTGAATATAATTATTCTTCGAAGTAATTCAATTATTTTCAAACAATTTGTGAAAATTCTTCATAAGAATATTTAATTATTTTTATAAACAATAAAAATCTTCACAGAATTAAAATTATTTTCAAAAATTTTAATAATATTCGTCCTAAGAATTCTATTACATATCTTGATAAATTAGAAATTTCTTCAATTATTTTCAAAAAATTTCCACAATTCAATGATTTTTAATGTCTATTTTAATAGAATTAAAAAAATTTAATTATTTAAAAAATTTTTTAATAAAATTCTAGGCAAACATTTAATTATTTTTATAAATAATAAAAATTTCACAGGAATTCAATTATTTTCTTAATTAATAAATTTTTTTACAGGGATTCAATTATTTTTGTAATTAATGAAATTCTTTTTAAAAATTCAATTATTTTAATAAATAATAAAACTCATCGGAGAATTTTAATAATTTGTTATACAAATTTAATCGAATTCGTCGACAATTGAAATTATTCTTGAAAATTTTAACTAAAATTTGTCGAAAGAATTCAATTTTTTCCATAAATTTTAATGACATTCTTTGGAAGTATATTCAATTATTTTTAAAAATTTTAATTAAAATTCTTGGTAGATATTCAATTATTTTCAAAAATTGGGATAAAACTCTTCATGAGAATTGAATTATTTTTAATACAATTTTAATTAAAGTTTTTGAAAAAGTTTAATTATTATCAAAAATTTGAATATAATTTTATGTTGAAATTCAATTCTTATTGTCAAAAAATTAAATTAAATTCTTGGAAAGAATTCAATTATTTTCATAAATAATAAATTTCTAAGTAGAAATTCAATTATTTCTAAATTTTTAATAAAGTTCTTTATAAGAATTCAATTATATTTTCAAAAATAATAAAATTCTTTAAAAAGAATGTTATTTTCAAATTTTTGATCACATTTATTTTTCTATTTAAATAGTTGAATTCTCGTAGAATTTTCTAATAAAAATTGATTTAAAAATGAATTTCAGTAAAGATTTGAGATAATAATTGAATTTTGAAAAGGTTTCAAATTAAACTGTTTGAAAATTTGAATTTTCCATAATTTGAATCAACAATTCTGTAGAATTAATAATGGAAATTTTACGTAAATTTGAATGGTAAACAAATTGATTTGAAGGTTCTCAAATAACTTTTTCAAGAATTATTAAAAATAATTGATTTAAAAGAAGAATTTTAATTAAAAATTCTAGAAAATAATAATTAAATTCGAAAAGATGGGAATAATTGAAGAAATTGATAAATAAATGTAATAGAACATTTTTTTGAGTATCTAATCTCTTTTTTAAAGTGAATCAGAATATTCTTTAGGGTCAAGGGAAAACGTCAAAAATTTTGTCTTGGAAATCAGGGAAAAGAAACTTCAATTTTTCTGGCAACCCTGGAACTTTTAACTTTATTAATTTTTTGAATTTAGTTTTTGAAAGCAATGCTTATTTTTTAAATTTAAATTTAATTATTTAAATGCATATTTTATATAGTAAGCAGATTTTTTTTCCATCTCTAGTTTATTGCAATAGAGAGACAAAGAAAGAAATATAGAAAGAAGGAGTTAAAATTTATTTCCTCACAGAAAAAGTCTTTGATCTGGAAAACTTAAATTACTTTCGACAAAATATAGTTACACTTTATATTACGAGCGCATATGACGATAAAATATATTACAGATCAGAAAAAAATGAGCTCGGAATTTTTATTCTTTAATCAAGAGAATAGGAATAAAAAAAGAATTTTAGTTTATTTATAATAATTGACATTTTTACAAGTCATTACATTTTTACAAATATTATGATTTTAAAACTTTTATCGACTATTATTTAAAAAGAAAATCGATTTTTTTCAACTTTAGGGACGTTTTTAATTAACATTTTGTTTTTCTGATTCTCATTTTTGTTATTATTTCTTCAATGACTTAATAATTTTTAGTTTCGGTTCACTAGCATATTCTTCTGAAAGGGGAAAATATGAAATTAGAAAAAAAGTAGAAGAAAGAGGGGAATGAAGATATATATATATATATATGTATATATGTTGTCACGCGGCTTTTCGGCGAACGAAATGATTAAAAAGGCGCTGTGTATATAACTGGCAAAAATTTGCGCACTCAGTCATTTTGAAAATTACATGTTATTATACTTGAAATCATTTTTGAAATTCTCTTTGTAAATAACAGTTTATTGACGCCGTTGAAATTTTGCGATTCCAACTACTGTTTGAAAATCGCTAAATATTTATAATGAACTCATATTTTTTCTCTATTTAAACATTCTTCGCAATTCGTATTTATTTTAATATTAAACTGTGTGTGAAAAATATTTTATTAAATATGATTTTATTATAAAATAATTATTTTAATTAAAAAAATGATTTTATTATAAAATAATTATTTTAATTAAAAATGATTTTATTGTAAAATAATTATTTTAATTAAAAATGATTTTATTATGAAATAATTATTTTAATTAAAATTATTATATTAAATTATTATTAAAATTATTAACGCTCCGAAAAGCCGCATGAAAACATATTTTTTTGAAAAGTAGGTAATTTATATTATTTTAATGAAAAATTATTTAATATTACGAGTGCCGAAGAAAATTATACAAAAAAGAAAGAAAATTTTATTAATTTTCTTTCTTTTTTGTATAATTTTCTTCGGCACTCGTCACAGATAAATAATTAAAGGGCAGGTTTAAAAAATATTTTAATTCTCATTAATAAAAAATTGAAAGAATGAAAATTTTAAGTATAAAAAAATGTGGGATTATTTTGTGGAAAATTTTGGGATTAGAAGAGTAGTTTTTGGAGGATTAATGCAATAAATGAAATTAAAAATAAATGTACAACAATAAATTATGGTTTAGTAATTTTTTAAGTGCATCGTATATAATAATATACAAGTGTACTTATAATTTTTATTATATGCTTTATTTCACTGCTAATGTTTATGACTTCATTGAAGTTGTGAATTACTTTAAACGATATATATAAACATCAGACAATATATGTATATATATATAGTACGTGAATCCAGATCGTAAATCTAATTGAGACTTAATAATGAAACAAGACAGTACATAAAGTAAATGTGTGTGTATTATAAAAAACAAGAGTGAAAAATTCTCGTCAATGGGAACAAAGCTGTAAAATAAATGTGTCTTGCTGGTGTGTATATACTTTATAACAACCGCATTCCACAGCATTGCCGCGCCATATTTGAAATTTGAATCTTTCTCTTTGCTCATCCCCCACTTTTGTCTCTTCTCTCACGCTCTCTCAACTCTCTTCTTGTGTGTTACCTCCTCCTCCTCCTCCTTTCTCTTCTGTCTCACTTTAACATCTCTCTTTCTCTCTCTCTCTCTCGATTCGCCGTCAGTTTTACTTATGGCGCGTACCATGTTCTCTATGGATGACCTGCTAATACAATAAACCAAGATCAGCTCTCTTATTTATCGTTTTTAATATATTTTTAGGTGTTCTTATTTGTAACGCCTCTGTACGATATCAGATTTTTCTATTGTTTTGAATAATTATTATTATTATCATTATTTTTTACTATTTTTATTGTCGTTACTATTGTTATTATTGTTATTATAATTTTTACTATTCTACTAATATTAATTCAGAGTGGCCACACGGAGAGAGAATATATATTAAATTTTGTAAAAGTATTTTACAAATTGGAGAAAAAGTTCAACAAAGCGAAATTTTGATATAGAAAATACTAAACTTTAAAAAAAGTTTTGTGAAATTTATTAAAGTTATATTAGAATTTAATTAATATTCTTGATATTTGATATAATTATACTAAATTTCACATAAGTTTTTTTAAAGTTTAGTATTTTTTATATCAAAATTTCGAGACGCATGCTTATTCCCGAAATATTTTTTGACCAAATAGGTATTTGATATAAAACTACTTAACTTAAAATTTATATAATATGCGCATTATTTGACATAAATTTCATTGCACACAAAAACCATTTAACATAAATATCATTTGTCATAGAATTCATTAAACAGAAATATTATGTTACATAAAACTCAGATAGCTTAATTCCCATTTGACATAAAAATTATGTAACATGAATTTCTGTTGACATAAAAATCATTTAACATAAATTTCATTTGACATAAAATTCATTTAACGTAAATTTTATTTGTTATAAAATTCATTTGACATCAATTTCATTTGGCATAAATGTCATTTAACGTAATTCTCATTTGACATAAATATCATTAGACATAAAATTAGCTTGACATAAATTTCATTTGACGTGAATATCATTTAACATAATTATTATTTAACGTAAAATTAAATTTATATAAATTTCATTTAGCATAAATTCCATTTAACATAATTCTCATTTGGCATAAAATTTACTTGACATAAATTTTATTTGGTATAAATCCCATTTAACATAATTTTCATTTGACATAAAGTTAACTTGATATAAATTTCATTTGACGGATAACTCATTACACATAATTCTCATTTGACATAAAATTCAGTTGTCAGATTTTATTTTACATACAGATCATTTGACATGGAAATATAGGCGCGAATTTCAAAATTGGCGAATTGCAATGTTGTTGATAATATCTAATTGGTTACTTTTAAAATTCACGCCGATATTGTTATGTAAAATGTAATTTGTGTAAAATGATTTTTATGTCAAATGAGAATTTTGTTGAATGACTTTTATGAGAAATGAGAATTGTGTTAAATGTCTTTTATGTCAAATGAACATTATGTCAAATGAAAATTATGTTAAATGGAATTTATACCAAATGAAATTTATGTCAAGTAAATTTTATGCCAAATGAGAATTATGTTAAATGGAATTTATGCTAAATGAAATTTATATAAATTTAATTTTACGTTAAATAATAATTATGTTAAATGACATTCACGTCAAATGAAATTTATGTCAAGCTAATTTTATGTCTAATGATATTTATGTCAAATGAGAATTACGTTAAATGACATTTATGCCAAATGAAATTGATGTCAAATGAATTTTATAACAAATAAAATTTACGTTAATTGAATTTTATGTCAAATGAAATTTATGTTAAATGATTTTTATGTCAATAGAAATTCATGTTACATAATTTTTATGTCAAATGTGAATTAAGTTATCTGAGTTTTATGTAACATAATATTTCTGTTTAATGAATTCTATGACAAATGATATTTATGTTAAATGGTTTTTGTGTGCAATTAAATTTATGTCAAATAATGTGCATATTATGTGAATTTTAAGTTAAGTAGTTTTATATCAAATAACTATTTGGTAAAAAAAGATTTCGGGAATTAGCATGCGTCTCAAAATTTCGCTTTGTCGCACTTTTTCCCCAATTTGAAAATATTTTTACAAAATTTAATATATATTCTCTCTCCGTGCACATGTTAGTGAAGTCAGTAAAATTAGAGAAATGTCCGTAAAACAAAATTTTTGTCGGTAAAGTCAGGAAAATGTCAGGAAAAAAAATTTGTTGTCAGGGAAATTTAGAAAATTGGTATTTTTTTCGACTTATTTTCAAAACTTGAGACTTTTTTGACTTTTCTTCCAAATGTTGCAAGAAAATATCATAATTTTTTATTATTAAATATATAATTCATTTCGATTTTTATAGTGCGAAAAATAATAATAAGCACGAATTCAATTATTTTCATAAATAATAACATATTATTCGGAAGAATTAAATTATTTTTATAAATAATAAAATTCTTGTCAGGAATTCAATTATTTTTTATAAATAATAAATTTCTTGTCAGGAATTCAATTATTTTCAACAAAATTTTAATACAATTCAATAATATTAAATTTCTATTTATAATTATTAACAGATACACGATTTTTTTAAATAGTTGAAAAAATTCTTTGATTAATTCAATTGCATTCAAAATTTTCAATTAAAACTATCAAAAAAACTACAAATTAAAAAAAAATCTCGCAGAAATTCAATTATTTTAAAAATTTTTTTATTAAATTCTTTGGAAGAATTTTTTTTATTTTCAAAACTTTTAATGAAATTCTTTGCAAGAATTAAATTATTATTATCTTTAGAAATATTTAATTATTTTCAAAAATTTGAATAAAATTCTTCGCAGGAATTTAATTATTTTTTTTTTAAATTTTAATGAATTTCGCTGGAAAAATTCAATATTATTTTCTTAAATAATAAAATTCTTCTCAGAAATTCAGTTAGTTTCATATTTAAATTATAATAACTTTATTTCTTTCCAAAATTTTAATGAAATTATTCGAAAAAATCTAATTATTTGCATAAATAATAAAATTGGTCGCAGAAATTCAATAATATTATTTTTTTTAATTTTAATGAATTTCTCTGGAAAAATTCAATTATTTTCTTAAATGATAAAATTCTTTTCAGAAATTCAATTATTTTCATTTAAATATAAATAAATTTATTCTCCAAAATTTTAATCAAAATCTGATTATTTACATAAAATAATAAAATTCAACACTGAAATTCAATTATTTTCTTTAAATAATAAAATTGTTCTTACAAATTCAATTATTTTCAAAAATTTTAAAAAATTCTTCATAATAATTGAATTATTTTTCTAAATAAAATGTTTTTTTTATTAGGAATTTAATTATTTTCATATACAATTTTATTTAAATTTTTCGAATAGAATTCAATTATTTTTAAAAATTTTAATAAAATTTTTTGGTAAAAATTCAATCATTTTCTTGAATAATAAAATTTTTTTTTGGGAATTCAATTATTTTCTTTAAATAATAAAATTGTTCTTATAGAAATTCAATTATTTTCAAAAAATTAATAACATTCTTCACAATAATTGAATTATTTTTCTAAATAAAATTTTTTTTATTAGGAATTCAATTATTATTTTCATTACAATTTTATTTAAATTTTTCGTATAAAATTCGATTATTTTAAAAAATTTTAATAACATTTTTTGGTAAAAATTAAAATTGAATCATTTTCTTAAATAATAAAATTCTTCTTGGAAATTCAATTATTTTAAATACAATTTTAATGAAATTTCTTAAAATAATTTAATTATTTTCATAAAATAATAATTAAATTCGTCCTAGAAATTTAATTATATTTTTAGCAAATTAAAATTTAGTAAATTTCTTTGTAATAATTCAATTATTTTTCTAAATAATATATTTTTTTTCTGGAAGGAATTCTATTTTCTATAAATTTTTAATGAAATTCGTTCTTGCTCAAATAGTATAACAACAATTATTTTCTAAATGTAGGTTAGTAAAGATTATATATTAAAAATATGAAAAATAAATGATATGATAGAATAAAAAAAAACTATTAATAATTATAATAATTGTTATTTGTACTATTATATTAATAATATTATTCTTATTGTTTCAGGTTCATTCTCAGTATGGATTTGTCTAAGAGGATTTTCTACGTCATGGTGAGCATTATTATTGTATACATATAGACAAAAAATATTTGCACAAACTAAACCGTGGGAAAATTGCACAGTAAGTAATTTTTGAATTTCCCCCTCAAAAAAGTATAATTATTATTAGTTTCAAGCAAAGGCAAACAATTATTACTTTTGTTTGTTTACGTATGTTATCCTAAATTGCTTGTATTAGACAATTTTTTTTATGGACACATTCTTGCCCCCCCCCCCCCATTAAATTAATGTCCTCTTTTACTATATATATTGTTGTGTTTGCTATCATTTCCCTCTCCCCCTGCGCAAACGTTTTGTGGTGCGCGGCTATAAATTGGCTGGTTACCGCGGTGTACAAAGTTTTGTTAACGAATTCGCTTTGGAGGCCAATAACCCTCTCTCAAACATTTACTCCCTCGATATGACGTATAAGGTAGTCCCGCGAATTGGCTCTTATCGCTATGAAACAGGAGGCGATGTATCTCGCGTCACAGTTTATAGGCGCGTACATATTTGTACGGCTTATAACGTTTTTAACAACGTGTTATTGTACAATAGTTTTACCTCCGCGGTATTTACACTTATTATTATTTCTATCACTACAAATATACCTATATATTTACGCGAAGGTTTATTCTTTTTTTTTCTTTTTGATAGAAAATTAATAATAGGCGATAAGAGGTAAATAAATTATGGGCGATAATAGGTGAATAAATAATAGGGCATAATAGGTGGATAAATTAGTAATTAATGATGTAGTTGGTTAATTTAATCGTAAATTTAAGTTGATGACAAATTCAAGTTATTTTCGTTGTGGAAAAATCGAGTGCCTTTGGCCGGACTCGAACTCTTAGCGTCGTAATGCGAAAGTCGAGGGCGCTAACCACGTGACTATCCCACACTTATTGAGTAGCTTTACAAATTAACGTTTTTCCCACGTATTATATCAAGATAAAAATTATATTTTTATTTTAAACATATACGAAAATAATATTTTACTAATAAACATTTATAATAAATTAAATTATTAAAATAAAAACGAATTGTGGTCGTTTTTATTTTAATAATTAAATATCAAAGGACGTTAAAGATTATTAATATTATAATAAATTAATAATAATAAAAAGAGAAAATAAATAATAATAATATTAAGAATACTGATATTAAAAATTATAATGAAAGTAGGTAATAATAAATAATACAGCAAATAATAAATCGAATAATCAATATAAATAATCATAATTGATTTAAATAAAAAAAAACAACAAATGATTGACAGATTAACAAATAATAATAATAATAATATTTTGTTTCCTAAATTTTTTAATAATTTGTCTTTTTAAATCTGTTTTCAATTTTCAAATTGTATTGAAAATCATTGAATTTTTACAAAGAATTTTATAGAAAAATTTGAAAATTATTGAATTCCATCGAAGAGTTTTATTATTTATGAAAATAATTGAATTAGTGCGAAAAATTTTATTAAAATATTTTAAGAATCCGTAAGTAAATTCTTTTGAAAAATTCCTATAAATTTTTCTATAATAATGGAATTTCTTTAGTAATTTTAATTCAAAATTTTGAAAGTATTTGAATTTTAGGAAAAAAATATAATTAAATTCTTCTCAAAATTCAATTAATACTGAATTTTATTTAAATTGCCTTAATTTTATTAAAATGTACTAAAAGTAATTGAATTTCGTCGCAAAAATGTATTATTTATGAAAATAATGATTGTATTGTTGTGAAGAATTTTGTTAAAATTTTTGAAAATAATTGAAATAAATTCTTTTGAAGAGTTTTTAAACTTTTTAAAATAATCGTGCCTGTTAATAATTATAGTTAAAAATTTAATTATTGAATTTTATTAAAATTGTTTTGAAAATAATTGAATTCCTGAGAAGAATTTTATTATTTATAAAAATAATTGAATTCTTGCGAAGAATTTAAAAAAATAATTGAATTTGTTTAGAAGAATTTTGGTTAAAAGTACTAAAAACAATTGAATTTTGGAAAATTTACAAATGATTCCAGAAATTAAATTATTTTCAAAAGTTATAAAAATTCTTCACAGAATTTCAATTATGTTCGAAAATTAAAAAAAAATTCTCGCCAAAATTTCAGTTATCTTAATAAATAATAAAATTCATCTTCGAAATTCAATTATTTTTAAAAATTTTAATCAAATTCTTGCCAAAATTTCACAGGAATTCAATTATTTACAAAAATTTTTATAAATAATAAAATTCTTCACCGAAATTCAATTATTTTTATAAACTTGGATAAAATTCGTTGCAAGATTTAAATTATTTATATAAATAATAAAATTCTTCACAGAAATTCAGTTATTTTTATAAACTTGAATAAAATTCGTTTGAAGAATTAAATTATTTTCAAAAGTTAATGAAATTCTTCGTAAAAATTCAATTGTATGTTCAAAAATTAAAAAAAAAATTCTTGTCAAAATTTCAAGTATCTTTTATAAATATAATAAAATTCTTCTCCGAATTTAAATCATTTTAGAAAAATTTTAATAAAATACTTTGGAAAATTTTAATTATTTTCATAAATAATAAAACTCATCGCAGGATTTTAATTATATTTTTGATGCAATTTTAATCAAATTCCTCGAAAAATGTAATTATTATTCTTAAAAATTTTATTAAAATTCGTCGAAAGAATTCAATTATTTAAAAATTTGTTGATAAAATTCTTTATGAGAATTCAATTTTTTAACAAACATTCAGTTATTCAATAAATTATTTATTTTTTAATTTAAACAATTTAATTTTTGTAGAATTTTCCAATAAAAATTGATTTAAAAATGAATTACCGAATAATTGATTTATTATTTATAAAAATAATTGAAAATAATTCATTTTTAAAAAAATAAACAATAATAATAATTAATTTTGTACTTAATAAAAGTGAATTTTTTAAATTTTGAATCTGTTTTAATTTTGTTTTGAATTGAAGTCTAAATTTGAAAATAATAATTTTTGTAAATTGTTTAATAATAAAATAAATAGTAATAATTAATTAAATAAAAACAACAAAATACAGTCAGATAATAAATAGAAAAATATTGTAGAATAAGATAATAAGAATAAAAATAATTTTTTGTAAATTAATCTGTACACAATGCATTTTGTTAATATATCGATTTGTATAGAGAAATTTTCTCAGCACACCCTGGGGAAAGGAATCGATAGAAAGCAATTTTCTAGGAATAAATTTTTAGCGACAGTTTAACCCTAAGGAGAAAATTGTGGATTGCAAATATTGTTTTACTGGTGTAAAATAGGTTGCGTGTTTTAGTAAAAATGAAAGAAAGAAAGAAAAAAAAAGACAGTTTCTCCGTCGGTCGCGTTTGTATTTTGTTGTGTTGTGTGGTTGTACTACTTATATGCACGTATGTTTCGCGCTCGTGCGTCCTGAGGAGATATTTTACATTAGAGAACGCTTTAGCCAACTCGTACGAAGTTAATAACCGTCTGTCTGCCGACTATAACGTCTGCCTCCCATAAGAACCCTATCAGTTGCTCTCCATCATTTTTCTTTTATTTCTCCTGATAATAAGACACCCTAGAGACGCTTGTTTATATGCGTACAAACATTTTTTATTTTTTTTTTGTTTAACTTTCATTTACCTGTTAGTATTATATGAAAATCTTTGGTTTTGATTTTTTTAAATTGTGAAAAAATACGAAAAATACAAAAAATACAAAAAAACACTTGAAAAAGAAATAGTAAAAAATAGTAACGAGAAATAGTTAAAATAGTGATTTAATTCAAAAAAATAATATAAATAATAATAATAAAAATAATATAAAAATAATAAATAATAATAATATAAATAATATAAATAATAATATAAATTATTTGTTGTTTTTATTATTTTAATTTTTTTTATAAATAAATAAAAAAGAAAACTATAAATGAAAATAAAATATTTACCTATTTATTTATTATAAATGATAATTATTAATTTAAAAAAAAGTGTTGAAATCTATTTTAATGTTTTTATTTGAATAAAATGAGAATATATAAATTGCCTCTCGAGTGCGCTAAACGAATGAAATTATAATATTATATATGGAATATAATACCTATATATATACACACATTTTGTACGTATTTTAATTTTGCATGTCGTCGTTCGATCATTAATTATTCGTGAAAAGAAAATGACTTCATCACGAACAGTTTATGAGAAATTATGCAAAAAGAAATAATCTTCAGTTATCTACAATGTTATTTAGCACTTTCAGACTATAAATCAAGTGCAGGAAAAACGGGTTTTCGATTTAGACACATATATATTATATATATTATTGGCGATTCGGATTTATTTTGAATTAGAGAACTGATTTTAAGGATATAGAGATCCTTCTTTAATTTTATATTTTTAAGACAAAAATAAAGGAATTTTGAGACAAAATTTTAAATTAAAAAATTGACGCCGACTTTTGGTAAACAAATAATTGAAAAGTGAAATAAATAAATAATTGAAATTTCTTTACATTCTATTAAAAATAATTCAATTCTTTTAAAGAATTTTATTTAAATTTTTTAAAAATAATCAAGGGAAATTAGTCACCGTAATTAATTTTTTTTTAAATTTCTTTGCAATACATTCAATTTATTTTCATAAAAAGTAAAACTCATTGCAGAATTTCAATTATTTCTAATAGGTACAGTTTTAAATTTTTAATTGAATTCCTCAAAAAATTTAATTATTCTTAAAAATTTAATTAAAATTCGTCGAAAGAAAGAATTCAATTATTTCTAGAAACTGCAAAAAAAAATTCTTCTCAAGAATTCAATTATTTCCGTAAATAGCAAAATTCTTCAGAATTACTAAATTCTTTTGAATATTATTTTTAAAAAAAATTCTTTACAAGAATTCAATTATTTTCATAAATTTGCATAAAATTCTTCTTATAAAATTCAACTATGTTCAAAATTTGAAAAAAATTCTCGTAAAACAATTATCTTTATAAATAACAAAA